ACACATTATTATAGCCCAAAACCGAGCATTATGACGCAAGGATGATCATTCTGAGAGAGCGTTCTACTGCGTTTTGGTGCAAGGAGTAATTTGGCGCGTGGGAGCATTTTGGTGCGTGGGGGAGTATTTTGGCGTAAGGGGGAGTATTTTGGCGCAAGGGGGAGTATTCTGCTCCTAGAAGGAGTGTTCTGTTTTGACCCAAGGAGGAGTGTTCTGACCCAAGGAGGAGTGTTCTGACCAAAGGAAGAGTGTTTTGACTAAAAGGGGAGCATTCTGGCCCGAGAAAGGGTAATCTAGCCCGAGAGGGGCATTCTAATCCAAGGGGGAGTATTTTAGCTCAGGTGGGAGCATCCTGATCTAACGGGGGGCCCTAGGGGGGGTTTAGACACTTCTAAGGTAGGTAATCGAATAGTCCCTCCCACTTGGTGTACTGATGGAAGGGGGCATTCTGGCCTGAAGGTGTCATTCTGGCAAGAGAGGGGGCATTCTTTCCCGAGGTGGAGTATTTAAGCTCAGGTGGGAGCAGTCTGGTCTAACTGACGGCACTCAAGACAGTTTTAAGGTAGGATGCAGGGGCGTAAAATGTCCAGGAGGGAGACAGCTGTTCTCCTATCTCCCTCGGTACGTCTATGAAACTGTATTATCTCCCGCGGCACGGCGCGGCGCTTCTCAACAGTAGCGCGCGCGCGCCGCCCTCACGGCCGCCGCCTGCCGCCCCGCGCGCTGCGAGTGTAGAGACGCCAGGCTACATTGTAGGCCGTGCGCGGATACACATAGGATGGTGAGTCTGGGGAGGTATTCTGGCACGAAGGGGAACATTCTGGCACGAGATGGGAACATTCTGGCACGACAGAGAGCATTCGGGCACGAATGTAGGCCGTGCGCACGCATATGATGGTGAGACTACAAAACAGGCGTCATTCTAGCACGAGAGCGAACATTGTGACCCAAGGAGGATCATTCTGACGTAAGAGAGAGCGTTCTACTGCGTTTTGGTGCAAGGGGGAGCATTTTGGCGCGTGGGGGAGCATTTCGTCGCAAGGGGGTGTATTCTTGTCCTAGAAGGAGTGTTTTGACTCAAAGGGAGCATTCTGGCCCGAGAAAGGGTAATCTAACCCGAGAGGGGTATTCTAACCCAAGGGGGAGTATTTTAGCCCAAGTGGGAGCATTCTAGTCTAACTCAGGGCACTAGGGAGGGCTTAGACACTTAAGGTAGGTAATAGAAAAGTTCCAACCACTTGGTGTAGGTACTGATGGGAGTGGAGGCATTCTGGCAAGAGAGGGGGCATTCTGTCCCCACAGAGGGCATTATGAGGCTTAAGACACTTAAGGTAGAATGCAGAGGCGTAAAATTTCCAGGAGAGAGACAGCTGCTCTCCCATCTCCTTCGATACGTCTATGTAAGTAGCTATAGATACACTTCTAAGATAGGATGATGAAGAAGGAGAACATTCTGGAACAAGAGGAGTATTCTGGCCCGAGGGGGACATTCTGGCACGAGAGGAGTATTCTGTCCCGAGGGGGACATTCTGGCACGAGAGCAGTATTCTGTCCCGAGGGGGACATTCTGGCACGAGAGGAGTATTCTGACCCGAGGGGGAGTATACTGGAACAACAGGGAGCATTTTGACACGACAGGTAGTATTCAGGCACGAAGGGGAACATTCTAGCACAACAGGGAGCAATTTGACACGACAGGTACTATTCTAGCACGAAGGGGAACATTCTAGCACAACAGGGAGCATTCCTGCACGAGGGGGAGTATTCTGACACTAGGGGGAGCATTCTGGCATGAGGGGGAGTATTTTGGTCCGATCAGGAGCATTATGTAGCCTAATTGTGAGCATTCTGATTCGATAAGCCGTGCTACCCGCCCAAGGAAGAGCGATCTAGCCCAACAGGGAGTATTCAGGTCCCAGGGGAAGCGTTTTGGCCCAAGGAGAGTATTCTAGCCCGAAGGGGAGCATTCTGGCGTTTTGGTCCAAGAAACGACATTCGGGTTAGGCCGAGGGATTGAATTAAAGATATTGGGGCATAAATACAATTTCCACCTTCCCCCCAGTACGTCAATAAAAATCGTCTTATTATTATTTTATGCCACAAAGAGCTGATGGCCTTACGGACATAGTGTAGTCCATTCGATGGACCAATAAGGGGCGTTAGAAACACTTGCCTGCGACATTAATGTATTGTTTGTATCCGCAGGCGGAGCTTTCGTTCTGGAACACGGACGACATCGACGAGTTAATCGACTTGGCGATGGACCCCCCCACTCTACCGACGCTAAGCTGAGACCCTTAGATAGTATATTGTATACATAGATAGTATATTGTATACATAGATAGTATATTAGTGACATTGTAGGCTGTAAATAAGTGCCATTTGTAATGTAAGATTGAATTTGATAAATAAATTATATCAATTTATTTTTATATTGAATACTTATGACCTTTATTTTTCCTAAAGTAGTATTTGCATACCTAAGACGTACAAGAACTTTTGAATAAAAATCGAATATCAATGCAATTCAATTATAATCAGTCTTGAAAACAAATACATAATATCACAATTCTAATAAAATAATTAACAATCATTTAAATTTAACATTCTACTTATATAACCTATAAGCTACAAATTAACATTTTACTTATGCATCTTATATGCTATGGCAGCACCCAAGGCTACTAAGAAAACTACAGACGCTTTGTACAGCATTGTGCGTATAACTTGGTTTTGGCCAGCAACGGAGTTGACAATAAGGTTGTTCATGAGGAACACCTGGTTGCTCTCATCAATGAATGCTTGCTGCTCGTCGTCTGACATCTTCTCGGATATTTCATTCATGACTGTGCGGAAATCATTCTTGAGCTGGCCGATGTCAACATCACTAAAGTCTGTGACTTTATCAACGTAAGCTTCTTCAGATGTTTCTGAAATAGAATCATTGCAACTTATTACTTTGAAAGTATTTTACTATCTCAAGTTCTTGAGATTTTTCTTCTTCATTAATCTACATATATACTTATAATAAATCTGTAGAGAGGTCAATTCTGTACATGAAATATATTTTCAAAATAACTATCAGGGGGTGATTAGTGATCGATACTGATGCCAAAAATGCAATTAGTAAAATTTTTGTCTGTCTGATGTTCCTTATAGAAACAAAAACTACTCGACGGATTTTAACGAAATTATTCTTCATACACCTGGGCAGGTTATAGTAAACTTAGGAATTCCCACGGGAACGGGAATTAGCGGGAAAATCCTTTTGTATGAAATCCTTGAAATTTGGCATGCAGGTACCTTAGTAAACTTAAAGATTAGTTACAACAGGATATTGCAAAATTCCCACGGGAACAGGAGTTAGCGGGAAAAATCATTTGTATGAAAAAAATCTAAACCGCGTAAGATAGATGAAGGGGGTAACGGGATCCACGCGTACGAAGTCGCGGGCGGCCGTTAGTTAAAGAATAAAGGGTTATTAATTATGCTCTTGGTTATCTACTACTTGTGTAAGATCTTTGTCTGAGTGACACAAATGGGTTTTGATCAATAGTCATTGGACAGAATTTTCATTAGAATGAATATCTAAGAAGTATAATTATTATTAACTATTTTTGTTTAAATATAAGTGAATAACATACTTCCACCGAACATTTTCCTCTTCTTAGAAAGTATCTGGCCACCGCTCAGCAATCCCAGATACAGGTGGTAAACATAAGCCATGAGCAACGTCGGATTCTCTTTCTCCAGGTCTTGCAAGTGCTCCAAATAGTTCTCCAAAGCGGCCGACTTGGGTAGTGACTGCCATTCCTCACCAAGGTAATGATTCAGGTCCGCTTCAAATGCAGATTTTCTATAATTTAATCAAAACATCATTACAATGTGCATGTGATAGTAAGATTTTCAATCTAATTTGGTAGGTCTTTAATGAGTTCTAGCACACACAAGCGGTAGGTAGGTAGTGCGGCAAGATCAAATACATAAAAGAAACAAATGAGTATTGGCTGGCCAAGAAAAACAGTGATTGGATGTAATCATTGTGAACAAATAGAATGCAATAAGATCAAATTGGAAACTAATAAAAAACAGAAAGAAATAAAATTATGGTAGGTAGGGTAAAGGGAACTATAAAATTCTAACCTGTAAAGTGTTTTGTGCACGAACAATCTGTTATAATCAGGCAAGTTTAAACGGTCCTTGGCATCTTCCAGAAATGCGAATATATGGTAGAACACGAAGAGTCCACCGCCCCAAACTGTTTCGTCTCTAAGAGCTGGAATCATAAAATCTCAAATTAATGCAATAATTCACAAAAACAGATTAGTAATTAAGTACTACTGGGCACTTAGGTACTCAGTATTTAATTTAAAATGTTTTGCACTTTTTCTTTGTTTTTTAATTTTTTTATAGGTGATGAGGGTAGAACATTATATTTTTAAAGAGTACCTAATTCATGCCAATATAAGTTAGGTATGTAAGTACCTATGTATGTTATGTTAATGTAACTTTATTAAATTTGATACAAATTCATGAACGCTGAGAGAAAATTCAAATCAAAGCGTTGAATGCTAAAGATACTTACAAATAGCGAATTTAGCGTTAACTAGGGCATCGCTGACCGAATGGATTTTCCTCGTAGCTTTTCTCATACGAGTGGTAAACAAATCCGTTTTTCCAGACATATTTATCATAAATTAAACTCACACAACACGAGTTTCTTGTTCGGCAAAATTACAATTTGCAAATTTTCGCAATGAATGAATCAGCTGAATTTGACAAAGGAAATATTTTATGATAACGAAACGTATGTAATATACTTTTGTTTTTGTTGTATATTAAAAGGATATTATATTATTAATTGCTTAGTATATTCGAGTATTAATTTATTTTGTTATTAAATATTGATATGAATCTGAAAATGTTGTGTTAAATTAACTTGTTCATAATTTGATACTGTGATAACAAAACGTAAAATTATGTGTGAACTGTCAGTGGTGAAATTCTGTTTGTCAATGTCAAGTCGTCAAATCTGTGAAACCGTGTGTTTCTTGGCAAACCGGAAATAATTGTTTAATTAAATAAATTGACACCAAATACTATCAGTTCTCATAAAATTTATGTTCATTGATTTGTTAAACATTAAACTCTTTATTTTTTAGAGTGGGTTTCATTTTAGTTACCCCTGTGTGCTTCTCCAAGTATGGGCGATACACCGAAAGTAAAGGTATTTCCTGGTTTAAATTTTTCCTTATTAATTATGTATAGAGTTATAATAGATTTAATTTAAATATCTTCTATATTTTTCCGTGATAAATACGTATAATAGAATTATTTTTTTATAATAAGTACTTCTAATGACTTGTTTACAAACTGATAATGTTATCATTTTGACACACAGAACGGTACTGTTATCTAACCTCGCGCATTTGGGATTGTTAAAAATTTATTATCATGGCATTTGATTTGAAAAAAGAGGAAGAGGTCAAGGAATACATTGAGAACCTTGGCATCGAATACCGTTTCGGTTGTTACCAAGAGAAGAAGCCGCAAGTGTGTCACCTTTTGGGCGATTACTTGGAGGCTATCAAGAAAGACTTCGAGAAGGCCGCTAAAGTGTATAAAAGCAACTGTTTAGATTATAAATACGGGAAGTCATGTTTAAAATTTGGGAATTATACACTGGTGGGTCGCGGGCGAGAGAAAGGTGACGCCGCGGAAGCCCTAACCTATTTCGAGAAAGGATGTGATTTGGGTGAACCTTCAGCATGCTTGCACGCGGGAATGCTGCTGACAGCCACTGGCCCGGGAGTTAAAATTCAAAGAGATGTTCCCAAAGGTATCAGTTAGACATTAGAAATCAATATAAATCATTATGCAATTTTATTGCAATAATTAATTTTCTAGGATTTTTCACTACATGGCTTTTGTGTATTTACTGCTTGAGATTAAATAAATAACTTTTATGTCTATGTTGCAGGATACAACTTCCTAAAAAAGGGATGTGATTTAAATGACGACATGTCATGCCACTACTTATTCGGGATGTACTTGACTGGTGTCCCCAAAAACGTTGCAGACTTCAACCCACACAATCCAGAGAAAAACAAAAACATAGAATATCTGATAAAGTCCGATATGAAACAGGCATTTACATTTGCAAAGAAAGCTTGTGAGCTCGGCAATATGTATGCATGTGCAAATGTCAGTATGATGTACAAAAAAGGAGAAGGCGTTGAGAAGAATCCTGACGAATCAAAGAGATATTTCCAAATCGCACAAAATCTACAAAAAGCACATGAAACCACAAAAGAAATAAAATTCCAGCAAGGTCTCGATGAGAAATAGTGTAAAATTTTAGCCTTGTTTTGCATTTACTTTTAAATCAATGTTCAAAGTATTCAGTAATATTTTGTGTAGATGTTGTTTACCTCAGTAAAATAAAAGAGTTGTTACATAAAATTTTGTACTTTCATTATCTTTAATAGGTACCTTATTATCAATCAATATCTATTTATCTTCTCAATTCTGTTACAACTGGCCTAAAGCATGTAAATCATTATGACTTGTAAAACTTGAATTTAGATGATTGTTGTTATTAATATGAAATTAATTAACTTACTTTCTCAATATGAGAGTATCAAAATGAATAAGTATCTACAGCTAAAGCCCGGTCTGTGAGCACGTAGAATTTTGTCCAATGACCCCAAGCTACCCATACGTTAATACGTTAAGTTACGAGCGATAAGGATGGGTAGCTTGGGGTCATTGTACAAAATTCTACGTGCTCGCACCAGACTATACCTAATTCTTGAAAGTTTTTAACATTATTTTTAATACCAAAATAGCACTTAATACAACTGCTTATGACGCCACAGAGTTTAACGTCATTATTTCATCAAAAAACTACAAAATTCAAATAACAAATAAGGGACATTCTCCTCCAATTTCTACAACTTCAATCAGAGACAATTGAATTCAGATCGGCATAATCGGCGGGTCCGGGTTCGATGACCCCACGCTTTTCGAAGACCAGACGGAGCTGGAGGTGACCACTCCGTTCGGGAAGCCCTCAGACGTCCTCATCCAAGGGCAGATCAAGGGAGTGCCGTGTGTGCTGCTGGCCAGACACGGGAGGAAGCATCAGTTCCAACCGAGGTAAAAGACAACAATAATTCATTAATAAATCGTAAAATTTGTAAAAACAATGTGCATCTACTTATGCAGATTGCACACCAAGAGCTGTGCTAACGTGTCTATGTATGTATTCATATTATTATGTTATTATTTATAATCTTATTTAGCTATCTATAATTTTGTACCGCCTACGATATTCTCAGTTTGACCCTAAGGTTGACTGGAGGAAGATGTCATTGTTGTTTATCTTCGCTCACACAACTGACGTTCGAATACAAGCAATCTAGGTAGTCATATCGCTTTGAAGCCATCTCTTCCAGACAACCCACATTGTTGCTAAAAATAAACGAAAGTAAGTCATTCAAAGAACAAGGCTCTATCACACGAACCCTTTACCTACGACCCAAGGCATATACATACAGGGTGTCTTAATCCACGCAATAAGTAACTGCCACTGCCAATGCCAAATCTTATCAGGATACTTATAATATCTCTGAAATCAATTTTGTTATTTTCCAGCGACGTGAACTACCGCGCCAACATCTGGGCTCTGAAGCAAGCAGGATGCTCGCACGTGCTCGCCACCACCGCCACCGGCTCGCTGGTCGAGGACTACCGGCCGGGCGACCTCGTCGTACTCGACGACTTCATTGACAGGTAATGATACGCAGGGCTGCCTTTTACCTACTAGAGGCCCTGGGTACTTAAGGACCAAGCAAGGGGGCCTTTACATCTTGAAAAGGGTCTTTTTTGAGAGCTAACGGGGGCTCCCTCGATCACCGGGCCAACTGGGCACATTCCCAGAGTGCGGGTGAATATCGTACGTATCGCGCATTATAACGTTTTGAGAATGAATCAGAAATTACGAGATCCGTAAACGAACTAAAGTCGCTGACATAGCCCGCCCGACGGATTACCAAGCTAAGTAGATACCTAAGTGGCAATGGGCTAGCACTTTGTTCGCAGACTGACGGCCGATAGGGCAGCATGGTTCTTGAGTGGAGGGCCACGAACGGAGAGCGCAGCGTCTGCCCACACGGTGGACCGCCTCATAAAGGTAACAGCATGGCGCTAGATGCAGGTCCCACCGGTCAATATGGCAATCATTGATGATCATAATGATGATGAAAGATCTGAGTGCGAACGAAATATATCCCGCGTTTTACGTTTTGTCCGCACTTTTACTTTGTCATTTTTGGGCTAATAATAATAATTGTCACCTATAAAATAAGATTTAAATTCGTCACGTAATTTCCAGAACTTGGGGCCGCAAATGCACGTTCTTCGACCGGACCGAGGGTGGGCCGAAGGGCGTCTGTCACTTGCCCATGCGGCCGGCCTACTGCGGGCGCGCGCGGGAGGCCCTGCTGAAGGCCGCGCGCTCCAAGAACTACAGGTGCCACGAGACTGGTACTGCTGTCGTTATACAGGGGCCTAGGTATGTGATGATGTTCTTCTGTTTTTTTATCTACATGTTCCGCGATTTGACTAGTAACAACGCGAAGTTGTTGGATTGGATGAGCGAGGTTGATGTTCCTTTAAGACTGTGCGCGCCAATGAGTTAGTATAGGTGCCACGAGTCCGGCACCGCGGTCGTCATACAGGGGCCTAGGTACGTTGATGTTTTTTTGTTTTTTTATCTACATGTTCCGCGATTTGAACTATCATCGCAAGGTTACTGGATTGGGTGAGCGAGGTAGATGTTCCTTCAAGACTGTGCGCGCCAATGAGTTACTATAGGTGCCATGAGACGGACACTACTGTCATTATACAGGGGCCTAGGTACGTTGATGTTCTTTTGTTTTTTTATCTACATGTTCCGCGATTTGACTAGTAACAACGCAAAGTTGTTGGATTGGATGAGCGAGGTTGATGTTCCTTTAAGACTGTGCGCGCCAATGAGTTAGTATAGGTGCCATGAGACCGGCACCGCTGTCGTCATACAGGGGCCTAGGTACGTTGATGTTCTTCTGTTTTTTTATCTACATGTTCCGCGATTTGACCTATCAACGCGAGATTGCTGGATTGGATGAGCGAGGTAGATGTTCCTTCAAGACTGTGCGCGCCAATGAGTTAGTATAGGTGCCATGAGACCGGCACCGCTGTCGTCATACAGGGGCCTAGGTACGTTGATGTTCTTCTGTTTTTTTATCTACATGTTCCGCGAATTGACCTATCATCGCAAGGTACTGGATTGGGAGCGAGGTAGATGTTCCTTCAAGACTGTGCGCGCCAATGAGTTACTTATAGGTGCCATGAGACGGACACTGCTGTCGTTATACAGGGGCGTAGGTGAGTTGATGTTCTTCTGTTTTTTGGTTTTGAACCTGCGATTCGGTCAGTATATTTACAGCGAGGTTGGTATACTGTCTATTGAGTCGGAGCGAAACAGTGGAGCAGAACAACGGAATAATGCGGAGCGGAGTTGCGGACTGTTTCTGTCTACAGGCGCGGAGCTAGGTGGCGGAACGAAGCAAAAAGGATGTGGAGCGGAGACTGCCGCGAACACGTGACGAGTGTTTTTTATTTCCCTGCTCTGCTTCCCCGCTCTGTTTCCACGCTCCGCTTCCTGATTTTGTATGATTTTTTTTAAACTATGTAACACCCTGTTTACTGAAGAGAAGCTGAGATTTTATGCAATTCTATAGTTCCAAACTCCGTTGACGATCACTTCTCATTATCCAATTATATTCGCAGATTTTCAAGTCGCGCCGAAAGCTTGATGCACCGGCAATGGGGCGGGCATCTGGTCAACATGACTTCTGTGCCAGAGGTACGTATAGTCACCTAACTTGTTTATGACACATCGATACCACCAGTCTAGCTAGTCATTTTAATATCTTAGCTTTTATTAATTAAAAAAGACGTGCATTTTTTTTTCCAAAATACTCGTACTTCTGTCCAAAATATGTAAGTAAAAAACAAGTTGATTTAAATCTTTCAGGTGGTCCTGGCGAAGGAAGCAGGCCTCAGCTACGCGGCAGTCGCACTCGTCACCGACTACGACTGCTGGCGGGAGAACGAAGCTTCGGTGAGTATTCATTTAAACATCGTTTACGTCGTAAGCTAAACATTACAACCTGAATCGTGAGTTCTGGGTGAGAGTAGGTAGATACAACTCAAGTGGCTAACAATGAAAAATAACGCTGTCGCGCGTTAGGACAATGTTCAATTCAACGCTACAGTTCAATGGTCAGCTTCTGCATCGCTGCTAAAAATCGCAGTGTGTAAAGGACCTTACTGATACAGCACCCTGAACCTGAGTCATTAAAGTTTCAAAATTTTATTGATTAACGCTATTGGAAATACAGGGTGCCCCTTTGAGTATAGATCAAACAAAAAGCACTGATTCTACTGCTCAAAATCAATACAATCATATCTTCACATTTTCCAGGTGTCGGTGAACGAAGTGATGGAAATGTTCGGGAAGAACGTTAAGAAAGCAGCTGACGTCATCATAGATGCTGTACAAATACTGGCCGCTGAGACTGACCTGGCCTATTTGGATGAGCTTAAGGTAATAAACTTCTTAAAACCATTTTAAAGCTTGATCTTTACCTTAAGTCATTAAAATAAAAAATAAAACTGGCAACGCCCGACTGCCTTCTTGAGCTTGAGGATTAAAATTAAATAATGAAGCCGTTAAAACTTAGCAAATTAGCATCAAACCAAAGAAAGACAAAAACAAAAATCATCCTTAGGTCTAATTATACGTTGAATTCTCGTTATTCAAAATTAGAATATTTCATTACTCCAAAAATAAAGGGACATCATACTGCAAAAAAAACTAAACCTCTATCTCTTTCTTTTTCTTTACAGGAACAAGTGTCCTCTGCCATCATGTTAAAAGATTAAAATATTCCATATATAAGATTAAATAACATATTAATATAAGTATAAATGACGAAAATTACTTTAAAAGTACCATTTCTCTGCAATATTTTTGAAATAAAACAATATTTACATACCATTTGCATCATTTATTTATTCCTTAAAATCCACATACAAAACGATCATGTTACTCTTAAAATTATCGCACACATAAACCTAGCCTTTTACTGATTGTATTTATTTACTTACTTAATATAAAGGTTTACGTATCTCATTCAAATGTTGTGCATTAATTGATCTATCTGGTTAAAATGTTCGAAAGATCCTTAACCTAGCTTATGCTACACAATTAAAATTACTCCACTCCCAAAATGCTTCACTGCGATGCGTCTCGGCCTGTAACGGAGAAAAATACTTTTCAATTTCATAGAAACAGGGCTAGGGTGAGTTAATGTAGATCATACTGTTGTAGAAAATTCAATGAAACTAGTATCTACGTTAATCTTTATGACGTAAGAATGATATATCTTTTTGAATTATCTAAATCGGACCATTACTTCCAAAGATATTAAGTAACTAATAAACATAGGCCGTTTTTGCCGTTAACAGTCAACGTACGCAAGGCTGCGTGACGTCACTATATCGGAACCGAGCGCAGCCGGTGTACCATGTTGATGGAAAATATTTTTTCCAGCCAAAGTGTCACTTTCAGAGAGAAACTTTTGATGACATTTATCAGCACGTGCAAGGCCGCTTCTCTCCCCGAACCTATGTTAGGCTACCGTCCCCCAGAAACGCCCTAGGCCGGCCGAGGTCCGAGCTCCACTTGGGGGCTCCCTGAAGCTCGTTGCTTAAATTTTGAGTTTGAGAGCCATCTGCGCTCACCTATGGTCCGGTGAAGCTAAAAAAGCCGCTCACGGCTATTAGCAAGGTCTATCCGAAAAAAAAAACTGGGCCAGTAAGAAGGGTGCTTACCTTCAACTCCCGTGTCAGAAGCCGATTGTCTTCCCCCCTAGTTCTTGGGCCAGTGTCTCACCTGCGCTAGGTGTCCCCTAGTTCTTGGGCCAGGGGTTGCGGGCGTGCTGGCCGGGGATCATGTCGAGCAGGTACTGCCGCTGCGCCTCGGCCACGCGCCGCATCTCTAGTGTCTCACCTGCGCTAGGTGTCCCCTAGTTCTTGGGCCAGGGGTTGCGGGCGTGCTGGCCGGGGATCATGTCGAGCAGGTACTGCCGCTGCGCCTCGGCCACGCGCCGCATCTCTAGTGTCTCACCTGCGCTAGGTGTCCCCTAGTTCTTGGGCCAGGGGTTGCGGGCGTGCTGGCCGGGGATCATGTCGAGCAGGTACTGCCGCTGCGCCTCGGCCACGCGCCGCATCTCTAGTGTCTCACCTGCGCTAGGTGTCCCCTAGTTCTTGGGCCAGGGGTTGCGGGCGTGCTGGCCGGGGATCATGTCGAGCAGGTACTGCCGCTGCGCCTCGGCCACGCGCCGCATCTCTAGTGTCTCACCTGCGCTAGGTGTCCCCTAGTTCTTGGGCCAGGGGTTGCGGGCGTGCTGGCCGGGGATCATGTCGAGCAGGTACTGCCGCTGCGCCTCGGCCACGCGCCGCATCTCTAGTGTCTCACCTGCGCTAGGTGTCCCCTAGTTCTTGGGCCAGGGGTTGCGGGCGTGCTGGCCGGGGATCATGTCGAGCAGGTACTGCCGCTGCGCCTCGGCCACGCGCTTCGTCACCTTAGTGTCGGTTTTCGCTTGCACTAGGTACTGTGAGAGTCAAACCTGCCAACATAACAGTGCAAGAAACAGTGCTGCTAACATTTAAATAAATATGACGTTTGCTAACGAATAAGGTTTTGCTTGTTTATTTATCTATCCCATCAGTGCAATGCAATGATGACATTGACCAATTGACAATATTTTTTTTTTATTTAATAGAAATAATAATGGCAGTTTGAACCAACAAGAAGGTTTTAGTTTATCAATCATAATAATCTTCTTGACAAGATAAATCGTCAAACAACTTTGATCTGAATAATTTTGAACTTTACTGACGAACAGTTAAAGATTATTTTCTCTAACTCGAGATTATTCTGTAACATAGTTTCAAAAGGTAATATGTGCTCGCGATTCATTGAAGGAATCAGTTTGAAAACTGACGAACCTTTTCATTCCGTGACTGTACCTACTACTGCTATTTCTATTTATTTATATTAACCGGCAGACAGTGGTGACTGAGTTTGTTGCGGCGCTTCTTCTCAGCACTTGCCAAATGTTGGTCTCGAAGCGCTGGTAGGGTAAAAAGATTATGAGACATGTAGAGGCTCCTTAAGAGCAAAATGACGATTTGTAAGAACTATTTATTAGTCTAAACAAATAAAGAAATTTTGACTTTGACTTTGAAGGAAACGATTCATCTTTTTCATTAAGCCTACGGAAGTTTCGGATGTTGCCATCCCTCATACGAGCGACGGTGACAATTTCCGGGGAGTTGCTGGGCTGTTCTTGTACATTTGCATCGAATCGTAACCGCCGTATCCGCTTCAGTCCAGAAGCTTGAAAACATCAGTTTCGGAGATATGACATCTCCCTGTCTCACCCCTCGTTGCAACTGGATGGGTTTCGAGTCCTGACCCTGGAGGCGGATTGACATTGTGGCGTTTTCGTACAAGCCCTTCAACGCTTCGATGTATCTATAGTCAATTTGGCACCGTTGGAGAGATTGTAGCACTGCCCAGGTCTCGATCGAATCAAAGGCCTTTTCATAGTCCACAAACAAATCCGTGGTCGCCATTCAAGAAATTTTCTGTCCCAACGAGTATCAATTCTTCTAGCTATGTTACCCGCCCATTGTCACTTAAAAGACAATGCCGGAAATTGGCGTCTTTTTTTTTCGCGCGGCCATCGACCAAACTTTATTTTTTAATTACAAAATAGTGTAATAAACCAAATTTACTATGACATGTATACCTCTAAACTCAGTCTGAACTGAGTTACGAGCATTAGAAATTTGATGATTTTCATACCAGATTTGCTTTTTGCGCGCAAAGTTTTGTAAGAAATTGCAACAAACTATTTTGTAATCAAAAAACAAAGNATAAACCAAATTTACTATGACATGTATACCTCTAAACTCAGTCTGAACTGAGTTACGAGCATTAGAAATTTGATGATTTTCATACCAGATTTGCTTTTTGCGCGCAAAGTTTTGTAAGAAATTGCAACAAACTATTTTGTAATCAAAAAACAAAGTTTGGTCGATGGCCGCGCGAAAAAAAAAGACGCCACTTTCCATACAAAATCTGGCATTGCCATTTACCCTTAGGTCTCACCTTAAAACTTCGATTATGACATTTAATTGCCTAAAAAATTTAAAGATAATTTCCTTCCCAAAACATCGGTATAATAATATAACAAAACACAACTCACATCGTTTCCCAAGAGCAGACGCTTGCGCCATGGCCAGCTGGTACGTGTATAGCAGCGGCGAAAACTGCATCATGGCCGCCGCCGCCGCCGCCGGCGACATCCCGCCGGAACCGCCCGCGCCGCTCAGACCTACGTTAATATTGGATGTTATGACAAGGCCATAAGATTCAGTATAGTTCGCGCAACGAAAGTTGAGGTGAACACTCTCACGATGATGTAATATTTGAATAAAAATCAGGGCCCCGATTACGCTAAAAATTTTCATCTTCAACCGTGCCCGGACGACTAACGAACGTCAGCTGTTTTGACAAATCCGTATCGCGGTGTCGTTTTGACAGCTAGTTGAAACGAAGCATAGACGTAAACGTAAAACTAAACATCTCATGTGACTAGGAAGGTACGTCCATTACCGTGATACCGAATTTGCATCTCAGCTGGAATTAAAAACCGAGCGCAACTGGAGAAGAAGCTCGTATAATGGAGACGTTAAAAATTAGCGTAATCGGGGCACAGTCAGAATAAGTAAGACGTCAATGCGACAGATACAAATCTTTGTTTGTGTGATTGCCTCAACTCTTGCTGCGCGACTTAAACATAAAAATTATATTCATATTGCCACTTCCTGGAGTGATCATAGGCAAAGATTTTGGTAAGAGATCAACCGTGGCAAACCAACATTTTTTGACATTCATGAATTTAAATTTATTTGACCGAAAATCCTTGTCCAAATCACTAGCTAGAACTAGAATGACAAATAAATTATGTGCAGACGATGGCACATAGACACAATACAAGTACTGTGGCGTCATCTAAAAAATATTATAGTGCGGATGTGATGTCGCCTGTACAAAACTTAGATTAACTAAATATTTAAGCTAGTTTCAGAGAGAATCAGAGTAATAGAATATAACATAGTGTAGCATAAGCTTTACGCAAATGGTACCCCAACAGAGTATAGCATGGTGTATAGACAAGATAGAATCATTTCTGAAAAACTTGACGCTACAGCAGGCATACCTCTATGGTTTGAAAACTTTGTATTTAAAATTGTAAGTGCATTTACGTAAATGTATTTGATATAAAAATGCATTTCAAAACTTTGAAGGCAAAATCAATAAGAAATGCATACAATATACTAATCATTTACATAGCTTTTCCATACCCGGGTATAATGGGTATATACCTTGATTTTTTAGAATCCAGCAGAGATGTAAACAAACACTTTCATACACAATTACACCATAATCACTTACGTGTTCATAATATCATACACATTATTTAACAAGCCCATGAAACCAACTTTATTTTCACGTTTATACAAGTTTGAAATCAATCTTTGAAACAAATTATTTTAGCAAAATACGTGGACGATGAAAATTTGTTAGACTTGTCAAATTGACTTGACGTTTAAAATAATGNTCGATTCACCTACCCGCGAAAACATTATGACACAAGGTATCGTGGAACGGAAGGTCTCCCGGACATAAATCGTTCATCACACTAAAGAAAACACAGAGTCCTATTGCACCAACACCACTCAACACCATAATGTCATTGTATTACTTAGCTATTTGAATATCTAATTATCCAGAACGTCGAACAACAAAACATCGCAACAAACTGATCAAATAATAATGTAAACAAATAAACATGGCCGAATGGCGCATGCGCGGTGCAACTAGTGCGAGGTCATTATTTTTTCCATAAATTCGGTAATCGATATTGATATTACAAAAAATCGATTAAAATATCAAATTGTTTGAAACCCATCTGACTAATCAATAGGAATGTCTTAAAATCAATTATCGAATAATTGATAGATCCTACCTATCTGAAATCGCTCATACTATCGATTGGTCTAAATCAGATAGAAGATAATATTGAAAAAAAAAAACTAACAAGACAGTTTTATTTGGTAAATTAAAAAAACCGTAATCTGCCATGCTTTTGGAAATGTTTTAGCTAAATTTAATTTGCGATAAACGCTGTTATTTTTCTTAGAAAATAATTAATATGATAATATTTTATACACGATAGGTGGCCCTTCGATAGGCTATTGATAGACAATCAGCAAGATTACTGACCAACTGGATTGTAATTACGGCACTGTAATTACGACACTTTGACCCCAGAGACGACTCGACTTTCATTAGTCAATCATGAAATGAAAACTTAACCCCAACCACATGTCGTCTCCATTAATGATTGGAAATTAATTAATGGCACCTGAATTTATTATTTGTAGAAAAAAAAATCCTTCAACGATTTATTATTGAACAAGAGAAAAATCTTAATCGATTTTTTGCCTTCAATGTCACTTCCCTACTCCTGCGCCGCGATGATCTTCCAACTCTTTCTTGCAAGTGAAAGCCGCCGTGCGATACGTCTTGCGTCTCACTCTCGCTACATTATTGGAGATAACGTAAAATTATTTTTCTACTTTTAGTGTATACTTTTTCGGAGTCAGTTTAATTTTTAGTCGGTTTTATTGAAACGAAATTATTTTCCTTTTTTATGCAATAATGCTTACGTATTGTTCCATTGCTTATTAATAAAAGAAAAAAAATCTTCTTTTAATTGATAGCATCTTATTAATTACCTCCCTAGCGGAATAGAGCAACAAAGGACTGAGCGAGCGGGATGTCACTAGTAGCAACACTGTCAAACAGAACTTTTTGCAACTATTTGAAGTTTAATAACTTTACGGATTTTACTGTCCACAGTGTGTTTTTTGATTACATCTGTGCATACAGTTTGTTTCCTGTTCTCGAAAATTTCATAATCAGTTCACGTTCACACCCGGCGATGATACGCAAGTACTACAATAATTTCACTTCGCGATTAACGAGAGGTTTTGTCGCATCACTAGTTCACAGACTAAAAATATTTTTATGTCAGTTGGCCATGTTTGATGACATTTCTGCTGATTTCTAAAAAATTAGACTGTAGATTATAATAAATCTACAAAATAGGATAAATATGTTTAAATAAATTACTAATATAAATACACACGATTTCATGAATTAATTGACTCACCAGACATGAGTCCATTTTCCCAGATATTTGAAGAAGACTTGTGTCCTGCAAGAGGACATGACGGTCTAGTAACGATAGCTTACATAAAAGTACCACACAAAGCACAGCACCACAATACCACACACTTAGCTGACCCAATCCCAGTGCAAGTAAAGGATATCATACAAAAGTTATAAAAATTTACATTTTCCAGTCACCGCCAAGATAAATGTAACCATATAAGTTTGACATAATCTATTGACAGTTTTTGTATTTAAGAATATGTGCATGCGCCAATTAATAATACAGATAAATACAATTTCAAAAAGTATTTGTTTATCTGACATTTAAATATTTTCATTTTCTATGCAAGTATTTACAAGTTTTAGAAGGGCAAGAGACCTTAAGTAAAGTTCAGGGTAAGTGCATTAGAGAAAGCATTGCTTTAAGAATCATCTGTTTACATATACCATGTAAAAACATACTTTCCTTCGATCGCTTACTAACGATTTCGGAATTACTATCATTTTAAATGTATACATACTGGGTAAGGTAAGTTTGAGGCACTGTGCAAGTATAGTCGAAAATATACAAAACAGAAACACGAAACACGTGTACTTAATTGCAGAAGATTTTATTCGTTTCCAACATGACGGTATTTCGGTGTTATGTTCATTTGACTAAATTGCAAATCAAAACTTTACACACTTAGGGGCCGTCCATAAATTACGTCATCGATTTTTTCAGATTTTAGACCCCCCCCCTACAATCATCCTATCGTCATTTTTTAATGACCCCCCCCCCCTTCTCCCAAAATTGACGTCATTACCAGTTTGACAAAATTAAAACACTTGGTTATAGAATCACCTTATATTTTATTTTTTTAATAGATAGNCCTGGGGAACTGCTTAAGGTTTTTGCCTCTCAGAGAAAAATTTTTAGGCAGAAAATAATAATGAATTCTGTTATTTGTTTTATCTACGCAAGTTTGTCGTACTATTAATTTTCAGGGGTATCACGATGCAATCTGGCGACAAAAACTGAATCAGCTGATTACTCAATAATGGTACCTTTCCCAGACTTTCTGACACCACTATAGTATTTATATGAGTATGTTAACATGGGCTGGTCTCGGCTCATATACCCATTTACCTAACACCCTGTATAACAAGAAATTGAGCTTTAAAATATAGGTCTTTTCCAAATGTAGTTTTAAATTAATAATAATAAATATCCCTGGACATTTTACCAGACACACACACACACACTCACTCTCTCTCTCACACACACACACACACACACACACACACACACACACACTCACTCAAAATTGTTTCGTATTAGTTATGGCACCAACGCTTTTGCTAATAGTATCATTTATTTTGTAATTTTACTATAGCAGAGCGGAGCTTCCTAACACAAGCAAAACTGGTTGCTTAATGGAAAGCCCCAAATACTTGTAATGAAAAATGTGTAAAAGTTACCGAAATAAACTTTATTATTATTTATTTACACTGCGCCGCTAGTCCCAAACATTAGCTTGGGACTAGCGGCGCAGTGTAATTGTACTAGACATCATCATCACCACCGTCTTTGCTCATAAAAAAAGACTATTTTCTATTTTTATTTTAACTGGTGGTGTTTTGTAGTAAGGTGGAGTGTCTCTAAGCGTAATGAAGCCGAATAGCTATTACCGTTTCAAGTTTATACCGTCATGATGGAAACGTGGAATGGGACAGAAATACATTGTTCTTGTTTACCTCTAAGTAGTTGGTGTTGTAACGCCTGCATTGCGGCCGCGCTGTGTTGTTCGAACGCCATCTGGGCCGCCGCCGCCGCTGCCAACTGTTAGAAATTGATGGTATAAGGTCAGTATAAGAGTAGTGATCCGCAAAGTGTATGCTGCCGCACACTGGTGTACATCGAATAAATAATTTTATCTCGTTAATGATAAATAGATTGACCGATAAATAATGATTAGTATTATTTAAAAATAGATTTTTCATTTATGATGTACCGTTGTTTTAGTTGTACTATAAACACAAAAATTTCGTGGAACACTATAGTCTGGTCTGCGAGCACGTAGAATTTTGTCCAATGACCCCAAGCTACCCACCCTTATCGCTCGCGCGTAATTATATTGCTGTCGCGACTGTGCGACGGGCGCCCGCAGTGAGTGTGCGAGCGCGACAGCAACATAATTACGCGCGAGCGGTAAGGATGGGTAGCTTGGGGTTATTGGACAAAATTCTACGTGCTCATAGACCGGGCTTTAGACGCATTTTATAGGGCATAATGTTTTTTTTATCCACAACGAGGAAGCTCTTGGCTTGTATCTCACCTGATGGTAAGTGATGATCAGGCCGAAGGTAGAAGCGAGCTTCACTCGGAATCCTCAACCGGTTATAAAGTTCGTACGAATAGTACAACAAAAATATGCATAATATGCTAAGTTCCCTATAGCATTTCCATGATATGTAACGTTCTTGCGAATGCTTTCTGTTTTCGGCTTACGTTTCGTGAGTATAATATTTTTCTGTCGTACACTTTTTATTTTACACTTTGCTCGATAAAATGCTACACTAAACTTCGTTGGATTGTGATTTAATTACTGACCTGGTGTTGCTTGCTGCTGCTGCCCTGGCTCGTGCTGCTCGAAGACGATCCTTCAACAAACAAAGTCGAGCAGATAACACTACGCCTTTACACTTGTTATGCTGTCATTATATTTAATGAGATATTGTTTTTAAATCAACCATTTACGTTAAAAAACATGATAGATGTATATTTTTTATAATTGATAATATCATGAATAGTAATAATAAATCATATTTCCAAACTTGAAAAACTCAAACACAAATTATAATTTTAAATAGTGGCAACAAAATCAAAATATTTATGTGGTATACATAACCAATGACGGCTACAATACTTATTCGCCGGTGGCGCTAACTTGTGCAAATAAAACAGCCCTCAAACTGGGGCAAACAGTTCTCCCTTAATTTTTTATTTTAAGTTGAAACAAAAAAATATGAAAAAGTACAGTCGACAGCAATCAAATTAAAAACTTTTGTTGCAAAGTATTCTTTGTTGTTTTCTTGATGTGTTGTCGTCCGTACGAAACAAATAGAAAGCAAAACAAACAAATGAGAAATAAAAGTGGATACATGTTGCGTTACCTTTACCTTTCTTCGCGGGCACGTCGCTCGCCTCGCGCCGGTCCGAGTGGTGGCTCCGCGCCGACTCCGACGAGCTCAGCGATCTGGTGGCATAATAAAATTCATTAATAAATATCCTTCGATGTATTGCAGTAGTTCACCAATGAAAAATCCGTTTAAATAGACAAAATCTGAGAGATTGTCACAAAGAAGATCCTTTGACATTTTATCCTTCATTATCTAGTGTCAAACTAAGGCACGTCTTATCAAATCGCCAATGAGAAATTCTCGTCGAGATTACGACTATTTTCTCGTTCAAGAAACGTACAATACGTAATTCACCTATTTTACCCTCTTGTACAGGATGTTGTTCGTGAAACCAACTTTTTTATTATTTCTGACTTCGATTTCATGCCAAGGATTGTATGAAGAGAAATTATGTACAGTCACGGAATGAAAAGGTTCGTCAGTTTTCAAATTGATTCCTTCAACGAATCGCGAGCACATATTACCTTTTGAAACTATGTTACAGAATAATCTCGAGTTAGAGAAAATAATCTTTAACTGTTCGTCAGTAAAGTTCAAAATTATTCAGATCAAAATTGTTTGACGATTTATCTTGTCAAGAAGATTATGATTGATAAACTAAAACCTTCTTGTTGGTTCAACCTGCCATTATTATTTCTATTAAATAAAAAAAACTATTGTCAATTGGTCAATGTCATCATTGCATTGCACTGATGGGATAGAAAAATAAACAAGCAAAACCTTATTTGTTAGCAAATGTCAAATTTTTAAATGTTAGCGCACTGTTTCTTGCACTGTTATGTTGGCAGGTTTGACTCTTACAGTAGGTACCTAGTGCAAGCGAAAACCGACACTAAGGTGACGAACCTTTTCATTCTGCGACTGTACTTAATTTTGATTAAGTTCAAAATATGTCGACATCAGTAGCTAAAGAGTCAATCCTTTAGGCACAAGATAAAATTTAAAGTCTTTTCTGCACACACAAATTGCGGTACAAACGCCGAACTTAATGCCGTGTGGGATTGCTTACCAATTAATATGTTGGCATCAGTCATTATCGTAACGTTAACGTAGAATCCCGTCGCGCTCGCACACACACTGCGGGCGCGCGTCGCACAGTCGCGACAGGAATATAATTACGCGCGAGCGATAAGGATGGGTAGCTTAGGGTCATTGGACGGGATTCTACGTGCTCACGGACCAGGCTTTAGCTAGAGGGCTGTGATCAACCTATAGCTCTACAGGTCACAAGATGTTGAACATTTTCATTGATTGTCGACCTTATGTGGAGTTGTTAAGGTTCAAAATATGTTACCTGGAGGGCGGCGGCGCGGGCTTGGCGGCGGGCGGCGGCGCCGGCGTGGACGCGCCGCTGGCGGACCGCGGGCTGGCGCGCGACACCGACATCTGCTGTAAGGGAAGATACGCTTTAATATGCACCTTATTGTTAGAAGGATAAGGGAGATAATTGGGTGTAAGGACTCTTGCAAAGAGGGCGTAAAATTGTATGACATCTACATTGGACTATCAAATACAAACAGTTAGGCCCTTTTCACACGTCCCGGTTGCCGGCTAACCGGCGCCGGCTATCCGGTGGTGAAGTGTATGGGCATGGTGCGTAGCTTTCACATGTTCCGGCGTAATTAATCCGGCATGACCATACACTTCACCACCGGGTACCCGGCGCCGGTTAGCCGGCAACCGGAACATTTGAAAAGGGCCTTAGTGTGCGGCGCACGACTAACGTTCCCATTCTTTTTATGAATATTTTGTTTTATTTTTCTTAAAAAAATACAATTTGTAATGATCAATCGCACCTGATGTTAAGTGGGATGCAGTCTAGGATGGTACATATCTGCCCTGTAAGTGCTTATTCACTCTCGCCTTGAAGAGGCCCGGATCATAGTTTTCGGGAAAGACAGCAGCAGAGACTGAGAGAGAAATAAGTAGTTAATATTATTCATGATAATTCATGCTAAATCATGTATTTCCTCCGCCAGTTTCTGCAGTTAGGCACCTCACGTCACATCACTTTACCGAAGTCAGCCCTATAGCTTCGGCGCAGTGCCGATCACTGACGTTTGTCAACAAAATGGTGCTTGACTCTTGAGACAGGCTAAATTACACCATATTGTTAATGACATTGAGCATACATTTATTTAAATACCTTCGCGAAGTAAAACTTCTGTACGTAGTACCACAGAATAATAATAAGTACAATATGGTGTAATTTAGCCTGTCTCAAGAGTCAAGCACTATTTTGTTGATAAACGTCAGTGATCGGCACTGCGCCGAAGCTATAGGGCTGACTTCGGTAAAATGATGTGACGTGAGGTGCCAAACTGCGGAAAATGGCGGAGGAAATACATGATTTAGCATGAATTATCATAAATAATATTAACTACTTATTTATCTCTCAGTGTCTTGAGGCAACTTAAAAAAGTACATTCTGTGTTTTTATTATTATTTAGGCAGTTAAATACTGCACAGTATTTAGTACACCATTTTCTTTATTTTATTCCATCATACACAAGAATACGCGTGCGTGAGTCAATGTTCGCTCGTATGTGACGCTTTGTCAAATAGTATCCTGTAGGTGGGCCATCGTGCGTGTTTTGTTTTCGATGTAAACTCGCGGAGATGAACAGGCCTGGTAGTACTTATTATTATTCTGTGCCTGTACTCACTTGCAGACGGTGCGAGTGCGCCGGCGGCGGCAGCGGCGCGGCGGCGGCGGGCGGCGGCGACGGCGCGGGCGCGGCGAGGCGGCGCTCGATCTCTTGTTCTTGCTGCAGCGCGCGAACGAAGGCCGTCTTGAGTCGAGCAGTATGCTCCGCCTGCAACAAGCGCCCTTATTCACTACAGATTAGGGGATATAATCCCATCACTATGGTAAGAAGACTAAATGGACCGTAGTTCAAACTGTAAGTAGCGATATTTATTGAAAAACCGATGAAAAGCAGGGTACTCATCTAGCCGTGTAGCATGTAATGTATCAGATACTGTATCAAGTGAGTACATAGGCACGAGCCCGCTGCGAGCTGCTCGCGCGTGGTTCGCAGGGAGATCGCAGCGACCCGCCGAATGGCACAATAGCACAAAGGAGGCTCGCAGTAAGATTCAGGAGCTCGCAGCCAGATACGCGATGACCGTGGACGAGCCGTACTCACTTGAAAGTCGGTTACGTTACATGCTACATTACGTGCTACATGGCAGGTGAGTACCCTGCCAAAGATGTAAATGGATTCAAATGGAGACGAAGTTTCGTCGATAGCACATGTTATGTCAATAAGAAACTCCTAAAATTTTCGAACCTTATAGTTACAAGTTTAGCGCATGCGTAACTTGAGTCAGTGCCTGAGTTATGGGAGCGGCACGGGATGGGTAATATTGGTGTAATTATTATGACGTGACAGAGCATACAATAAAGGCTTCCACAGACCAAACGCAGGTCAGAAGCAGTGCGAGTCATTTGCAGCGCGGCAGTAGCAGTTTCAAAGCAGTTGCAACGCGGGCGATTGTAAAAAAATACAATATTCGTCAACCGCTTTCAACGCGCTGCGCTGAACTGCTACCGCCCTGCCTCCGGTGAGTCATGCTAATATGGCCGCCATAGTAATACAACAGCGCAGGCCCGCGTTCTCGCCGCTTCTGTCCCGCTCCCGCGCCGCCTGGTTTGTCGTTCGGTAGTTGCAGTGCGGCGCGGTTGGAGCGGGCCCGCGTTCAAATTTGGTGTGACATACTTCAAAGAGTTTCTTGTATTACAACTTGCGCGGGCCCGCATTCAAACAGCGCGGCTACTGCCCCGCGTTTGGTCTGCCGAAGCCTTAAGTATGAAACACACCTGAAGTCACGTTTGACGTCACAAAAACCCTCCCGTGCCGCTCGCATCCCTCAGGTACAGACTCAATAATTATGCGCTAGACTTGTGGGATAAAAAGTTAAAAAAAATCATAACTTATGTAGGACTTGTAGGATGTTTAGCATTGTAACGACGATTTTACTAGAATTCGTATAATCCACCCGAGAAAGATTCAGAACCATAAAAATGTCTCCATCTTTGAAACAAATGAACATCTGGAATTATTGGCATCTAAACCATATCGATCATATTCTAAATAGTTTCTGCATGCTAGTAGTTTTAATTGAACAACAAAGGCACTTACCACCGACGTCTAATGAACATGAAGCGCAGACATATTAAGAACACAATAAAATGGTAGCAATTTCGTTACACCAGTATTTAAAGTAATTTAAATGCCATTGTCTTACTAATATTGAATGAATAAAATACAAAGAAACAATGAAAATATTGGCTACTTCATGCAAATGTATTTTAACTATCAAAAAGCCCTATCCATAGACATTTGAGTTTTGTTTTAAATTTATTTTGAGTCATATTATTAAATGGGTTGAGGGCCGGACTCTGCCAAAGTGGAGATATGCGAAATGTCAAAGCGTAGACGCGAGAACAGACTGTCAGCTCTAGTGTGTATCCAAAACTGTACTTATCCGCTTATCCACAGAATCGAGATGTGGACTGGCTAGATTGCGGCAGACAACAATTACACATTTTTGTTTCGATTGCGCCATCTTCGCTCAGTGGCATCTAATCTGAGTGTTGACAAGATGTATGACAACAAAATTATATTTATTGTTAAATCGTTTAACGGAGGTAGCAAGTTAAAATTCATCAAATCATTGTTTTTGGATCTCAAAGTAATGGTGGGATCTATATTCCCACTCGCCACGTCACACAGTGAAAGAAAACAGTTTTCTAAATATTTCCGGATAGAAAACAGTCAATTTCCAAAAAAATATTTTGTAAAAACTAGACATGCTAGCAAAATGGAGATTTCGTAGCTATCATTTAAATCGCCGTAACTAGCCGCTTTTTCAATAAAAAGGCCATGTCCGAAAAATGGTCTTCATGACACACTGTGTGTCATTTCCGCTTTGCCTAAGTCCGGCCCTGTCCCTCCCACAGTTCATTCATTACCTTAAGCGCGCGTTTGACGTTGCCCGAGACACACAACTCGCAAAGTCGGCGGGCGGCGGGCGCGCACGTAAAGGTCGCGTCTTGGCGCCGCGCCGGCGGCCGCTCCCAGCGCCACACCGGCGTGAAGTCGCAGCCGCACTGGGCGCATACCGCCGGGACCGAGGAGCGCGGCATGCTGCGGGATTATACACTCTGTTTACATGAGCCTAAGTTGGTTTAGCCCTTGACAAAACCTATCGCAATTCTTAGGATCTCGCCACACTGGCGGATTGCAAGCGTTTTCTGGGCAGAGCAGCGGCGCGGCGCGGTACGCCGCGTGTGACGCCGTTGCATTTTACAAGCATGTTGCATTTTACAAGCAACCGCGGCGTACCTGCCGCGCAGCCGCTCCGCTTGCAATCCACTTGTGTGGCAAGGCCCTTACGCACACCATCTGATAGTGATGAGCGAGTATACTAAGGAAATGTGTAAATGCCACACCGGCGTGAAGTCGTAGCCGCACTGGGCACATACCGCCGGTACAGAGGAGCGCGGCATGCTGCGAAAAATTCGCGAATGTCAACTCTATTTAGATGAACACAAGAACTTAACTTCTGCTACAAGGACCTCAACTCTTGCGCACACCGCCGGCACGGAGAAGCGCGGCTTGCTAAGGGAATAAGAACTTTACTAGCACGAGACTAAGACTCAAGCAAGACCGTCGGCGGCCGGCGGCCGCTCCCAGCGCCACACCGGCGTGAAGTCGCAGCCGCACTGGGCGCATACCGCCGGGACTGACGAGCGCGGCATGCTAGGGAAATATACACTTTATTAGCTGTAGCATAAGGGTCTTATTCTTTCGCAGGAGGCTTCCTACGAACAACGCCGGCACGGACGATCGTGGTATGCTGCGAGAAATTCGCGAATGTCAACTCTATTTAGATGAACACAAGAACTTAGCTCCTACGCACACTGCCAGCACTGACGAGCGTGACATGCTGCGGGAATATGAACTCTATTAGCACGAGCATAAGAGTAAGACTCCTACGTACACCACGGCACCGCCGGCACGGAGGAGCGTGGCATGCTGCGGGAAGATGAACTCTATTTATATGCCACAAGGATCTCAACTCGAGCGCACACCGCCGGTACTGACGAGCGCGGCATACTAGGGGAACATAAACTCTATTAGTACGAATCTAGCGTCACGCAGGCGGCCGCTCACAGCGCCACACCGGCGTGAAGTCGCAGCCGCATTGGGCGCATACTGCCGGCACCGAGGAGCGCGGCATGCTGCGAAATATTCGCGAATGTCAACTCTATTTAGATGAACACAAGGACCTCAACTCTTGCGCACACCGCCTGGAGTGACGAGCGTGACATACTGCGGGAATATGAACCCTATTTATATGGACGCAAGGACCTCAACTCGAGCGCACACCACCGGTACTGACGAGCGCGGCATACTAGGGGAATATAAACTCTATTAGTACGAATCTAGCGCCACGCCGGCGGCCGCTCCCAGCGCCACACCGGCGTGAAGTCGCAGCCGCATTAGGCGCATTCTGCCGGGACGGAGGAGCGCGGCATGCTAGAGAAATATACACTCTATTTATATGGGCATACGGACCATAACACCTTAGCATGAATCTCAACTCCTGCGCAAATCGCCGGCATCGACTAGCGCGACATGCTGCAGGCGAATATAGACTCTGTTTATATGAGAACAAGAATAAAAGTCCTGTAGCACTGCTGGCATGAACATGAACTCTTTTGACACTAAAACAAGAATAAGACTCAAGCGAGCACAGCCGGCGGGCGGCGGACGCGCACGTGAAGGTCGTATCTTGGTTGCACACCAGCGTGAAGACGCAGCCGCATTGGGCGAATATATACTCTGTTTACATGAACCTAAGGTGGTTTATCCCACGACAAAACACATCTTAACTCTTGCACATACCGGCGCCGCCACCGACACCGGCACCGTTTGTATTATGCCCGTTTTCACCATCGGTCCCTTATTTTTAAGTGACACCTATGGTAAGTATGGTAACACTTAACAGGCATTTTGTTTTCATAGGGGTCACTTAAAAATTAGGGATTGATGGTGAAAATGGGAATTAGTCTCGCAACGGGACCAAAACATACTCCATTCATATGAACCTAAGTTGGTTTATCACGCGATAAAACACATCGCTCGCAACCTTTTTCGCACACGTCGCGGCGCTGGCACGAATGCTGTAGAACCATGCGAGTGCCAAATTCAAGAAACACGCCAATTTCAACTGTTTAAGCACGATCACTAGAATCTTACATACACCATCCATTGGAAGAGTGAACAGTAGAGTGAGGAGTGTAGGCCAAAATCGTCCCTTTGGTAAATTAGAGATGTGGCCCAGTAGGACTGCAGGATTAGTGGAGACTAAATGACCTGATGATGATCTGTGTCATAATACAGGGTGTAAAAAAACCTATCACGAAGACTGAAACCACGCATTCTGTACACCCAACCAAGTAATATTACAAAATATTATTCGTGGGAATTAATTTTTATTTTTAAGATTAAAAAAAATACAATATTCCGCAGCCCGCAATGTACAGCGCGCCACGCAACGCAACGACTTTGCCTATGTGTGTGTGAGTGATTGGAGCGTACGCGCTTTCCCGCCACTACCTACCGCGACCGCAGAAGTATTTTGTACACAAAATTACCAGATTAATCACTTCCTACATTTAAAAAACACATTCCTTTAGCATTTGTTTAGGTTTAAAGCTAAGTACTTACCGACTATTCCACTTCGTCGTCTGGAATCGGCCGCTCCAACCGGACAAGTTGTGGCTCGAACTGACGACCTTCCACGTGCAAGCAAACGCGTGCCCGGTAAAGTGTGTTTTGATGTACGCGCTCCAGTATGCCCTCACGTACAGACCGGTATTTAAGCTCATCAAATACGTCAATAATTTTTTGACGCATTTGTTCGCTGGTCTCACAAGGGCGGTCAAAAACACGGTCTTTTACCCCACAGAAAAAAGTCTAACGGCGTCAAATCGGGCGAACGGGCAGGCCACGCATGCGGCCCATATCTGCCGATCCAGTGGTCGCCAAACAGCTCCGTCAGCCGCTCCCGAACTGGTCTCACAATGTGAGGCGGCGCACCGTCGTGCTGGTACCACGTATCCCGCAGCTCGGCCAGCGGCATGTCGTCCAAGGCCTCCGACAAGTGTCCATTGATCAAATTCAAATACGCGGCCCCGTCCATTCTAGGTGGCAAGAAAACGGGACCGAGGATCCGGTTCCCCACAATGCCTGCCCACACATTATGCTTCCACCGCGCCTGGAAGCCCGTTTCTTGGGTCTGGTTTGGGTTTACGGCAGACCAGTAGTGAGCATTGCGACGGTTCCACATTCCGTTGTTTGTGAAGGTGCTCTCGTCCGTAAAAATGATGCGCCGCACAAACCCTCGGTCTTGTCTCAGCAGCCACTGACAATAAGCCATGCGGCGCTGGGCGTCGCCCGGGACCAGTGCTTGCACGCGGTGAATTTTGTATGGCCTTTGCCTGTCCCTTCTTAGCACTTTATGCACGGTGGAATGAGACACGACATGACGAGCGCGATGACCATGCCTTCTACGCAGCAGCCTAGCTGCCGATCGCACGCCTAGACGAGGGTTTTCCCTCATCACATCTAGGATGGCTTGTTCCGCCGCAGGTCGTATTTGGCCGCGCCCGCCCTCCAACACTGGCACAATCGGCTGATTGTCCAGCAGGCGTTGTACAGCCCGAACAAAAATACGTGCATCAGTAGGGTGGTGCGCTGTAGGATGTTCAGCCCGATACAGCCGCAGGGCTTCAGATGCATTTCCATGTGCCCTCCCATAACTGTAAACCATGTTTACGTACTCACGAGCACTGTACGTATGGTTAGGCATTTTCCTAACACTCACTCACTCACTATTACCACACTCACTATCACACGTTCACACACTAACTACTCAAAACCGCCCGAGAAAACAATTAAAGTCGCTTTGCAATGAGAAAAGCGCATTCGATGACCGAAGAAACCGAACTGGCCGCGCGAGTGGCGCTGGCGCGAGGCGCGGAGCGGCCTAGCAACAAAGGCGCTGCCCAGCGCGGCGAGACTGACCAATCACAGTCAAGCAATACGTCTATCGAATGACGTCATCGCTTTGTTATTATTCTTAATTTTCAACTACAAATTTACGTAATTTTTAACATAACAAAACTTTAATTTCGTTAGTTTAGTACATGCAAGTCTATCAACGAATGAGAATGTAAAAGCGGCGGGAAAAATACTTTGTTTAATCTTGGTAACTAAAGATCCGTCCTAGCATAGTACTTAATAATAATTAATGCTCTTAGCAAACTTCCAAAATACTCAAATTTGAATGAATTGTAGATACGCAATCGTTATTAATAAAACAATAATAATACCAATACATTTTGATAGTTATTTCGTGTAATAAAGTTACGTTCATTTAAAATAATCCCAAACAAGACGATGAATTATTTTTTGTAAATTATGAAGAATGTAAGTAATTAGTATGAAAGAAGTGCTAAAAGATATGAAATTTTGTTTAGTTTCTAAAATCAATCGAGTTTATAAACAAAATCTTATCTTTTATCTCATATCGAAAGTGAAGGAACAAGAGTTTGTCGGTGATTTATTTCTAGGCGTTCAGATTGCATTAATAAGTAAGTTAAGTTTTATTTTATTAATTACTATCGTAAAGACGTTGAAGTTATTAAGGTAGAGAGCTAGAAATGTAAGCAATAATGAACCTGTGTGTAAAGAGCATTTGTCATCTGTTTACAGTACTTTTTAATGATACAAGTTTATCACACCTGCTTACTACCTGTGATTAGCGATTAAAATTACGTTTATTTAGAATCGCGTGCATGACGATTATTTATTTCAAGTAAATTATTAAGAAAGGAAGTAATGAGTATGGAAGGAGTGAAAAAAGATACTTTTTTATTTAGTTGCTGAAATCATTTAAGTTTACAAAACACACAATCATAACTCCTAACTCGAAAGTGAATGCCTCAATCAACGATAGGCGCAACATTGCTAGGGTGTTTATTCTAGGCGTTTAGAGCGGTGTGGTGTAAGCAATAATTTGAGTTTTACTTTATTAATTTCATTACTATCGTAAAGACTTCAGTTATTGAAGTAGAGAGTTATGAATGTAAAGAATGACGAGCCTGATTCAAAAGACCATTCATTATTCATCTGTTTACGGTACTTTTAAATGACACTACTTACCTACTTGTCTTACGCTTATCACACTTGCGTAGGTACTAGGACCTGTGATACTACATTGTGATAGAATGATGGTTATGCGTAAAAGCATGGTTTAGTTAAAAATGTTAACCAAGGTTCTGTAAGATTTTTTATTTTGCGGAAAGAAACAAATTCGTGTAAAGGGTTTTTATTAATTAAAGGGTAATTTATTAGTTTTTAGAACAAAAACTAAAGTGGTAAGGTGATAAGGTGTGTGACTAATTTAAGTAATCATTTCATTTTTACAAATTGGGTAGANCTGTGATACTACATTGTGATAGAATAACGGTTATGCGTAAAAGCACGGTTTAGTTAACAACCTAGGTTCTGTAAGATTATTTAATTTGCGGAAAGAAACAAATTCGTGTAAAGGGTTTTTATTAATTAAAATGTAATTTATTATTTTTTAGAATAAAAACTAAACTGGTAAGGTGATATTAAGGTGTAAGTAACTAATTTAAGTACTCATTTCATTTTTACAAACTAGGTAGATTTGGATTAAGCTCAGTTCAGTTGGTCCATTCGTAGTCGTTGAACTCACAGTAGAGTTGAATGACTCATGGGCGAGCGCGGGTTGCGGTTCGGGGCGTGGGGGCAGCGCTTGAGCGTGTGTGCGCGCGCTGCTATCCATTTCTTATTGTAAAGACAAAAGCCTTATTGTGACGAAAATACTCAAAATTTTAATAAGGTTTCTTAGAAAAAAAATTTTAAACAACGAATTGAAATTGATAATGTAAAAATCTTGAAAAAAATATTCTGACTTTGACCTTCAATATCTCCTAAACCACAAGTTTCCCAGGTATGGTCCCAAAGAAAAAAATGATCCCCATGATGTGGAGAATAAGTGGTCTTCGGCTTCGGGATAGGTTTTTTTACACCCGTTATATGTCTGCCTCACCGGTCCTCGTTGGTGATGTAGTCGACGACGTGCTCGAGCCCCACGAGGTACACGAAGTCGGTGTTGCTGGGCGACGGGATGATGATGATGATGATGATGATGATGATGATGTGCCTCACCGGTCCTCGTTGGTGATGTAGTCGACGACGTGCTCGAGCCCCACGAGGTACACGAAGTCGGTGTTGCTGGGCGACGGGATGATGATGATGATGATGATGATGATGATGATGATGATGATGATGATGTGCCTCACCGGTCCTCGTTGGTGATGTAGTNGGGACCCCACTCAGCATATGCCGCGGCCCACGGTGACGAAGGCCACGGCGCTGGTTTTCAGTGTGCCCCATGCCGAGTGAGGGTCACGGACCATTGGTAGTACAAACAAGTAAACTAATTTAATTTTCGCTATTCAATCACGATGGCAATCGAAATCGCCCGAATTAATCTGCCCCCTAGACGAGACAAGACGAGTGGCAAAATCTGACATTCTATTCGGACGGATTCGATTTTCGAAAAGTGTCACTAGTCTAGTCTACTAATAAACTCGACACGTCATGCAATGAGACAATGGGCCAACTATCCGGCCGCCGGATATCCGGCTATCCGGCCTAGCAGCTGGCCGGATATCCGGTATCCGGTATCCGGCCAAACAACTATCCGTTTCATCTCTAATGATGATGATGATGATGATGATGTGCCTCACCGGTCCTCGTTGGTGATGTAGTCGACGACGTGCTCGAGCCCCACGAGGTACACGAAGTCGGTGTTGCTGGGCGACGGGATGATGATGATGATGATGATGATGATGATGATGTGCCTCACCGGTCCTCGTTGGTGATGTAGTCGACGACGTGCTCGAGCCCCACGAGGTACACGAAGTCGGTGTTGCTGGGCGACGGGATGATGATGATGATGATGATGATGATGATGATGTGCCTCACCGGTCCTCGTTGGTGATGTAGTCGACGACGTGCTCGAGCCCCACGAGGTACACGAAGTCGGTGTTGCTGGGCGACGGGATGAAGTTCATCTCGGGCGGCGGCGGCTTGGGCGGCGGGATCTGGTGATCATAAGTAACGTTTATGTGTTATGAGTGGGTTTACCACCTTAAAAAACTAATAACTCATAACACTAATTTGTTTTTGCAAATAGGCTTTTAAAAAGCACTTTTACACGTTCCATTATTAACCCCACCACTGCTTTGGGACAATAACTGAGCCAGCGCTGAGAAGAAGCAGCGTAAGAAACTCAGTCACTATTGTCAACGTGCGTCATAGTCCACCGGAGGCAGGGTTCGAACCCGCGTTCATCGGGCCTGAATTTTATTCTTGGAAATAAATGCTATCTTATCAATCCGACCGACACTGACACCATTGATTTGGGCTAATTGTAGCTTAATTCAATTCTCAATATTCATGGAGCGATGGAGTGTGCTATGCGCAGTTTTGATAAGTGATTGAATTAGAAACGAGATCTGTAGGAACTAAATTAACAGATATATCACGCTGCTAAGCTTAGTGGATCGAATAGCTCTTAGAACTTATGGCCATTGGGGATAAAAAAAACCGGACCGGGAGAGGCAGACCTTCCACTCTCTAGACCAACGAACTAATGAAGGTCGAAACTTCTTGATGCAGGCAGCGCAAGACCGTTCGTTATGGAAACCTTTCGGAAAGGCCTTTTTCCAGCAGTAAACACATTGTATTCATTGGCGTATCTAGGGTTAATTTTCAGGAGAATTAGTATCATACCTCATGAACGAGTACTATCAACTACCTACCTAAGATCCTGGCTACACACGAGATGCAGCGGTGGGAACGAGAGGTGGGAATAGTCCCGTACCATCTTCGAAACGGTACCCCAAAATCCTGGGGGAGGCCGTGCCCACCCAGCCTCTTCCGGTATATGTATACACGCATGATTGTATTGTGCGGAAATCGAATCCGCGACCTAGTAGCCAAGCGGCTATCAAATATACCATAATAGAGAGAAGAAGAGAGGAGTACTTAGATGTAATCATACCTGCAATAACGTCTTCTCCAGCTGCTTCCGCAGCGCCAGCTTGGCAGCAGCCTGGCGTTGCGCCGGCGTCTGCGTGTCCTCAGAACTACGGGAGCTCGCCTGCAACACCAATCGAGAGTTTAGAACCGCTGTGTAACATGCAGTTACAACTAGAAATCCAGGGAGTCACTTAAGCTTCGGCCAATCCAACGCGTACAGCAGCCTTATTCACGTAACAAAACTTCAACGACAAAAAAACACTGAGTTGCGATCCTATCGAGTAATCGTTCAATCAAAATGATCCTTGTGAATATCTTAATCCTTAGTCTCTCCACTGGACCTGTGGTTGACTGGCAGAGAATGCCACTTGGCATTAAGTCCGCCACTGTACAGTTTTATGTGCAAAAGTATAAATAAATCAATAAATACGGATTTAGAACTGTTTTTCAATGGGACGACTTCTGAACGTCAGCGAGATCTTCGGCCCCTGTATCAATGAGGAACGTTACATTATTGGCCTTGTCGGTAACGAAGATGCGGCGTGTAGGTGTATGGGAAATTGCGTCACCCGCCGTTAATGACTCCCGCTGGCGTTTCCCTGCTGTGGTTTGTTGTAGGAACAAGGTCCAATGCACTTCTTCGCTCGTGAACCGTAACGATGATGGGACTGTCAAAATACGTGAATTAGGCCACGGATCGCGTCGGCGACGGCGATCACTGCTCGTGCATCGATCGCCGCGACCAATGACAGGACGCGTCGATGTGAACTCATCGCTACAAATTCATAAATGACGTCTGATCGCCATCGCGCACGCAGGCTGTACGCGTTGGTTTGGCCAAATCTTTATTGTTACAACTTCGGACCCATAGTGTGACAACTGCAGACTCTGAGTATCTATCGATCGCCTCTTTTCTTAAAAATACCTTGCAAATAGGGTTAATAAGAATAATTTATAGTATGAGACGTGGAACTACGGGGCAAACACGGGACACATATCATTACAAGTACACATATTACAGTCAGTTTGTCAAGCCTCGGGCATTACCACATTACGTTATAGCTTGTAAAAATGTCGTTGAATGCGACAAATAGACCTGCATGGTAAATTAATAGTTTCGATGTCAAAGATAATCATCAACCTATATTTATCTTGATAAATATCAAAGATAATTGACACTAGCCGTAGTTTTTAAATAGTAGGCGTTTGTAGAAGCGCAGAGCTTTTTACTGAAACTATATTTTGCTGGCAATTTTTTTTTATTAAAAGGCTACCTTACTAAATTTAATAATATAACTGGAATATCTAAAAAGATTAGTTCTTAATCAATATAGGCAACACTATAACATGGTAGGTCACATACATCAATTAGGTAAAAAGTTTTGTCCAAGTCCAGTCATAACATCTCTATGGGAAATCATAGAGAATATGAGATACCCGAATAATCAGGACATATGTAACCTATAACGTCATACAGTGATATAAAGATACATCACATGTCCATACTCACTGCATCGCTCGTGCTACTGGTCACCGAGGAGTTGTCCTGTGCCGGCTTGCAATACAACGTTTCATACATAGAGCATATATTTTTGTGAATTACGTATACAATATACAGATATTTTACACTCGCTAGCACATCAAACTAAACGTTTTTATTTCAAAATAACTACACATTATGAAAACATTATAAAAAGCACATAAGATGCCAATTAGTTTGATTTGATAATCTCGAAGTAGATACAAATGACAACACATTAGACTACATATTTTTGATGTAAAATCGCTTCTATTCCAACTGAATAAGAATCTGCAGCGTTTAGCGTGACGTGCATTTGTCTATGATGATAAAAATAATTTAATCATCATTTTAAATAATACATTATTTTGATATCGCCTGTAGGGTATTACGTATAACCGACCGAGTATACGAGCTAACAGCACCTCGGTGGTTTGCGACTGTCCCTTCCGCTTACCCGTTTGCGTCGATATGACGTCACGGCTACCAGGTGAGCAGGGGTCGTAGTGTGAGTTTACGTCAAACACATTCGATGGCGACTGCGTAAAAAAGTGACATTAAATCTATGGCGGATTGTACAGCGCCCCTAGTGGAAACTTTCAAGAACTTGTGGCGACACCGACGATACGCCACTACAAACTGTGTACCAACAGATGGCGCTGTCACTACTTCACTATGGCACACTCCGCTGCTCATACAAACCTGCATCGCGGTGACGGAGTTTTATATCCTGCCAAATATAGATAGACAAACCAAGATGGTGTAAATTGGACCTTGGTCCCCGAGCATAACACCCGCTCGGAAGGAAGCACTAACATCTAGCTTCCTTATTGTGGTTGAGCATCATATCCCACAAACTAAAATCTTCATATATTTTTTTAACGCAGTACACTACGCCCCCAGTTAACTCGATCAGGTTGTAATTACTGTATGAACATGAATAAAGTATGTGTGAGAGAATCTGTATGAAAAGTGTAATTTATTTATTTGTAATGGGTATACAGACAGTTTACAGTCTAGGCTTCATCGTACGTAATGAAATACAGAGTAAAATCCCAACTAATATTATAAATGCGAAAGTAACTCTGTCTGTCTGTCTGTATGTCTGTCTGTCTGGCTGTTACGCTTTCCCGCTTAAACCTCGCAACCGAACCTTATATAAAAGAAAGTCGTGTTAGTTACTCCAGTTATAACTCAAGAACGGCTGAACTGATTTAGCTGAAAATTGTCAGGGAGGTAGTTTAGAGCCAGGAGAAGGACATAGGATACTTTTTATCCCGTTCGAAATTAAAAAAAAGTCTGCTTATTTATTGCCATTAAGGCGGAACAAAGTTCGCCGGGTCAGCTAGTAGTGTATAAAAAATAAATATTGTTACCTTAGACGAAGCATTATGCGAGGCGGGCGGCGGTGCCGGCGTGATCGTGACCGAAGGCGTGATGCTAGCGCCGCCGCTTGTCGACGACTGCGGAACAACAGATGATTGTATACTTCTATTAGCGACGTCGACAAAGAAAATACGTTAATCTATTAATTAGAATTGATTAGCAACGTTAACAGTCAGAAAATAATCAATTAGAGTCGATTAGAGATAAATAACATTCCTTCTCTTTCTCACAATGTCTGTCATCTCGCTTGCACATCAATTACTCTTCCACACACTTCTGGAATATTCGAGAGAAAAATAAACGGGACGGCAAGATCGGACCTCTTGCTTCGAACATTTCAGAACAATGGTCCAGAACATGAGAGACAGAGACAAGAATATCGGGAGAGAAAGGGATGGATAAAGCCTGGGACCCTATAAATACGGAGCGAGAATAAATAACGAGGAGTTCGTCACACAAAGATAATCAAATATCGTTACACATTATTGGCGGTAGTTACTAACGCCCGTATTCACAAACGATTACTTTTAAGGGAAGGAGCAAATCGAACGCCCAGCGTTGAATAGAGCTCTGTAATTGGTTCATGTGTCACTCTGTGCGTCCAACGCACTATGAGACCTCATAGTAATGTTCGTGAAGACGGGCGATAGTTTTAGCCCGTCTAGTTTCACTCCATCTTCTTCCCGATACTTTGTGTTTGTTCCGTGAAGCTATATCGATATTAAAACTGCCATGAATTTTACTCCCACTAAGTGAACCGACGATCTGGTGAAAGTCGCGGGAGGTGCCTGGATGCGGGCGGCGCAGGATCGATCTTCGTGGAAATCCTTGGCTTTTTTTTTGTCCAGCAGTGGACGTCTTTCGGCTGAAACGACGACGACGAATGTTACTTTGTCAAGGTCAGCTATAGTTCCAAAATACTGAACTGTCCTATGCATGACATTGACAGTGGGGCGCCATTGTCAATACCGGATCGCTGGTTATGATTTTTGTCATGTTGGAAACCATATAGTTGAACGATGGTAGCGCCCCCCTGTCATTGAGTTTGGTGGGACAGTTCAGCGTGGGTCATCTATATAATATCGCGAAGTTTCAACCGCCTCTGTGGTCTAGTGGAAAGATCACCTGCTTCAGACGCAGAGGTCCCGGGTTCGATTCCCAGTGGGGGCAGATTTTTCTGTTCGGTTTGGTTGGTGGTAGGGCTTGTTCTAAGTCCGTCTGGCTAGCTACCACCATCTTACCTAAGTCTGTCGCCATAACAACAATGTTTACAGCATTGTTGTGTTCCGGCAGTTAGAGGTAAGATAGCCAGTTCCTCCGTGGTTGAGGATTCCGGGTGAAGCTCGCTTCCACCTTCGGCCTGATCGTCACTTACCATCAGGTGAGATACAGACCAAGAGCTTCCTCGTTGTGGATAAAAAGAAAAAAAATCAGCACAGCGCCATCTCTCGGGCGCGCTGGACACTGGCTCGTACCTGCGAACGGTAGACGCCGGGCGTCAGCGTGGCGCCGCCGGGCAGCGACGAGGTGCGCCGCGACACGTAGCCGCCCGGCACGATGCTGTGCGACGAGCCGCCGCTGCTCGTGCCCGCGCCGCTTGGCCGCTGAGAAAACAATGTCAAAGTCAAAGTTGTGTTGTTTAGACTAATAAATAGTTCTTACAAATCGTCATTTTGCTCTTAAGGAGCCTCTACATGTCTCGGTATCCTTCCGTTTGGCCAAATTACTTTTCGCCAAATTTCACTTCGCAAACAACTTATCGCCAAAGTTTCATTTCCCAAATTAACTTTTAGCAACTGTACTTTTCGCAACTAATTCATTTGGTCAAATTATCATTTGGCAAAATTTTACTTGGCAAATGTTTATATAGCAAATGTTTTATTTTGCCAAATATCATATCCCAAATAATTTGTTTGGTCAAATTGACACTTCACATACTTACCCACCGTTACTCTACATGTCTCATAATCTTTTTACCCTACCAGCGCTTCGAGACCAACATTTGGCAAGTGCTGAGAAGAAGCGCCGCAACAAACTCAGTCACCACTGTCTGCCGATTAATATAAATAAATAGAAATAGCAGGTACATTCGATTCAGGAGCAGTTCACTGAATTTACCATGCATTCTTGTATAGTGTATCTTATAAGAATGGGTATACAAAATTGCGTGGCATATTAAACAAGGCAGTGACGTGCTAATATCTAGACTTACAGATTACATACTCAAATACTAGTAGAAATGACTCGCATACATAAGTTGGAATAACTTGGATTGACCAGTCCCCGAAAGCAGCGCCTGTTCACAGGGATTACTAATGTTTGGCCAAAAAACGTTTCCCAAATTATCACATCGCAAACAACGTTTCGCAAATTTTCATTTGGCAAATTCTCATTTGGCAAAGCAACTTATCGCAAACTTTTAATTCGCGAATGTTGTTTTTGGCATATTATTGTTTGGCAAAGTATGGTTTGCCAAATGTTTCATTAGGCAAAAATATTTCACGATAAACTATTTACAAAATAATTGGTGCATAGAATGGATACAAATTAGCTTGTGGTTATTATTTTGTTTAGTGGCTTCGCTCGCCTTCGCGCATTAAGGGTCACTGTTCTAACCTAACCTAACCTACTTTTTTCTGTAATACTTACTTTTTGCAACCATACTATTTCCTGCAATGTTTTACATAAAATTCTTGTGAAAACCATGATCATGTGCCTTATACTTTGATTTGTGGGTAACGGTGGGTAAGTATGTGAAGTGTCAATTTGACCAAACAAATTATTTGGGATATAATATTTGGCAACATAAAATATTTGCTATATAAACATTTGCCAAGTAAAATTTGGCCATATAATAATTTGACCAAATGAATTAGTTGCGAAAAGTACAGTTGCTAAAAGTTCATTTGGGAAATAAAACTTTGGCGATAAGTTGTTTGCGAAATGAAATTTGGCGAAAAGTAATTTGGCCAAACGGAAGGATACCGTTCACAGACATGACGAGTGAACCAGCCATCGCTTCACTCGACCATATTAGAGGGAATGTAACGACCCGCCTCACAATAAGAAACATTACATTACAACACTAAGGCTGGATTTAGTGTCACGCGGACTGTCAGTGCGGATCGCTCCGCACAGCCGATCTGTATGAACGGGAGCGGAGCGGTTCCTCCGGACCGCATACTCTAAAACGCTCCCTAGAAGTTCATACAGATTGGCCGTGCGGAGCGGGTCCGCACCGGACGGTCCGTGTGACACTAAAACCAGCCTAAAGACGTCATCCACGATTAAGGATGCCTTCAAGTTTGCTGATAAGTGCCTTGCGACGGCAGCGCGGCGGTCGTACTACTTTGTTTATTCATATAAACTAAGGGTGGCCAACTTGATTAGACATAAGACCTACTGTTTACTAACGAAGCCCTGGGCGATCTATCTCTTACATACTTCTTGAAATCATAAATGAAACAGCATAGTTTAGTACACAATCATGTAGTATTTTTTGCCTTGCCACGATCGACTAGACTAATATTCGCGATCGACCGGTTGGCAACCCCTGATATAAACAAAAACACGCGACTGCATTACTGCAGCCGCAGGCACTTTGCGGCAGAAGATAAGATAGATAGCTACTTTAGTAGGTATTCCAACCTAATACAGTAAATTAAAATTCAGAATGACAGTGTGTATTTTAAACGTGTGGTGACGCATGCAACGCGAACAATTTCAGCTGCGGGATTCATTACGGGTTAAATTACACCCCACATTCCATCTGGCCAGTGTAGAGGGCATACACCCTGTATGCCCTCCACCTCTATTTGCCACTGACAAATAAGAAAGAGAGACTGAAATAATGACCTTATGTTGAGGAGTATAAGGTAGTAGGTAAAGCCTGGTCCGTGAGCACGTAGAATTTTGTCCAAAGACCCCAAGCTACCCATCCTTATTGCTCGCGCGTAATTATGTTGCTGTCGCGCTCGCACACTCACTGCGGGCGCCCGTCGCACAGTCGCGACAGCAACATAATTACGCGCGAGCAATAAGGATGGGTAGCTTGGGGTCATTGGACCAAAATTCTACGTGCTCACGGACCAGGCTTTAGATAACATTCAAGAAGACTAAGGACAAACGTCAGCCAAATATAAGAGTGCCTTCTGTCGCTAAGTGGTAATTTCGTTGCGGGTCCAATGACAGTTTAACTTTCCCCGGGGACAAACTTGACCTTCATTGGTTGGGTTTTTATGGTGGTCAAGCTGTAGATCCTGGCTACACAGGAGCTGCAGTGGTGGGAACGAGAGATGGGAATATTCCCGTGTCGCTAAGTGGAGCGCGACCGTCTCGCTGCTGCACTTTGCAGCAGAAGGCACCCTAAGATAGAATAGAAAACGTTTATTTCGCTGCCACATGAAAATACATAGAACAAGCAGGGTCAACATTACATAAGTACTATCGGGGACTCTTCCGCCTGACCACTTTGTAGAAATTTTAGCGTAAGCGCATCGCTCTGGTCACGTGCTCACCCCGTCTCTAATTGGTTACGCATTTTACTATATTTTTACTACGACCAATAAGAGACAATCAGGGCTTAGGTTGCAATACGAAATACCATTGTGCACTTTATTGTCATACGGTTAAGGTTTAAAACGAAATGTTTCTTTTTCTTCAATCTTTCTTAGTTTTAGGCTGAGTTGCACCACCTAACTTTGACCGTAACTATAACGGTAACCGGTGCTTTTTGTATGGAGTTTGACAGATTTTTGACGTTTGTCAAAGTTAAAGTAAGATGGTGCAACTCAGCCTTAGAATTTTAATAATAGAATTTGGTTACAAACAAATAGATAATGTATTTTTTTAATATTGTGTTTTTATACGAGGTCTGTCTGCTTTTTCCTTTGGCGAACTGACGACATATTCTCGCCTTTGTTTTTTTGTTAAGTTTTGTGATCAGTAACCGATTGATTTTGTTTTGTGTTGACCCGTGCTATTAATTGGACTGTTTGATTGCCTTTTTATTGAACTCCGCGCGATTACTGAACCATGCCTCTCAAAATAATTCTTAATTCTTATATTTACTTACAAACTTGTCTACAATAAACATTGTTAACTGTTTAAGTATTATTTAGTTTGAAGTTTAATTGTTATTGATTTAAGACCTTGTGTAAAGACACTTAATGTGCAATAAAAAAATGTATTTGAAATAAAACTAACTTAATATTATAATATTTACGATAACCAATTACCTGGATCATTGCTACCTAGTGCAATATTTGTATTAAATTGTAATAACGTAGTTAGATAAGTGTTTCTTTAAAACGGAAAACAAAAGTTGCTAATGTATTAAAAATAAATAGAAACCTATTATAGGTTTTTTTATTTACATTCAAGGATTTAAGAAAGTTATTATGAAGTTATCTTACAATAATTCTTTTTAAGCCACAAATATTCCTTAACTCTTTACTAATTAATTCAATAACATAATATTGTTTATAAATTATAAGTTCCGAATAAATTAAATACCTATTAAATAAGTAAAATTCGAAAGTAAGTAACTAACTATATGATTTTGTATTTCTCGCCTTAACTAGCTAAACTAATATCACGAGATTTACACTCTTAATCTTAATATCAACAATAATTATAGAAAGGGCTACTTTTTTCTCAGGAAATTGCACAGTTACCTCGGAATGTGCGATACCAATTTTGTGACCCGAGCGGGCAATCGCTAGTTCAAATTTTACACGAAGCCCCTTATAATATTTTGTAGCGATTCTTTATTGGGTTTCAAATTGACTAAAATGCGACGTTGCCAAACGAGCGCTACGGATGCGGGTAATAAGCAATACTCAATCCTAAACGCTTTACATAGANGTGACAGACGGACAGACGGACAGACGGACAGACGGACATGACGAAACTATAAGGGTTCCGTTTTTGCCATTTTGGCTACGGAACCCTAAAAACGGGACCCTTATAGGTTCGTCATGTCTGTCTGTCTGTCTGTAGCTGTAGCTAGCTAGAGAATATTCCACTTTTAATCTCAGGGTAAAACCTCATACATTTTGCACATAAAAATAATCCTGATTTGAATACTCATTATAAAAGACAAAAAAGGCATAAGACTCAAGTTGATTTAAGGGAAAATAATAAGTTACGTTTTGTCTTGCTTTTGTTTAAATATTAGTTTGATAGTTCATTCGAAAATACAATTTAGGTTCTCTATATCTGTGAGGTTCACTCTACCCCATTCTCCTTTTCTGTGCAAAATGTCAAAATGAATAGCTGTCATAAAATAGGACTACGTGCGCCATTTTAAAATACAATAATGTAGGCGCATAACGTGTCTATTTATATGATATGTCATTGTTCTCATCCTCTCATTAAACGGATTCCTCGTGGCGCTCGTGCCTCAGTTGCACAGTGCCTAAGTCAATCCATATCCCATGTAGTTCGAAGCAACTCTGTTGAGGCCTGGGAGCATTTATTTACTTTTTCTTATAGAGTTTTACACATAAAATCTGAACCAAATAACCATCAATCATTGACAAACAGAATTAAGCAAAATTGTAGTACACCGTGGCAAACCTCTGATAACATTTCCATACCTAACTCCCGTTATTCTAACAGTGAACATTTCATAAAACATGTAGAATCAAAAATCAGTGACGGTGACATTAAAGGTGCTGCGCGCATTATGTTCTCCGACGATCTTATAGCCCCTAATACCCCTGATACCCTCTCGGCCCTTAAAAGCAAACATCCACTTTCAGCAACCACCACAGTATACCCTGAACAACCAGATCCTGCACAGTCCTGCCTCCAGACAACACCAGAAGCATTATTAGGTGCAATCAATTCCTTTGCGAGTGGTTCTGCGGGCGGCTTGGATGGCCTTACTCCACAGCATCTCAAAGACTTAGTAAGTGCTAACTGTGGCGAAGCCGGTACCCTCCTGCTGAAGGAGTTGGTTGCCCTGACAAATTTGATGCTATCTGGTGGCGTCAACCCTCAATTTATTAATATTTTATACGGAGCTAATCTCTGCGCTCTCAAAAAAAAGGATGGTGGCATTCGACCCATTGCTGTTGGCTCAACTCTGAGACGACTAGCCGCCAAAATTTGCTGTAGGGCTGTTTCCGATAGCCTTGCAGCTTATTTTGAACCTGTCCANTTTTGTGATCAGTAACCGATTGATTTTGTTTTGTGTTGACCCGTGCTATTAATTGGACTGTTTGATTGCCTTTTTATTGAACTCCGCGCGATTACTGAACCATGCCTCTCAAAATAATTCTTAATTCTTATATTTACTTACAAACTTGTCTACAATAAACATTGTTAACTGTTTAAGTATTATTTAGTTTGAAGTTTAATTGTTATTGATTTAAGACCTTGTGTAAAGACACTTAATGTGCAATAAAAAAATGTATTTGAAATAAAACTAACTTAATATTATAATATTTACGATAACCAATTACCTGGATCATTGCTACCTAGTGCAATATTTGTATTAAATTGTAATAACGTAGTTAGATAAGTGTTTCTTTAAAACGGAAAACAAAAGTTGCTAATGTATTAAAAATAAATAGAAACCTATTATAGGTTTTTTTATTTACATTCAAGGATTTAAGAAAGTTATTATGAAGTTATCTTACAATAATTCTTTTTAAGCCACAAATATTCCTTAACTCTTTACTAATTAATTCAATAACATAATATTGTTTATAAATTATAAGTTCCGAATAAATTAAATACCTATTAAATAAGTAAAATTCGAAAGTAAGTAACTAACTATATGATTTTGTATTTCTCGCCTTAACTAGCTAAACTAATATCACGAGATTTACACTCTTAATCTTAATATCAACAATAATTATAGAAAGGGCTACTTTTTTCTCAGGAAATTGCACAGTTACCTCGGAATGTGCGATACCAATTTTGTGACCCGAGCGGGCAATCGCTAGTTCAAATTTTACACGAAGCCCCTTATAATATTTTGTAGCGATTCTTTATTGGGTTTCAAATTGACTAAAATGCGACGTTGCCAAACGAGCGCTACGGATGCGGGTAATAAGCAATACTCAATCCTAAACGCTTTACATAGAGCTTGGTTTGCAAGGGTAAACATCTACAGTGGTGCGCCGACGCTGCTTAGACGCGAAACATGAATGAAGGGGGCGTAGCATAATCGAGCGTGTGTGTGCAAACAATTTAGGCCCTTAAGGTGTCAAGGCGTTCGAGTCCCCGATAGTACATACTTTAGTGGACATTCTAGCCTAATGCAATAAGCAATAAGAGTATTAAACGTGACAGCAACACGGATATTTTCATCCGTCCATCATGGCATCCTGTATGCCAAGACCTCCATTTACCACTAACAAATAAGAAAGAGAGACTGAAATAATGACCTTATGTTAAGGAAAATAAGGAAGTTACCTTGTTCTGTTGATGGGCAGGCGGCGGCGCAGGCGTCACGGTGACGCCAGGCGGGACCACACAGCCGCTACCGGCTAACGCAGTACCCGTTGTCGTGTCCTGGTAAACAAAATACATAAAGACATCAGTAGGAGAACTCACTGAGTCTGAAGAATTGCTAACTTATGTGGGGCATAAACGGCCCGTTGGGGCAAAAAGTTCTCGAGTGGCAACTACAGACCGGTAGACGTCATGTAGGTAGACCTCCCACTACGACTAGACACTGCCCCAAAGTCTAGAGAAGATCACGGAAAGCACCTGGATGCGTTGTGTGTCTGTACGTGTCGATGTGGAAATTCTTGAAGGAAGCCTTTATCGAGCAGTGGATGTATTGGTTAAAACGAACGAATAAAAAACATGTAGATTACTACTAAACAAGCTAGAAGAAAGTTGAGTGACTAACATAGATTACGATTAACTGAACTCTGGCTCATGGGACTACATTTAAAGCATATGACTTTGAAAACGTTAAAATAATTTAGGACAGTAGTTAATTCAAGTTCGATCTCAACCGCTGGACTATTGCTGAGAACCAACTTCTAACACAAGCATACATAGGGGTTAAGACTAAGCGCAGACCACCGATTTTTAGTCGGCCGATAGTTGGGCCCGATTCAAATTTGGATGAAGAATCAATAGGTGTAATATACGCACTTCCATACATGCCCATACTGATTAACTGCCTCACTAAACTATGGACCGATAAAAAATCGGTGGTCTACGCATAGGCTAAGAGGAATAAATATGCGCAGTACTTTACCTTAGCCGGCGGCAAGCCAGTGGACTGCTGCGACTGGCGTATTTTCCTAAGCAGCACCAAGCGCGTTTCTTCCGCGCGCAGTTTTTCACGCAACGCTCGCATTCGGCGCTCGCGCTCCCAAATCTCAGCGCTCGATAACTCCTGAGAACAAGGGGATTGGGTTTCAAAATTGTTTGCTCAAAATTAATTAAAACATATAATGTCAAGGGCAAATTATTGCGTCAGTCGAGTTCAATTTTTAATTTTAAAAATAATAATATCGCAAGACTGGACGAAAGTACCCCATCAACTTGCAGCCCTGAGCTTTCTACTCGACTGTACGTGTGGGCAACTTTGATTGAACAGTGTGTCATAAAGTTTTTACACAAATTATTTATCTGAAATCAGCTGTGCCGCTGTAATTTTATATAACGTGACAGTTTCTAAGGACGCCTCATCAGCAGCTACCGTTGCTAGGCGCCCACTGCAACCGTGACCAATAGGAGGCCGGTATTATCGCCGCTGCCTAGCAACCTGGTGTCGTTTTCGTCGTCATCGTTATAATGACATTATGTTTGTGACATTTGTGTTTTTATATTTTCAATGTTTTTTGGATGCCTTTTTACTATTTTAGGATTTGTTCTTTTGTAAGTAAAATCATATGAGTGTTTCTTCCGCTATTAGTGCAGTGCCTTCAAACGGAGATAACGTTTCGTCGGAGAACTTGATACGTTGCCCCAAATGCTCCCAGCCTCGATTTTTCAAAGGCCAACGAGGCCTGAGAATTCATCTCAGTCGTATTCACCCAAGTATAGTGCCAGATTCCATCCAACCAAATCCATCTCCATCTCAACCCTCACCGTCCACTTGTCCTTTTTGGAAAAAATTATGTCACCTTAAACATTCTCATCCTAAGATGTTTTTATAGTATAGATACGTTATACCCGCTCAAGAATGGCAATGCAAAAGAGATACAATTGGACCTCTTGCATTCAGTCGTACATGATCGGTTGCCGCGAACAGCCACGAATGCACTTCCCGATTGCCTTCCTGATTGATTGATAATATGCCTTCGTGTGTCTTTAGTTGATGTACAAATTNATATCGCAGTAACTGTTACGGCACTGAATTCGTTCGTAAAAATGTTAAGTTTTTTTTATTTATAACCAAAATACCAATGGATTTGCAATACTTACATGTGGTAAATGACTCCATTGTTCCTGTAGTTCTTCGTTTCACTTGTTTTATTGCACGTAACGATGCATTATCCAAAAAATTCGGAGAACATTTCCTTAGTACGACTGAATCGCGACTAACCTAGCTACGCGGCCGATGTTCGTTTCTGGGCATATCGCGGAGACACGCGCCACGCCCCCGTTTCACATCTATTCCCTTCTATGATCTGAGGGCGCGTCTTTGTGGATGAAACAATCTATAATCTGGAATTGATTTTCTGTTGGGAAAAGTTCATGACAGAACTTGAATTACACTTGTATGGATGTGTAGTGTGTACCAGTGTACCCTATTTATTTTGACTTGCAGACTTGAATCAACATGAAGATTACCTAAGGGTTTATGCAAATTATCTAATCGTAATAGTATAAGATCCCGCTATACAACGACCTTCACCGAGATGCTTATTTGATGAAACATATTTTATATTCAATTTAACATGTCAATAATTATATTGCTTAAGGGTTGCCTAGTAAATTTCAGTCCAGGATATGATTAATTAATCATTAAAAAAAGTTTTATTTTTAAATATTTCATCGGTTTGATTATTAAACAAACTCCATACCAATCGAAAGTATGAAGCCCATAGAATATGCAAACGTTAGGTTGCCTATTCTTTTCCAGTCATAACTCTCGGGTTGCCAGGTATAAACAGGTAAATTGATAGAGCATTTTGCATCGGTCTGATAATTTAATCAAATATAAATGAAAATAAAGATTATTTCATTATGAACACGGTGGTATAGGGTTGCCTGCGAAAAATCAGTCCTGAATGACGGTTGTCGAATTTTGTAAAGTGAAATTAAAACTGAAAGGTGACATTTTTCGAGTAGTTGGCAACATTTGGGAAAGACGAGTTGTATGAGGCGTTTGTGTGTCTTGTCAAGAGGTGTCGCTTGGGTGAAGAAATTTCTCCAGTGTTGCCATGCTTTCGGAGATTTGGTCCAAAAATGTCGAAAGTGGAAATAACGACTTCCGGTCAAAAATTTGGATGAAAAAAAAAAAAAAAAAAAAAAAAATTAAAACAAAACATTTATTGTTGTAATTGACAGTGTTAAATAAAACAAGGAAATACATTTACCAAACAATAGTTATTCATTTAGTTACTGTATACATAGAAAATTAAAGAGAAAAAAACATATTTAATATTACGAAATGTGGACGAGAGGAGTGTCTAGCTATTTCAAATTCAAGATGAGTCATACTCGTATATTGCCAAGGTATTAATTTGATACTTTGATAGTTACTGTAATTTTAATAATGTAGCTTAAAATCCCAATCCCAACTAATATTATAAATGCGAAAGTAACTCTGTCTGTCTGTCTGTCTGTTACGCTTTCCCGCTTAAACCTCGCAACCGATTTTGATGAAATTTGGCATAGAGATAGTTTGAGTCCCGGGAAAGAACATAGGATAGTTTTTATCCCGGTTTTTGAAACAGGGACGCGCGCGATAAAGTTTTTCTGTGACAGACAAAATTCCACGCGGGCGAAGCTGCGGGCGGAAAGCTAGTAATAAATAAACATACCTACAAAAATGGGTTGACTGATTTGTTATGATACGAAAAAAATAACATTGATAAACATGAATAGAATAGAATAATCTTTAGACCTCCAATCCACTTGTCACAATCCGCTCCATCTTCATCTTCTTTCAATGATGATTCAGTAGGTGGTTCTTCCCTATCCATTTCCCAGAAGTCCTTCATCTCGAACACAAGGACTTCTAGGAAATGGAAGAGGAAAAATACCAATCACTCTACACTGGCGGGGTTCCATTAATGGTCTGTAGATCCTAGAAGACTTCCAGAAGTACGAACCAGAGATGGAAATACACAATACAATGCATGTATCAGCATTAAATAGTTTTGTGACACCCAAGTGGCCGAAAACTTGATAACAAACCTTATTCCAAATTGTAACAAAGACATGCAAACTTTTTGGCTACTTTGGGTGTCATGAACCATTTGACGCTAAGTAGTCGACAGAAAATCAGATTACACATTATCGTTGCAAAATAACATCTAATACAACTAAAGAGATGCTACAGTGTATAGCTTAGTGTGGTGCCGTCCATACGTACAATAGTAGTAGTGAACGCACATCGCACACCTATTTCACACGACGCACGTAGTTCCGGAATATAATATTATTTTAAGAAAAGAAACAACAGGTAATTAGTTTGGTCTATCTTTAAGCAGATATTAAATCTGATTTAATGATTCAGGTAAGTGACTTGAAATAAACATTAACATATTATAATATTCACCTGAAAATCGTCCTTCCCAGGATGGTATAAATTATACAACATGGGTGTGCAAAATACAAAATTGTAGGTCGAATATTTATTGTATTCACTGTCTTACAAACTCGTATCACCTATATTTGCTAAGGTTAAGAAGGTACTAAAAATATTATTTTTCTATTGTTTGAATTTACAAGTGTTTTTGTGAATTTTGTGATATGACTTGGCTGATGCTTGGCAGGTGGGCGTGTTTATTGTTGTCATTGTTAAATACTTCGACTTCATTATAGTATGTGTACAGTCGCCGTCAGATATATCGGAGCAGACAAAGTGACCATTATATTTCTGAACATTTTTCCATACACTACAAGTTACCATTAATATCTGAACATGCATTACTTCATTAATATCTGAGCAGATGCTAGTCAATAACTTCTATACACACAACTAACCAATAATATCTGAACACTCATAACGTGTATCTACGCAAAACAGCTGATGTTCGTTCGTCGTCCAGTCGCATTGCAGTTGAAATTTTTTAGCTGAATCGGGGACCTGGTTTCTTTTATAGTACTCACCCGGTGGCCGGCCAATGCCAGCGGGGGCTCATTTTCGTCGTCCTCCGACTCTTCAACGTCGCGAGGGTCCCGCGGCGACTCCGGCGCCGGCGGCGGCAGCGAGCTCGGAGTTATTCCCGCGACATTCCCGGTAATGTTCACGCCCTGGCATCATTCCCGGCTATTCCCGCACTTACCCGGTGGCCGGCCAATGCCAGCGGGGGCTCATTCTCGTCGTCCTCAGACTCCTCATCGTCGCAAGGGTCCCGCGGCGACTCCGGGGCCGGCGGCGGCAGCGAGCTCGGAGTTATTCCCGCAACATTCCCGGGAATGCTCGCGCCCTGGCATCATTCCCGGCTATTCCCGCACTCACCCGGTGTCCGGCCAATGCCAGCGGGGGCTCATTATCGTCGTCCTCTGACTCCTCATCGTCGCGAGGGTCCCTCGGCGACTCCGGGGCCGGCGGCGGCAGCGGGCTCGGAGTTATTCCCGCAACATTCCCGGTAATATTCGCGCCCTGGCATCATTCCCGGCTATTCTCGCACTCACCCGGTGTCCGGCCAATGCCAGCGGGGGCTCATTTTCGTCGTCCTCCGACTCTTCAACGTCGCGAGGGTCCCGCGGCGACTCCGGCGCCGGCGGCGGCAGCGAGCTCGGAGTTATTCCCGGCAACATTCCCAGTAATGTTCGCGCCCTGGCATCATTCCCGGTACATTCCCGCACTCACCCGGTGCCCGGCCAATGCCAGCGGGGGCTCATTCTCGTCGTCCTCAGACTCTTCATCGTCGCGAGGGTCCCACGGCGAGTCCGGCGCCGGCGGCGACAGCGAGCTCGGAGTTATTCCCACAATATTCCCGGTAATGTTCGCGCCCTGGCATCATTCCCAGCTACATTCCCCGCAACATTCCCGGTAATGCTCGCGCCCTGGCATCATTCCCGGCTATTCCCGCACTCACCCGATGCCCGGCCAATGCCAGCGGGGGCTCATTCTCGTCGTCCTCAGACTCCTCATCGTCGCGAGGGTCCCGCGGCGACTCCGGCGCCGGCGGCGGCAGCGAGCTCGGAGTTATTGACACGTTGACAGCGCCCGAGTTTAGCTTGCTGCTCACGTCTGTGAATAAAGAAGTTTTTGTTAAATTACTGAAGTGGTGGTGGAACTACATAATAAGATGAATAAATTGACCTAACGTGATGCAATGTCTGAGACAGTTAAGAAACTTATAAAACTCATTTTACTTTTGCAAGTAAGCTTTTTACAAGTCCCAGTATTAACCCTACCACTGCTTCGGGACAATAAATGGGCTAATACTGAGAAGAAGCAGCGCAAGAAACTCAGTCACTATTATCAGCCTCTTTTTCAAGGGTTTAGTCTTAAAAATATACATCATGATCAAGCAAATAGCCCTACGGTGTCAGTGTCAGACTGCTAATTCAATGGTCGGTATTTTGAACCCCATCGTCTGGTGGACTGTTGTGGTCTACTCCTAACATAAGCTTAGCTGAAGAAGATAACGAGATAAGAACTTTATGAAAACTATCGTCCAATATTTGTAAAACTGCTATTTCTATGTTCTGACAGTTAAGGGGAAGTCTATGAGACAGTGAACTTCCACCCTCGTAGAATTTGGCTATGTGAATTAAACCATAATACTTGTTAAAAATCTTCAATCCGCTCCATCTTCATCTTCTTTCTTTGATGATTCAGTAGGAGATTCTTCCCTATCCATTTCCCAGAAGTCCTTCATCTCGAACACAAGGACTTCTAGGAAATGGAAGAGGAAAAATACCAATCACGTCACGTAGTAAGTCTGTCGTAGATCCTGGCAAATATATGATGCAATATAAAGTAGGGCCAACGGGAAGCGATACCAAATGTAAACAAACCCAATGTCATGGGTGAACCCGTCCGACTTTGACATATTTTGGCGGGTGAACGAGACATTACGACAAATACACAAGATGGGAAGAGACAATATATTGTCAACTCGAGAGTCGTATCGACCTTTTGTATCGCTGCTAATTGGCCGTACTTTAGTACCTATTACAATTACATAAATGTTTGTAGATTTCAAATTTATGTGCTGTACCTCAAGCACGTAATAACTCTCATAGTCGTCTTCATTAATCGACCGCTGCGGCGCTGTTCATAAAAAAAATTACCATACCAAAGAACGATAATTAATTGTTCGTGCTAGGGGTACAGTTATCTGTCGTTCGTCAGGTGTATGTACTTACACCTTAATGCAAATCTTTTTTATCACTTCATAGTTTATAATGAGATAAGCTATCTTATCTAGTATAATTTGGAATAAGTAAATATTTACATTTTATTTAATCCAACTACACAAAACATAATAAGTTGTAACAATCAAAAGCAGTAAATATAACAAAATCAATTATTATTATAAATGACATTGGTGATAAAATCACACACAAACAACAAGATACAATAGGTATGATTAAACAACTGCAACAAACTTAAACTAAAATGCATTTACTTTCAATGAGACTTCAACTGTATTACATTTTATTTATACAGTTTTAAGATAAGTTCAATCTACAAAAATAACCAAAATGCATTTGCTCAATCTAATCAACCAAGAATGGGTAAAATTCTTTGAACAATCAAGAGATAAAAGCATCATGAAGACACAAAACAAATCTAAGTACCCTACTGGTAGATAGAAATAAGAAATTATTCTATGTAAACCATAACTTTAATTGTATGTTCAATATGTTATTGTATGTGCACAATAAGACTAGACGCAGACCATCGATTTTTAGTTGGCCGATAGTTGTGTCCGATTTTAAATTGTATGAAGAATCGGCCAAATCGAATCAGTGTAATGTGCGCACTTCCATACATGCCCATACTGATCAAGTGCCCGACTAAACTATCGGCCGGCGAAAAATCGATGGTCTGCGCTATCTATAAAGCGTAAAAATCTTTTAGTAGTCAAGTGTTATACATATAGTTCGTAACACCCAAAGTAACCAAATAGACACAACACAACCTTATTCAAATGTAACAAAGGCGTGTTGCGAACTTTTCGGCTACTTTGGGTGTCTCGAACTATTTGATGCTGACTATCCTACTAATATTATAAATGCGAAAGTTTGGATGTCTGGATGTTTGTTACTCTTTCACGTAAAAACTACAGAACCGGTGATGATGAAACTTTACAGTATTGTTGTTTGTAACCCAGAATTACATAGCTAGTGTTGTCCTAAAAAAAAGCTTGTAAAGGCAAATACCTGTAAAAGGAGCAGCCGTAGGCGCCGACGGCTTGCGGAGCGGAGGCGCGGCCGGCAACAGAACAATATCGGGGCTCTCGGCATAGCTGCGCTGCTCAGAACGCGGGCGGAGCACCCGGCGGCCGCTGGAGCCCTGTGAATTATATCATCATTGAATACAGCAGGATCCTTTTAACATTTTGTAAGTTGCAAATGACATAAGTTCAAAATGGTCATTCTAATTAGAGATGAAACGGATAGTTGTTTGGCCGGATACCGGATACCGGATATCCGGCGTGCTGCTAGGCCGGATAGCCGGATATCCGGCGGCCGGATAGTTGACCCATTGTCTCGTTGCATGTCGTGACGAGTTTAGCACCGCACAGGTGCTTCGATCGCGATCAGTGGGTCTAGTAGACTAGACAAGTCACTCTTTCGAAAATTGAATCCGTCCGAATAGAATGTCATACTTATTTTGCCCCCTAGGGCAGATCAATTTGGGCGATTTCGGTTGCCATCGTGAGTGTCATTGAATAGTGAAAATTAAATTAGTTTAGGTACTTGCTACGTAATCTGGCTGAACTGCATAAGGTGTACCAGAATCTCATGGCAAACAAAAATATTGGAAAAGTGTGTTTTTCATATGGCCATTGTCTATGGCTTTATTGTCACCTGTCAAAGAAAATCAAGAGATCTGTCAGCCGCTGCAAAAAATTTGTAATCTCTTCATGCATATTTGTTATTTTTGTGAAAAAGACGAAAAAACTCAAGCAAGTCATATTGTTTTCAAAGTGTATTGTAAAATAAGTCATAATTCAAAATCAATCTTTGATTTTAATTCGCGTCGTTGAGTTGACAGTAAGTTGGAGTGAAATGTTTTGATACTTACCTACATTTAGTTTATTACCTAACTGCGTCAGAAGGAGGGCTATGTTTATTTTTATATTATTCTTACCTAAAAGCTGCTTTATGTGTTTTAGTGTCGGCTCATATACCCATTTACCTAACACCCTGTATTAATACCTCTTTAACTTGATCATCTATTTGAAGAATAAGAAATGCAAGTGGAGTTCTTATAATCGTTTTCTAGTTCTGAATGAAGTGATAAGTTATAAGTATGATCTATACTTATAATAAATCTGTAGAGAGGTCCAATTCTGTACAAGAAATATATTTTCAAAATAACTGTCAGGGGGTGATTAGTGATCGATACTGATGCCAAAAACGCAATCAGTAAAATTTTTGTCTGTCTGTCTGTATGTTCCTTATAGAAACAAAAACTACTTGACGGATTTTAACGAAACTTAGTACAATTATTCTTCATACTCCTGGGCAGGTTATAGTATACTTAGGAATTCCCACGGGAACGGGAATTAGCGGGAAAAACCTTTTGTATGAAAAATCTAAACCGCTTAAGTTAGACGCTTGAAATTTGGCATGCAGGTATCTTAGTAAACTTAAAGCTTAGTTACAACAGGATATTGCAAAATTCCCACGGGAACGGGATTAGCGGGAAAAAACATTTGTATGAAACAATCTTAACTGCGTAAGATAGATGAAGGGGGTAAAACGGGATCCACGCGTAGGAAGTCGCGGGCGACCGCTAGTACTTAATAAAATTATTTACAGTAATATACGGTTTACTTATTTTTCAAGACATGTTCCTATGTTAAAAACCCGATGTATAACAACATTCTTCATACACATACCTAAAATGTATAGGTAGGCATTCGTACTTCATGTTCATTATATTAGTCATAAATAAAAATTAAACAGTATCAAGATCGTTTAATCCAATTTCCCCAGTATTGCACTCAACAAAGTTTATTTTCCCCATTTGCCATGAGATTCTGGTACACCTATATCAGTGAAAAAAAAGATCGCCTATTTTATTTGTCAATATTTCGACAATAACAGATATTACTATTATGCAAGTATTCGTCATTAGAAAGAAAGAAAGAAAAAATGTTTTAGTGAATAGCCCAGAAAAAAAAAGTTTTTTGAAAGGCTTGATATGGCTTTTTTGTAACTTTTTAGCCGTCACTATTATAAGCCATTTTATTGATATTCACCTCAAAGATTATAATGTGTTTCATTTTATTACAGGAAATTGTCGTAGTTTTTTAATATCCGGTATCCGGCCGGATAGTGAGTTACTATCCGGTATCCAGCCGGATAGTAAATTTAGGCCGGATATCCGGCCTACCGGATAGTTACCGGATATCCGTTTCATCTCTAATTCTAATTGCTGTGCCATAATGTTATAGTTTTTAGGTTCATAATGGAAGCAATAAATGATTGAGTAATGGGAAACTATGTTCAGCAGTGGACATCCTATGGCTAAAATGATGACGATGATGATGAATGGGAAAGATGTCTGAGACACAAAGTCACTAAAAGTGTTATGTTATGTACTGGGACTACTCAATATGTTTTACGAAACTATACATTGTCTCTGTCCATGAATCACCATAACAAATTTGCATTACACCAAAGTAACTCAGTCATAATAAAAATAATAGGTCATATAAGTTGATTGTTTCACTAAAACAATGTTTACTACAACAGGCTTGTAAACATTGTAGTTAATGTCTGTCTTATGCCCCAATAACAATGCATAATACGCATCATCAGTTTGCAACAAGGCTAAATAAATAATTAAGATTAAACCACAAACATTCCATTCCATAATCTTTACATTATCTTCTCAATACCGAAAGACTGCTGTCTAATTTTTAATATTATACATGATATTTACAAATATAAGAATATTTCAAATTACCTTGGAATCACTATGCAATGTGCCATTGATACATAATGTGTAAAAAAATAATTTGAATTGCTAATTTAACTGTTCAAAAGACAGGGAAATAATGCAATTGAATATTTTCCTGCTTCATGATAACAAAATGTTATTTATATTTCAAAGTAATTGGCATTTCAATACTAAGCTGTGAAAAGTTATATTTATAAATTAATTATACTTGAAATATAATCAAAACAAAACAAAATATTTTTTTTAATGAAATAGTATTCAAAATCAACTTACAGTTATACTCACTCTGTCAATCTAAGGGGAGCATGAGAAAATATAACATTATTATAGGAAAATATACTTTCTTATCTACCTGTATAGCTACTATTTAATATTAAATGTATGTGTAATACAAAATATTCTTCATTATAAATACTAAAACTACACTTACATGGGGTGGTGGTTGAGCGGGCGTTATAGTTAGACCACTAGCAGTTAGAGCTCTGAGCTCACTCAGCTCAGGTGGCAAAGACCTGCAGGCAACAAATTACATAATTATACATAACTACTACTACAAGCTGCATGTTTATCAACAACAACAGTAAACCACAAAAAACTATACTTACCTGACACTAAGGTCAACTGCTGAGTCGTCCACGTCCATTGTAATTAGTCACTCTGTAAGGGGTAATTAGCAATCAATCGTACACACCAAAAATCGATAACTACCTAATACAATAATTAACAAAACAAGCACATCGAAAATCCCGGCGGTCTGGTCCCATTGTTTTTCTAGAGTTAAATGATAATATCATCAAGATACTCTTCCAAGGCTCAGTGTTGGATTTGAATTAGATTAGCACCATTAATTTAGGAAATTGATGAACACGCACGCACCACCGGGTGACAGCAAATAGACAAGACAAAGACGAAATCACATCAATTCACTGGCAACTCAAATTTAACGCCTGTTTCATATCGATGCTACTGAAAATATGCAATAAATGGAAAAATATGTACCAGTTTTGTTATTTAGAGGTGTAATTACGAATAATACAATGCATTTTCACAAGTAATGGACGACATAACAAAATGTCACTTTTTATTTTTTATTTGGAATGCTGTACAGATTATGTAAAGGAATTATCCCAAAAGAGAGTGGGTTGTTGACTTGATACGAAAACAAAACGTTGAATGCAGTGCATTATCGCACGCAATCGCTCGTGCGGCCAAATAAACATGTCAAAGTTGTCAAAAACCTGTGTTGTAATATAACCTAAAAATTGGTAAATATTTTGTAAATATTCAAACCCTTCTGTTTTCGCACATTGTAAGTGGGTTTATATGTTGTGATAAACATACAGGCAAGTTTCTTAGCATAATCCTGTGAAATATATCGCCGAAATAGTGAACTAAACAGGATGCCAGCACCGGACTTATTATCAAGCCAAGGCTTAAGGCTTGATGGTCGCAGACCTAATGAATTACGACGAATAAGATGTAAACTAGGTGTATTCACACAGCCTGACGGTAGTGCATACTTAGAGCAGGGTAATACGAAAGTTTTGGCTGCAGTTTATGGACCTCATCAGGTAAGGACCTTTACGACTTAAGATCTTAAATTTCTGCCTCTAAGATATTATTTTAAATGTTTATTCATAATGCTAGTCTGTTAAATTGCTATAAAAATATTTTTATTTGGCTTGTGAGACAGTCTGTATAGGTTTCTTTCTTCCACAATGTTATGTATAGTACTTTCTTTTCAACTGTGTTGATCTCATAATTCTATCAAATGCTTGTTTGGTCTAACTATTTACAAACTCTTTATTTTCATTCCTTTTCCGGCTCTCCTACTTCTCATTTAATGCTGCTTCAAATTCTTTGACTGAGAATTATTTTTATACAATTTTTTATTTATTTTTCAGGCATCTAAATCCAAATCTTCACCAGATGGTGTTGTAGTGAACTGTCAATACAGTATGGCTACTTTCTCTACAGGTAAAATAACTCATAAACTGATTGCAGTAAGTTGATTCCAATTTTACAAAACTTTTCATCTTAATAAATTTTCAGGAGAAAGAAAAAACCGTCCCCGAGGTGATCGCAAGTCCCAGGAGATGTCTCTGCACTTGAGGCAGGCTTTGACAGCTGCCATCAAAACTGAGCTCTACCCTCGGTCACAGATTGACATCTATGTAGAAGTTTTACAGGTTAGTTATCACAGAATTTTTAAAATTATTTACTCTACAGAACATTGTAGTCTTTAAGGTTTTGTAAATTGAAGCAAATTAATAAAAATAAAGGGAGTTGAAGTTACAACAGAAAAGCTTTTTGAAATTAATGAAATTCTTTATAATATTTGAGTGTTTTAGCAATGCCAATGTCATGCTTGAAACAAAGCTTAATTCTGCTACACTAAGCTTTGTTTCAAAGTAGCTACTTTAATTTTCAAAAACCATACAACCACAAACAAGCTGGAATAAAAATATCCATATGTATTCCTAAAGCTGTTACTTTTCTGCTTCAATCTCGGAGAAGTCGCATATGACTGGGTTACAATTGATTTCTATTGTTTGGGGCTTGTAGGGATAAAATTAAATAACATTTCTCTATATCTATCAAAGGCAGACGGCGGCGCCTACTGCGCGGGCGTAAACGCGTCAACCCTAGCGCTGATCGACGCTGGCATCCCGTTACGCGCGTGCGCCGTCGCCTGCAGCGCCTCCATGGCGGGCCGCGGCGGGCAGCCGCTGGCCGACGTCGGCCACGTGGAGGAGGCCAACGGCGGCGTGGTGCTCACCGTCGCCGCGCTGCCCAGCACCGGTGAGCACTTTGAACCTTGCGGCTTTGTGTTAGAGATCAAGATACGAGGATCCTGAAAACGAACTTACTCTGATGGTCCGGCGTCCCTAAGTGTGTTTTGGCGATCAGTAAGACACGAGCCCCAGAGGAGCCATCAAAAAGACACGAGAAACGAACCTAGTTACTCTGAGGGCTACCCGCAACCCAAAGTGACTGAGCTTAGCCATTCGTCTCGCTCTTGCGCAGTTTTATGCCAGTCGCTTAAACACTTACAAGCGCTTTAGCAAGCTTTTTTACATTTGAAATTGGCTGAGCGTGACGTCATTATAACACACGCCCACCTAATAATATGATGACGCGTACTGCGCACGCGTGAACGCGTCGACGCTCGCGCTTATAGACACTCGAAGTCTAACACCAATGAGGTTTTTTCTTTCGACTTTGAACCTTATGTCCTTGTAACACGAGCCCGCGCTCACTAGTAGTGAAGATCACGCGTAGTATGCTCCCACGCGCAATTAGACACTCGCGGCGCACTAGTGAGGCTTCCTCAACCGACTCTGAACCTTCCGTCCCCGTAACACGCGCGCTCTTGCTCTGGCGGCCGCCTGCAGCGCCTCCATGGCGGGCCGCGGCGGGCAGCCGCTGGCCGACGTCGGCCACGTGGAGGAGGCCAACGGCGGCGTGGTGCTCACCGTCGCCGCGCTGCCCAGCACCGGTGAGGGAGATAAACTGTTTAAGGCTTAGGCGATCCTTCGACAAGACGACTACACCCTGTAGGTACGCCCAGGATGGGCGCTGCGATAAACCATTTATCGCGCCATTTTATCGATTAAAAGCGATGAGATAAGCCCATATTATTATATGTGTGTTGTCTAATATCATCGATAACATTTTATCACTTCGCGCATCCTAGCCCGGTGAAAGATCTTACTCCGATATGGCCCCAGAAATCCCAAAGTGTGTCTTGTCTCCCATATGAGACATGATTGACTATTACGCAGATTTTCTCAAGTCTTTGAAAGTTATGATGGTTGTTAGGGCAAAAAAGTTCTTGAGAGGCTGGATGCGGCCAGATCCTGTCGTTGTGGAAATTTGTCCAACTGTGACGTCTCTTGGTTAAACTTAAAGACATTTTTCTTCTAAGGTACTGGAATATTTTATAACAATTATCATTTTGATTTATCTATTTTGTTACAGGCAACATAGCCTTACTGGAGATGTCGCATCGCCTTCACATGGACTACTTTGACGTCGTGCTGAGCAGAGCGATGCAGGGCTGTCGCGACATTGAGGTATATTCAAATTCTTTATTGCTTAGTGTGTTTTGTTATTTTAACGAAATGTAAAACCGATTCCGTATAATGTCGGTGGCAACCTACCAAGTGCCATGATTAAGACTACCGCACGTATTACTAGATCGTTTCATCCACAAAGACGCCTCCCACCAATATTTGGTCGAGGGAAGCGCGGGGTGCGGGGAGTTTGATCCGAGCAATCCGAGCGGCATTATTGTAGTGTGCGTGTGCACTCGTGCACCGATAACACTCAAACATTAGCGGAAGAATGGTGGGGCGCGTCCTCAGATCATAGAAAGAGAATAGATATGAAGTCGCGCGTAACTACAACGAGAACCAGTGTCCCCACATTTCCCCCACCACAGCTCCCACACACANACTTTACAAAATTCGACAACCGTCATTCAGGACTGATTTTTCGCAGGCAACCCTATACCACCGTGTTCATAATGAAATAATCTTTATTTTCATTTATATTTGATTAAATTATCAGACCGATGCAAAATGCTCTATCAATTTACCTGTTTATACCTGGCAACCCGAGAGTTATGACTGGAAAAGAATAGGCAACCTAACGTTTGCATATTCTATGGGCTTCATACTTTCGATTGGTATGGAGTTTGTTTAATAATCAAACCGATGAAATATTTAAAAATAAAACTTTTTTTAATGATTAATTAATCATATCCTGGACTGAAATTTATTAGGCAACCCTTAAGCAATATAATTATTGACATGTTAAATTGAATATAAAATATGTTTCATCAAATAAGCATCTCGGTGAAGGTCGTTGTATAGCGGGATCTTAGACTATAACAATTCTTTTTTCAGGTGATATTGGACAAAGCTGTGAGAGAACATCTGGCAGAAGGCTGGACGAAACAAGACGTGGTGACCATTTGAAATAAATTTGTATTTTCTATCAAACATTTTGTTTTACTAAAATATGACTTGATGAATCTTGCTATCTTGCAGGAGAACCAAAGTAACCGATATAGCTCGCAGAATTGCTAAAATCAAGTGGCAGTGAGCGGGGCACATAGCTCGTAGAGACGATGGCCGTTGGGGCAGAAAAGTTCTCGAGTGGCGACCACGGGCTGGAAGACGTAGCGTGGGCAGGCCTCCTACTAGGTGGACCGACGATCTGGTGAAGGTCGCGGGAAGAGCCTGGATGCGGGCAGCGCAGGACCGTTCATTGTGGAAAACCTTGGGGGAGGCCTTTGTCCAGCAGTGGACGTCATTTGGCTGAAAACGAACGAAAACGAACGAATCTTGCTATGAAATGAAAGTTTCAGCAATGGCCCTGACAGTTACGTGCGAGGCCATCCTCAATGGCAATCCTCAAAGGAATACATAACAAAATCTCTAGATTTTGTTTTTCTTCATTCAAAAACTGCTGAACGGATTTTGATGAACTAGTAAGCCTAATAGGTATTCATTCATTTAAAAACTGCTGAACGGATTTCGATGAACTAGTAAGCCTAATAGGTATTCATTAATTTAAAAACTGCTGAACAGATTTTGATGGAACTAGTAAGCCTAATAGAAGGTATCTATTCATTCATTCAAAAACTGCTGAACGGATTTTGATGAAACTAGTAAGCCTAATAGAAGGTACCTATTCAATCATTCAAAAACTGCTGAACGGATTTTGATAAACTAGTAAGCCTAATAGGTATCCATTTAAAAACTACTGAACAGATTTTGATGGAACTAGTAAGCCTAATAGAAGGTATCTATTCATTCATTCAAAAACTGCTGAACGGATTTTGACGAAACTAGTAAGCCTAATAGAAGGTACCTATTCATTCATTCTAAAATTGCTGAACGGATGTTGATGAAACCAGTAAGCCTAAGAGAAAAGAACGTTGGCAGATTGTTTCTGATATTAGTTGCACTTTGCACCTATATTGTATTTATTGTTCATGGAAGTATGTATAAATGTGTATTCAGATAGTTTGTCAAATAAAACCACAAAATGTAGACTTACATATTTATTAGAGATCTGAACAAAATAAGAAATTAAATTATATGTACAGTCTATGTTAAAACTAACTAAATTAGAGGTAAGTTAATAGGTACACACTTTGTTTTCGTTACATAGCTTATGTATGGTAAGTGAAAACTAAACAGTCAACAAGAACCACTTTCCTATGGCAGAACGACAGCAGTCAGCATTTAGTCAAGCGATGCAACAGAGCCTATTTAACTTACACGAAACGCTCAATTGAAACAAGAGAAAAATAAATAAAATATCTTTAAAATATGTGGATGCAAAAATCAGTCCATCCTTTAGTTAGGTATATGCCATTGCACACAATTACTAAATAAATAAAAAGTAACTTTGAATAAATAAACATATTGTACTTTTTATATCCTTGTTCAAAGCCCCAATTTAAAACTTAAAACAATAAAATATTGCTTCCTTTAAGCTATAATATTAAATCTGTGATATTACAAATGGTACAAAACTCTCAACTCCTCGAACACAGTTCGATATACGCTTCAACAAAACAGCGACCATTCAATATTTTGTCCGTGTATACTCGGCCTTATAACAATATATTATTATGTATGACATTGCAAAAACAACAAAAACGTTGTTCACGACAAATACGTAGACAAAAATATTATTATGGATATACAAAAACGTTATATCTTATTACACTGAGTTGCTAAGGCACTCAACTACAATTTTTATTCTATAATAGAAAAAATGCACGAAGCAATAAGTTGTAAATAATATTCTGGGCGCGGAAGTAGGTATGTAATTAAAAAAAATGTGTAAACTCGTTCACCGACGCATGCAAAACAATCTGTTTCAATTCCAAAGGAGACTTAACCTAGTGTATAATACGAATAAATGTTTTTGTCACATTCCTATGGCCTGGTGGATACTGAACGATAGCAATGTGGGCTCCCGGCGCTCAGTTGGCCGGCACCGCCTCCGGCGCGCTCACCGCCGCCGCTGGTACGTCTGGGGAGAACAAAAGGAATGGTTAACAAATAATAATGTAATCAATAAGTTTCAGCAATCAAAGCTAAGCTTCAGCTTTGGAAATGAAAGTTATTAAAAAAAATTACAGAGCAGCAATAAGGGACAAGTGTCTAGGTTTTTACAGTCTGTATAGCGAATATACAGACTGCGAAAATCTAGACACTTGTCTTCCTTGTGTGGTATACAAACCGCCAATGAATATGGTTGACATACGCCCGTATTCACAAACATCACTATGAGGTCTCACAGTGCGCGCGGACGCACAAGATCACTCACGAACCAATCACAGAGCTCTATTCAACGCAGTGCCTTCGATTTTCTGCTTCACTTAAACAAGCATCGTTTGTGAATACGGGTGATAAAATCGGCCACTTCGTGCGCAGAGACACTTTTTGTGTCCAGTTGCTTCCACTTCTCACCAAACGACTCTGCTTTCTATGATGGTGTGTCGCTCTACATTTTCGCAGCCGCTTTTTAGGTAGATTTTTGACCAAATCTGGTAGACTACAATACTTGAAAGGTTAACACTAACACATACCATTGCTAGTCTTTGTAGGTGAATTGTGTGGTGAACTGTTTTGCGACTCGCTTGTGCTGCCCTCTGCTTCGCCGGTTTCGCCCGCCGATGACGTTGCCTGGAAAGTAACATTCGTTATTATTACTTGAACAAGACAACAGACTAAAAAGTAGCAGTTCAAATTACTGATATTTCATTTACACGTTACTTTCGTCAAAGCAAAACACAGGCCATTAAGGACTTCTGCCCTTTGCTGGCCAGATACAGATCGGGGAGGATGATATTAGCTTATACGTAGCGGCGAAATATGAATTCTTTTAAAAGAATCTGAAGACTCAAAAGCAATTACATTATCACAGGTAATTGGGCTCCTGAAATACAGTTTACACTAGTTTAGGAGTCAGGGTTTCAATATCAAATGTTACAGTGTATTTACATCATTAAGTTATTATACAGTGATTTTGCTACTCACCCTTGTCCTATTTCTGGGGATCCTGGCTTTGGGTCCTTTGGGCTCTTTGGCGGGGTCAAAGTGGCAGTCGAAAATTTCTATGAGCTCCTTAATGTCTTCCTCCTTCGCCGATACTGACAGCGAAGCCAATTGTTTCTCTAAACCTGGAACGAAATTAACAATTGTATAAGTGACTCGAGAGTGGAGATCTCTTTTTGGCAAATGTAGTGTATGTTGTTGAGCAGACTCAATGGACTAATGGCTTTCAGAAGATAGCTGACAGCCAGCAACTGGATAAAAAAGGAGATCATGCCCTTGGGATGCTTTAGTTCAGCAGAGATGATGATCTTACACGCATATTTGGAGAGGTATCTTTTACGCCTGTCATTGGTCAATACTGGCAGGACTCATCCTCCAGCTTATGGACCGATGGTAGTTTAAAAGATAGCCTACACAGTCAGTCTCTGGATGAAAAAAAGGCTTGAGCTTGACCTATTAGATGCACCAGTTAGTACTTTTGGATAGGCATGCGTTTTAGCGATTTCTTTTTCAGCACTGGACTGGCATTGGTTAAAGCCTGGTCCGTGAGCATGTAGAATTTTGTCCAATGACCCCAAGCTACCCATCCTTATCGCTCGCGCGTAATTATATTGCTGTCGCGACTGTGCTACGGGCGCCCGCAGTGAGTGTGCGAGCGCGACAGCAACATAATTACACTACGTGCTCACGGACCAGGCTTTAGTATGATATTTTGACGCCATTTTTTTTGTTGACCGGCTATTATAATTCAAGTTCTATGGAGTCCCAGTATCACTGCGACCGGTTTGCTGACGCCTACCTTCCAGCTTGTGGTCCTGCCAGGCGCCACGCAGCTGCTCATACAACAGTCCCGCGTCAGCCAATAAGCGTCGCAGCTGAGTGACGCGCTTGCGCTCCGGCCGCGCAGAACGGAGCAGAGGCGCGAATACTGGCCGGAACGTGTTCTGTCTGGAAGATAACAAATCTTTTTAGTACGAATGCTAGTTTAAGATAAACAGGTATAGTAACAAAGTCTACTGGGGCCCAAGAGCATCGCGGCTATGCGTGGTGCGGTGTCATATTTGTATCCGCCGCGCTAGTACAGCGTTAAATTAACTGCAGCGTGTCTGCAGTGGGCATAAGATCATTTAACGCAGGGGTAAAACCCTAACTTATTTGAGACGCGCCGCCTTTCGACCATACGAAAAATTCCGCGCCCCCCTTCCTCCAGTCCAGAATATTTATTGGTCGTATCGAGCAGTCGCATTATCTCAGCGGTCGCAGGTTTTTTTATACTTAACTACACAGATGGCCCGCGCCCCCCTTTAAAGGTCTTTGCGCCTCCACTTTGGGAACCCCTGATCTAACCCGAGAGCCTACCTGCTGCTCGCCCGGGACCAGCCCGATGCAAGCCGGCTCGGCAACACACTCCTGGGCACTGTAGTGACCTACATCTGCAGCGGTTTGCGCCCGCAGCGTGCGCGGTTGTATGCGGTTCCCGCGGCACCGGCGGGCGACTAGTAGAATCGCGCGGGCCGCGGTAACCGCAGCCTCGGCGGTTTTCACCCGCGCTCTGAGATCGATCGACGCGATTTGAAATCGCGTGAAAATCGCGCCGTGAGTTCTTAGCCTTAGGCCCGGAACACACGGTGAAACGCAATTGCAACGAAACTGCAACGATCAGTTTGAAACCGGTTTGAAAAGGTCGCGTCATGTGTGGTCTCTCAACGGAATCTATGGCAGAAACTTAGATGCAACTCAAAAGTAACTAGAAGTTGCAGTTTCGTTGCAATTGCGTTTCACCGTGTGTTCTGGGCCTTCCTCTGAAAGCAGCCTAACACAGCAGCGGCCTACCTCGGGCGACCATTTTGTACCAGTGACTTGATTGGCGCGAAAATCGCGCCGTGAGTTCTTAGGCCGGCAATACACGGACAGCTCGAGCAGTTAGTCAGTGATCAACATACACGGACCGCTCTTGCAGTCAAGAGTCAACAGCTTGAAGCTGCCAGTGATAACTGCTCAACAAATCACAAGCGCGCGCGCCGTGGAATGAAGAAAGTGGGCCGAGGTAACTGCGCGAGAGCTGTCGACAGCTTGACCGCACGATGAAAATTCACCGTGCTGTCGAACGGTTCGTGTATGTGCGTCCATAGAACTCTGCAGTTCACTGTGCAGTCGCAGCTTGAAGCTGTCGACCCCGACTGCTTTAGGCGGTCCGTGTATTGCCGGCTTTAGCCTTCCTCTGAAAGCAGCCTAACACAGCAGCGGCCTACCTCTCGAGCAGCTGCTTGAGCGCCGCCAACGCCTCCAGCTCAGTGGCCACTGGCCGCGCCCACACGCGCGCCGTCTCCACCATGTCCCGCCGCGCCCGAGCCTACCTGCTGCTCGCCCGGGACCAGCCCGATACAAGCCGGCTCGGCTGCACACTCCTGGGCACTGTAGTGACATCTCCAGCGGTTTGCGCCCGCAGCGTGCGCGGTTGTATGCGGGTCCCGCGGCACCGGCGGGCGACTAGTAGGATCGCGCGGGCCGCGGTAACCGCAGCCTCGGCGGTTTTCACCCGCGCTCTGAGATCGATCGGCGCGATTTGAAATCGCGTGAAAATCGCGCCGTGAGTTCTCAGCCTTAGGCCCGGAACACACGGTGAAACGCAATTGCAACGAAACTGCAACGATCAGTTTGAAACCGGTTTGAAAAGGTCGCGTCATGTGTGGTCTCTCAACGGAATCTATGGCAGAAACTTAGATGCAACTCAAAAGTAACCAGAAGTTGCAGTTTCGTTGCAATTGCGTTTCACCGTGTGTTCTGGGCCTTCCTCTGAAAGCAGCCTAGCACAGCAATGGCCTACCTCTCGAGCAGCTGCTTGAGCGCCGCCAACGCCTCAAGTTCAGTGGCCACGGGCCGCGCCCACACGCGCGCCGTCTCCACCATGTCCCGCCGCGCCTACCTGCTGCTCGCCCGGGACCAGCCCGATACAAGCCGGCTCGGCTGCACACTCCTGGACACTACGAGCGGCTCACAGTCACCTCTCGAGCAGCTGCTTAAGCGCCGCCAACGCCTCAAGCTCGGTAGCCACGGGGCACCTCTTGTTGCTCGCCTGCACCAGCCCGATGTAAGCCGGCTCGTCAACACACGCCCTGACACCGCAGCCACCTACATCTCCAGCAGTTGCCCTAAGGCTGATTTCAGAGTCGTTTGACCGGCGCCGGTCACACGTGCGCGCTCTCAATGAGGGCTATCGTTTTTATACTTGGCGCCATCTTGATGAGTCGAGATGAGATGAGCGATAGTCCTCCTACCACTTTAGTGCTCACCAGTTGGTGCCACTGTCTTCGCTACTAGCAAGGTCCTGTCCTTACTCTACAGTGGCGCCAACTGGTGAGCGCTAAAACGATAGCCCTCATTACACGATAGTATTTGCTTGTTTCATAGACACGTCGTTCACACGTACCGTTCGTGAGACTCGTTTCACAGCGCTCCGCCGGTCATGCGTGCACTCCTGAGACGCGCTGGCCGACGGCGCGTGCCGCCAGCGTTACTTTGAAACCAGTCTAAGGGCTATATATCACCGGGACACCATGGCTATTCCGCGCAACACCCTGCTAAGACGCTAAATTTTGTTAGTGTGTGCGTGCGCGCCGCATACGTATTGGCGCGCTCACATACAAACCGCGCTCGGTGCGTTTCTAAGAAGACGACTTACTCATTTGTATTTACTGTGGTTCTTAGCGTTACTCTGAAAGCAGCCTAACACAGCAACGGGACTATTCCCACCTCTCGTTCCCACCACTGCAACTCTTGTGTTGCCAGGATCTACAGCTTGACCGCCACAAAAACCCAACCAATGAAGGTCAAGTTTGTCAATCAAACTGTTATTGGACCCGCAACGAAATTAATCAGAAGAACATAGGAGGAGTTCGAAATTAAGGTTCGACTTTCCTCCATTGCAAAGCGGATGACAGGTGACAAACAAAGGTTTAAAACCTTTAAGAAAAGATTATGCACCACGGACAATAAATTGAGCCTAACACAGCAGCGGCCTACCTCTCGAGCAGCTGCTTGAGCGCCGCCAACGCCTCCAGTTCAGTGGCCACGGGCCGCGCCCACACGCGCGCCGTCTCCACCATGTCGGCGCTGGCGCCCGCGCCGCCGCCCTCGCCGCCCGCGCCTACTTCTTGCTGCTCGCCTGGTGGACAAACATGTCGATTAATTGTGCTGCCTGATGGGCTAGAATGCCGTGATATACTCTAATCAGGGATTTTAGACTTCAAATGGATGGGCGTAATATATTATTATCTTATCGCGCCATTTCACACTGTATACATGTATTGTAGAATAAATACATAACACTGTATTTATTCTACTATAGCGAAATTATACAATCCACTGGAATGGAGGAGGCTTTTGCCCATACAGGGGTGCCACAAGAGTGAAGACAGATGCTTCTAACTTAATTTATAAAATTGTAAACTTGTGGAAATAAAAGCTTTTTATTTATTATTCATTTACTGGAATTACCGAAACCCAATTGAAAAAAGGCGGACAAATAAAGGTTGCAGCAAGGCACTATATGCAGGCTGCTACCAAATGTCCAATCTGGAAATCATTGGAGGAGATCTACGTTCTATGACTCCTATGGTTTAAACGATGAAGAACGTTAAATGCTCGACGATCCTGTAGACTGTAAAGGCACATCTTCACCATCGTCTCGCACTTATCGACATAGTTGTTGGTGAACTCCGCCACATTTCTATAGCTTGTATCAGTACTCGGCGCCAGATGATCCATGATCCTACAACTAGGTGTAACGCGGTCTTCACTTGTGACTGTCGGCAAAGTCTATAAATCTACAAATTAGCCTGCGTCAGATGCTTCACAATCCTGTAGGCGTAATCTTCACCATCATCGTGCACTTGTCGGCGTAGTTGTCGGCGAAATCTGTAGAGCAACTTACCCTGCGCCAGATGCTCCACGATCCTATAAGCCGCAGTAGCGCGATCTAGCGCGCTATCCACCGACAGCGAGTCGGCATCTAACAGTACACGCGCTAGCACACGCAGCGACACCGACTTGACCGTCGTCTTGCACTTGTTGGTGAAGTCTGCATAGTAACAACTTACCCTGCGCCAAGTGCTCCACGATCCTATAGGCTGAAGTGCCGTTGTTTTCACCGACAATGTCGGCGTAGTTGCCGGCGAACCTGCCTTTGTCCTGTAGCTTTTATTTATCTTACAACAACTTACCCTGCGCCAAGTGCTCCATGATCCTGTAGGCTGAAGTGGCGCGGTCTTCACCGTCAATTGTCGGCGAAGGTGTCGGCGAAATCTGTAGAGCAACTTACCCTGCGCCAAGTGCTCCACGATCCTATAAGCCGCAGTAGCGCGGTCTAGCGCGCTATCCACCGACAGCGAGTCGGCATCTAACAGCACACGCGCTAGCACACGCAGCGACACCGACTTGACCGTCGTCTTGCACTTGTCGGCGGCCAACGCGTAGCTGTCGGCGAAACCGGCCACGATGGTCTTGAATCGGTCCAGGAGCTTGTACCTTGACGAAAAAGAAAACCATAGGTTAAAGCACCTCCAATTGCTTCCTCATAATATTATGTCAATCAACATTATTGTAACTAGAATAGAATAAGTATGTTGTAGAAGCAATAAAGGACTTTATTATTATTATTATTATGTTTGTACGCTTTGGAGCTCACGGGTCAAAAGTGGCCCGGTCCTTTATAAGGCTTGCGTGGGGATACAGATCCAACACGTAGAGGCCGTTTTAAGCGCAAAATAATCGACAAAAGTGAAAGTGGTGCACATGCTGGATCTAGTCTCTGACTATATCATGGGATGTAGCCAGAGACCATCCCCAGCCTGTGCACAGGAGCTATTGCAGTTATTGGAGAATGGACTAGGGTTATGGATGAAGGATGGATGGACTGGTTACTGGGCTATGGATGGAGACTACGGGACACCTGCCTGGTTCATAGTCTCGGACTGAAAAAATGGCAGGCGGTGACTAGCCAGCGACTAAATGGGCCCCCCCTGGCGTCATGGGTCGTATAGACCGGACTGAGGGGCAACATTGGCGTCTACCAGCTCAGGGGTGTAGAGAGGTGTGCTGCGCTTTCTCCGGAGTTACTCGCGGCGTTATGCCCTTTAACACTTCCACCCCTGGAGCATATAGCTCTAGCGACTCCACTCTGGCCGGCCGGCTAAGGCAAGCCAGAGATGAAAGTCCTGCAGACCCTCTCGGTTTCCACTTCGGCAAGCCGAAGACGAGGGTCTTGACCGACTCTCGGGAGCACTCGGATTAACAACTGGCCCCGTGGTGTCGCTACTCACCAACAGCTCGCCACAAAGCTGCCCTGCGGGGCTTTATTATTATTATTATTATTAAAGTCCGTATGTGTCGTCATGGTAAATAATAATCGGTAAGTGTCTGAAGGGAGAGGGAGTCCCAATGGCGAATTTACTTTCATCGCCGATAATCACAGAACAAATCTGTTCAGTCTCCAGTCTGATCGCATGATAGATTAAATAAAAAAAAAGTGTCTGAAACAAACTGAAAGTGCCGTAAACGAACTAAAGTCGCTGACATATCCCCCGTCAGATTAGTAGACTGAAGTGGCAATGGGCAGGGCACATAGTACGCAGAACCGATGGACAGCAAGGTTCTGAAGTGGAGGCCACGTACCGGAAAGCGAAGCGTGGGACCTCCACCCACAAACTTAAAGATAGAAAAGGCGCCAGATGCAGGTCGCTACTAACCAGTCAATCTGGAAATCATTGGGGGACAGGAACATAGGCCATGTTCAGCAGTGGACATCCTGTAGCTGAAATAACGTGCTCTTTCTTCACTGGTTAGGTTTTTATAGGCATTCAAGCTGTAGATCCCGGCTACTTTAGAGTTGGAGCGGTGGGAACGAGATAATATGTGAATAGTCCCGTGTTTTCTTCAGCCTTACCTGGTGAGTGCCTCGAGCAGCATGGTAGGGCTGAGACGTCGCGGCTCGTGGTAGATGAGGATGACGCTGCCATCGCCTTTTTCTTTCTCCAGCCAGTCCAGGAAGTCAGACAGCGCGGAGATCTCAGACTTTGTCTTCAGAATCTGTGCAAAGATATCTAAGTGAAAGCTTTTATTCAGTACTTAGGTCCCCAATGGAGGAGGGAATACAATGGAAGTAGTGTCATTTACTTATACGCGACCCATGACAGCTCACGCGACCTGTCATTTTCCTATGATATGGCGATCTGCACGCGTTGGTGTGGTTGAAGCAAAATACAGTCGAGTGGGTAATCTACTACACTAATATTATAAAGAGAAAAACTTTGTTTGTTTGTTTGGTTGTAATGAATAGGCTCAAAAACAAATGGACCGTTTTTAGAAATTCTTTCACCATTCGAAAGCTGCATTATCCACGAGTAACATAGGCTAAATTTCATTTTGGAAAAAGAAAAATATGTAGATAATGAAGTCCATGCGCGTGAAGCCGCGGGCGGAAAGCTAGTCAGAATTAAAATTAAGTATAGAAGATAGCATGTCAAGCTAAACACTGTAGCATCTTAGCATTTGTAAAAATGCTTACAAAACAGACGTTATACATTTTTATCAAATAACAAACTGCAACAGTGACCAATACAGGATTTACTGATAATTAATCCGGAAATATGTTTTTTATCATGGCATTTATAATTAAAATTCAAACTGCCTGCATAATGATGACAATATTGACAATAAATGATGCATTCACTTTGACCTGACCGCCGCTGTCTGCAGCAGAACACATCCAGTGCAGGAAAATTCTTAAAGCCGCTGGATTCATTGTAGGTTCTTTTACAGAAACTAACTTACTAACACACTATAGCATCAACAGAACGGAAAGGACCAAAGGGGAAGAGGAATGTTGGGAGGCCCAAGGAAAGGTGGGCTGATAATATTATGAAAACAGCAGGCAACAATTGGCTTGATCTAGCCCAGGACAGGCAAGTCTGTCTGTATATTTTATTTTGGGCGTCTGTGTGTTTACGTGGCGTGGGCAGGCCTCCCACTAGGTGGACCGACGATCTGATGAAGGTTGTGGGAGGTGCCTGGATGCGAGCGGCGCAGGACCGGTGTTTGTGGAAAACCTTGGGGGAGGTCCAGCAGTGCATGTCTTTCAGCTGATACAAACAATTTTATTTGATTTATTTTATAATTTACTAACCTTATGAGTAACGGTATCCTTGAGCATCCGGTAGCGGCCGACGGTGACGACCCGAACGTTGTGGCGCCTACGGGCTCCTGGGTTCAGGTCACCGTAAGGCATGATGTACTGAGAGTACGTCTGCTTCGGAGTGTACGCTGCTATCTGGCATATCTGCGGATAAAATGTATGTTTTAGCTTCTATGTAAAACTTACAGACAATGTTGGAACCTTAGTGACCAAGGGCACATTAAGACTAGGAGCAGATCACCAACTTTTAGTTGGCCGATAGTTGGGCCCAAGTCGAATTTGTATGAAGAATCAAAATTAGGAATGGCATGCCTTGACTTTGCAGAATGGACCAATTCTATAGTGAGAGTTGACTCTCAATGAAGTTACTGAGAGCACTTAAATTAGTGTGGCATGGATTGTGGTTTTATCTAGGTGATTGTGTGAAGGAATGTCAGAGTAATCTATGTTACTCTGGTTCTAAAATCATCCATTGATCAATCTATCAAAACAAGTTGACTGCGTGTCAAAACAACGGCTTGACACTAAATTATAAATGGGAAAGTTACTTTGTTTGTTTCTTACTTTTTCATACCAAATCAAAACAAAGGGTTCATAAATAAATCTTATAATAGAGTTTTGAAAATGATCTCATCATCCAATAAATAAAGTTATACTACATACACTGTCCATTTTATTTTGACACCAAAACAGGGAAATGAATGTTACAAAAAATAAAGTCTAAGGAAAATAGGTAAAGAAAGGTTGTTGTATAAAACCCATCACACCTATAACATGAGAGGTTTACCTAATTGGTTGGTTGGTATTCTATTGGCATTATTAACTAAACTATACTTGGTTATAACCTACCTATAGTCTTTTTCACGTAAGATGATCCGTATGACACTTCAAGGTTATCCATATTACGCATGCTACATATGCAGAATATTTTTGAAAAAATGTTTGTATTTTATTAGCAATATAATAAAAAAAAATTATCTACTTGTCTTGAAATATATAGTAAAATCTGAGTCTATTGATTATATTTTAATTAAATACGATGTAAAATTATTTTTTATTTAATGTACGCAATGTGTGAAACGGAATAGATTTAGTGCTGGGGTATTTCTTGTTTAATAAAATCGATTATTTCCGCGGTTCATTAATCGATTGCAGTGAATACTTAGTTACTAAAAACATCACAAAAATCAACTATATTTTTCGATTATTGACTTTAATAAACGCATTGAAAATAAATTTATAGTTTTTAATTTAAAGAAACAGAACCAGTACTTTTTAGGAATCGTTTTTTTGAACACGAACCATGAAATTTGAATATTATCAATAAAAAATTGTTACAATAATATTAGTAATTAAAAAAAAACATGTTTTTTGTTAAATAACACCTATACAAAATATTTCTCGAAAAGTAGGTGTCACTACCTCTTCGAATAAAATCGATAGATAAATCGCTATGGTTTAGTTATGTGACATCTCTAAATCTTTCAAACTCGAAACGTCATACGGATCATCTTAGGTGAAAAAGACTATAGACCATGTAACATTGTTTTGAAGTTAGCAATAATTGTCTACCGTAATTTGCTATAACCATTTCAGTCTCTTGACATATTAATTGAATGCATACATAGCACCCACACTGTGTAATCTTTGTATTTGCTTAGAATATCCAAGCAAACAACTTAAATTATTTGCCTTTAATGTAAAGAAGCCATAGATAAAAATAAGAGGTCATTGTGGGACTGATAAGATACAGAAGTATATTGAAGTGAATACAAAGTTCTAAACAATCTTAATTGCTTAGCACAATTAGTTATTGTTTAGTTTTATCTAAAGTCTTTCATTATGATGACACAGCTTCAAGACTTATTTACATAAAGTTTTGGGCAAAAGCAATTTTTAGAACCAAGCATGCTTGAAGATTATTTAAAATTTAGGATTGGTACAGCAATTTAATCAAGTATACAAAAAATGCTTGTTCTCAAGGTAAAAAAATGACCTAACAACTAACAGTGTGACTTGATGGTAATTTTTTCCTGGCGAGTAACAGTATTAATCAATACGGTGTGACGGTGCAAAAAAAACTTTGGAATAAATGGTAATTGAAAACGTACCTCATCAATAAGTCTTCTGCCGGTAGTGTCCATGTCCCAGCCGACCAGCGAGTACTTGCCCGGAGGAAGTCCCGCCGGCTTCTCGGCCAGCGCTGGAGGCAACTCCGTGGGAGCCTCTACCTCTCCACCGTTCACCTTTGATTCTGTCACCATGGCCATGAACACTATTTACACTGCGGACAAAAGAAAAGTATTAAAAAATCTTCGTTCTACACCTAAATGATGACATTGTTAACAATGTTAATCATTTTTGTTGGCAAGAGTCAAATTAATATTAGCTGCATTTCAGAATTACACAAATACATTTAAGTTTGAATATGATCGATCAGAGATTGCATGCAGTACACTCATTTGGATTTGAGAGATGTGGGTAGTTGAATAACTTCATTGTCCCAATAATGTACAAATTTTATTGTAATTTTACCGATAGATAGATCTACTGCTACTAACCTAAAATTTGTGTAGACTATTTCTCTCTCTAGGGGTCTTTTTGTATTTATTTGGATAACACTTGTCACATTAATTAATTAGAATTGTAGGTAGATGAAAATTTTAATGAAAAAAAAAAAGCTTTTACTAAGATTATCCTATGAATATTATAAAAAGAATTGTACATCAACCATAGATAAGATTGTTTATCAGTTATTAACCCAATAACTAAAATGAATAAAGTTATGGTGGATTTCACAAACAATCTTTCTGCTTTCAGTCCACAGGTGGGCAAAGCTTTTTTTCCAGGTGACTGCAGTCCCATGAAACATCCATTATTCAATGCTCAGGTTGATTTTGCTATCTGCCATTGATAACCTAGTTTAGGTGGAGGATAATCTTTGTGATCTATTGAGTACCACCACCCAAGCAACCACAGTAGAAAAATGTGTTAATCGGTTGATTACACATCAAACCGATAACTCATTGCAAGAAATTAACACCCACTGAAAGACATAACCGGTAGCCAGAAATAATCGATCATGTGAAAACACAATGATTAATCCAGCGACACACCAGCAAGATGCTAATTAGCCATTACAATGGCTACGCCAGAAAAGTCTTGCAATGGTAATCAGAAAGGAGTTTAGTCAAAAATGTAATTAGAATTAGCAAAAATTACGGAAAACTTAAAATCGGGACACGTGGCGGTCTTTTTCTAGAGACATTTTGCCCCACCCCAGCGTGTCAAAATAACAAAATAATAAACTTACGTCTCAAATGCGACGACGATTAATTGTTGGTAAACAATATTTTTGAACAGCAGTCGATCTACGCTGCCCTTCGAACGCTGCAAAGTAAAATAATTTGTAAAAATATCACAAAATCTCAGCACGTGTGCGGCAAATGGCAAACCGCAATAGCAAGCAATAGTGATGTCCAATGATATCGCAATCGAACAACCTGTAATTTTATGTTGATCATAATCGAATTTGAGTTAAAGTCAAATGCGATCCTATAATAATTTTACAACTTTACAACTGTTGCAAAATTACAAACAATACATTGTTACCAATGAAAATCGAAAAAATCGAAGCATTTTTACTACGCTTTATCTAATCAATCAATTTAAATTTAATAAAATATACTTTTACCATAACCCAAATTAAATTCTCGGCATTCTCTAGTCTAGATTGTTTGTGTTGTGAACTTGTGATTGCATCCACAAATAGTGTCTTTCAGAGCCCCGATTACGGTAATTTTTAACGTTTCCAATCCAGACGCGTTTCTGATTCTGCGATACGATTGGTCAAAACAGCTGACGTACGCTGTTGAACGACCAATCGTATCGCAGAATCGAGAAGCGTGTCTGGATTGTTGACGTTAAAAGTTTACTGAGCCCCAAGCCCCGATTACGGTAATTTTTAACGTCAACAATCCAGACACGCTTCTCGATTCTGCGATACGATTGGTCGTTCAACAGCGTACGTCAGCTGTTTTGACCAATCGTATCGCAGAATCAGAAACGCGTCTGGATTGGAAACGTTAAAAATTACCGTAATCGGGGCTCTGAAAGACACTATTTGTGGATGCAATCACAAGTTCACAACACAAACAATCTAGACTAGAGAATGCCGAGAATTTAATTTGGGTTATGGTAAAAGTATATTTTATTAAATTTAAATTGATTGATTAGATAAAGCGTAGTAAAAATGCTTCGATTTTTTCGATTTTCATTGGTAACAATGTATTGTTTGTAATTTTGCAACAGTTGTAAAGTTGTAAAATTATTATAGGATCGCATTTGACTTTAACTCAAATTCGATTATGATCAACATAAAATTACAGGTTGTTCGATTGCGATATCATTGGACATCACTATTGCTTGCTATTGCGGTTTGCCATTTGCCGCACACGTGCTGAGATTTTGTGATATTTTTACAAATTATTTTACTTTGCAGCGTTCGAAGGGCAGCGTAGATCGACTGCTGTTCAAAAATATTGTTTACCAACAATTAATCGTCGTCGCATTTGAGACGTAAGTTTATTATTTTGTTATTTTGACACGCTGGGGTGGGGCAAAATGTCTCTAGAAAAAGACCGCCACGTGTCCCGATTTTAAGTTTTCCGTAATTTTTGCTAATTCTAATTACATTTTTGACTAAACTCCTTTCTGATTACCATTGCAAGACTTTTCTGGCGTAGCCATTGTAATGGCTAATTAGCATCTTGCTGGTGTGTCGCTGGATTAATCATTGTGTTTTCACATGATCGATTATTTCTGGCTACCGGTTATGTCTTTCAGTGGGTGTTAATTTCTTGCAATGAGTTATCGGTTTGATGTGTAATCAACCGATTAACACATTTTTCTACTGTGGTTGCTTGGGTGGTGGTACTCAATAGATCACAAAGATTATCCTCCACCTAAACTAGGTTATCAATGGCAGATAGCAAAATCAACCTGAGCATTGAATAATGGATGTTTCATGGGACTGCAGTCACCTGGAAAAAAAGCTTTGCCCACCTGTGGACTGAAAGCAGAAAGATTGTTTGTGAAATCCACCATAACTTTATTCATTTTAGTTATTGGGTTAATAACTGATAAACAATCTTATCTATGGTTGATGTACAATTCTTTTTATAATATTCATAGGATAATCTTAGTAAAAGCTTTTTTTTTTTCATTAAAATTTTCATCTACCTACAATTCTAATTAATTAATGTGACAAGTGTTATCCAAATAAATACAAAAAGACCCCTAGAGAGAGAAATAGTCTACACAAATTTTAGGTTAGTAGCAGTAGATCTATCTATCGGTAAAATTACAATAAAATTTGTACATTATTGGGACAATGAAGTTATTCAACTACCNAAAAAAAAAAAAAAAAAAAAAAAAAAAAAAAAAAAATGAAAGAGTTTTAAAAAACACAATTGGTAGCTCACGAGCTGTCAATTTGACATCTTCTGTCAATTATCAGGGATTTTGATGCGGATGCGGATTGCGGATGAATTTTATTTCGAAAGTATCTAGCTTAATTTCTAACAAGAGAGAGAGAGTAGTATTTGTGTTTTAATCATTAGTGTATAAAATATGACTGAAAACTTGGATTTATGTCGCAGCCAAATCGCTCAGGCGAGAACGGAAATCAAGAACCTAAGGTATGCACGCAAATTACAAGCATTTATTCATTGAAGATGCTGTTTTCTATGGTATGCTAAATATTTTTAGACAGCAGTTGGCCGCACTCAAACATGAACACCTGAAAGAAATCAAATTGATCAAGTCTACATTAGAAGGACTCCGATGTGGAGAATGTGCGAAAACAGGTAAAAATTAATTTGCATTTCTTGTGATTTGCTTCTAAAGATAGCTTTTGCCCGCGGCTTCACCCGCGTGAAATTTAGTTTGTCACAGATCGTCATAAATTATAGCCTTTATGTTATTCTGGGTTATAAACAATAATACTGTAAAGTTTCATCAAAATAGTTCAGTAGTTTTTGCGTGAAAGAGTAACAAACATCCAGATATCCACACAAACTTTCGCATTTATAATCGGCGTTTACCCGTGGTCCCCCCAACATGTCCCCCTGGTGGGTCCACGGGTAATTTTTTTTACCCGTTGTCCCACCGTTCTGAACAGTTTTTGCCAGTGGGTCTATGGGTAATTTATTTTAACCATAGTCCCACCGCACAGTGGTAAACGTTGCATTGCAACCAGGGGGACATGTTGGGGGGACCACGGGTAAACGCCGTTTATAATATTAGTAGGATTACATTCACACTTATTACATACTGATTGATTACAAAACCACTGGCCATAAAATAGTTGTAAGTTTTTTATACTTATAATCTACTTTCAGACACCTATCGTAAAATAAACAGTATAGTTAATATTAGTATGCAACAGTTTTATACATGTGTGTTTGATTGAATATACCTTAATTTCCAGCTACAACCGTTGTAAATCACTACAATGGCGGAGAGCCGTCAACATCGGCCGCTCACACAGATTGTATCTCATACAAACCGATAGGGGTGATAGAGACAGCATTTCAGAACAAACGTGGGGTGCCTCGACAGCCGTCCGTGCTGACGAAGGCCAAAGGGACGGTGGTAATAGACACCAGCGTCTTTAACAACCCTGAACACGCTTTGAGTGGATTGGAGGAATTCTCTCACATATGGTGAGTTGGTTTGTGTTGAAAAAGAAATTAATCTTACAGTAATATACAGGGTGAAATGAAAACCATCAACATCTTCTCAAAATAAAACTCCAGTCATTATTCTCTCCAAAAATAACACAATAGACAACTGACAGTGGGGTAAACAGTGTTAGAGAGAAATAATTGAATTTATTAAGTATTTTGTCTATGTAAGGGTCGCTACACACATAAGCAGGCCAGCATTTTCAGAAGCAATTACTGCACTCGAACATTAATCCGTACAGAATAGTGGCGGTTCACTTCTGAGAGTAGATTAACATTGTTTCCAGGATAATTTTCCACTTCCACATGACAGAGAGCAATAACGTGCCAGCTAAGGTCGCTCCACCGAGACTGGGCGGCGAGAGACGAGGCGTCTTCTCGACTCGCTCCCCGCACAGACCGTGCCCTATTGGGCTGTCTCTGGTCAGGATACAGAGTATTGAAGGTAGGTTATATTTTTATGGCTTTTAGATTAGGTAAATAATAGGCAGAGTTAGTAGTTATGTACTTGCTTTTCCAGTTAGACAGAAATACTAGTACTTATGGCTGGTCTTTTTTAAACGCAAATAAATATTCGAATTTGTATGTTAACTACTTTGAACCATTATTTGATAGCTGCAGATTTGTTTGGGCAATTTGAGACACAAATACATCCATTAGGCTTGATTTCCTCTTAGGATGACGTCGGTAACCAACGTCGGGGGTGTGTACGAATAATCACTAGTTCTACGTAATCCATGGGCTGGAAGACGTAGCGTGGGCAGGCCTCCTACTAGGTGGACCGACGATATGGTAAAGGTCGCGGGAAGAACCTGGATGCGAACCTTGGGGGAGGCCTTTGTCCAGCAGTCGATGTCATTTGGCTGAAACGAATCATCTCCCGCTGATGACAACCTAAGAAGAAATCAAGCCTTAGTTAAGCAAAGTTACAAGTCACATTTAAACAAAAAACCTCCTTATTTCCAGGCAACAAGATCCACTTCACAGGCGTTGACATGGTATCCGGTACACCGGTGTTAGACATCAAACCTTACATCCCGCAGTACGACTACCCGATGCCGTTTGACACGCCCCTCTCGGCGTTAAGACCACCTACTGAAGGCATCAGTGATGCTATAGAGACGTTGGCAGGACTTAATATTGACGATGAAGATTTTGATCCTAGGTGGGTTAGGTTAGGTTAGATTTTGTTTTAATGAAATTTCTCCCATCATTATAGCATGTCTTTGTCATAGTGTCAGTGGCAGTGTGGCTACAACTGCGCTACTAAAAAAAAAGTAGTGAACGCTACAGTGACTGGTGCCACTGCAGCGCTTCCTGACGTGTCTAATTTGAAGACAACCATAACCATAACAGTGATAACAGTATACGCTACAATCGGCAAGAATAATCTACTACAAAATGACAATGTACCTACATATTTGGAACTTTATACTAAAGCACAAAATACATTGGGAGAAATTGACATTTTGACGTAGGTTGATGCTCTGGCGATTGTGCAGACGATGGCACATCAAGCTACACTGTCATATCAAGTAGATGTGATTGGTTGCTATTTTGTGACAAAAACGTGCTATCCTATGATTTCTCAGATTATTATTCCATTCATTTGGCAACTTTATTACTGTTAAATAATCCCAAATTTAATCAAAATCTATCATTGTTTCAGCCTCAGCCCTCGCATAACGAACCCTATCGGCATCGAAACGACTACCCCGCTCTCCCGTTCGCCGTTCGAAGGCGACATACCCTCCCCTGGAAACAACCACAGCACGCTTCTGACGCCGATATCACCGTCGCCCGACTCTCCTCCCAGCGCTGACTTACTAGACGGAACTGGCTTCAGAACTGCATCACCCATAAGGCGACCGGACACAGAAAGAGGCGCCCCAGACGGCCAAGAAAGATTCACGCCTCCACAATCAGCACACCTCCTAAGCATGGCCCATGACGGCATCAGAGTCGCACCGTGGATATCAAATCCACCCTCGCAAACATTTGACGTCAGATTCTCAGATGATGCATTAGAAAGGCTCAATGAATTGATCGGCAATCGAGCGCAGACCTTCAAATCTAACATAGAAAGCCTGCTAAGCGAAGATCCCAGGTCCCACTACGTACGAACGAGGTATCCTGACCACGAATATAACTGCGTTCTTGAAGATCTGTCGATAAGTTGTATTTTCGACTCTAACACATCTGTCTGCAACATCATCGCGGTCAGAAACGCAGAGGAATTACAGAATTAAACTCTATTTAATAACATTTATTTATTGCATAACATAATTTATGAAGCACAAAATATAAGTTGTTAGCACAATACAATATTTCATTTCTTAAAGTAATAATTCTCTTGGTTATTTTCTACGGCTGAGTATTATGAGGTAGCAAATAATACCAAACGTCGAACATAGAAAGCCTAAAAGGTAAGCGCGTGAGTTTATTCTGCTATTTCTTTATAAAATAGCATCTGTTTTCCAGATCCAAAACCGCCCACAGAGTTCAATACTTTCACCTTCATATACCTGAATGCTGTCCCGTTTAAAGGAATCACTTTGACTGTCTCATCTTGAGGGAATATTATTGTGTTGGAGTATGGAGTCCAAGTTGATTTGTCAACTGAAACTTTATACTGGAGCTCGAGGAAAGTCCCGTTGCCGGCGTCGGCACGGGGAACATACTCGACTTTGTTTATCTTATACACGTGGCCCAGGTCAAAAGACAACATCAAGAAGTGATCATCTTCGGGATTAAACTTCCCGACTTCTCCCCAATCTGTGTGCCACATGGATTTGAAGTCTTTGTCGGTTAAATTACACACTTCTTGTTGGGGCTGGCATGGGAGGTTACATTTCACCTTGACCATTTCTATGGTGTTTATATACGGATCCTTTTTTGTTACAGCTTGAACAGCCTCACTCCATTCCGACACCTCCTGACCTTTAGCTGAACGAATCATGAAATTGTGTTTTGATTCGTATTTGAACTCGTCGAAGGTGAAAGAGTTTCCTGTGATATTTGTGAAAATGATGCCATCTCTCTCTATTTCATAAAAATCTACCCCTTCCACTGGTTTCCACTTCAGTGTTATGGTAGTTGGAGTGATATCCTCTATCGGCTCTTCGAAACTGGTTTTCGGTATTGATTTGTTTATTGACATGTCACCTAACACTTTGCTATCGCTGATAAAATCTTTGATTTTAAGCTGAATTTCATTTTCAGTTACATTTATCTTTTCAATCTTGACTAAAAGACATTTCTGATATAGATCCTCGCTAGAGAACTTGTTGAAATATGGGTTGACAATGAAGTCCTCTTTGAAAAAATATGCATTTCTCTTATCATTGAACTCGTTCTCTGTTTTAGCTTCTGAAATTTCTACTTCAAACCCATTAATAGCTGCTTTTATTTCACTACAACTTGCTGTTGTAGTCATCACTTGTAAAAGTGTGCTTCTAACTTTAACCATACCATTGTATGTGCCTAATGTCCTACCAATATTGATATACAAGTGATTACCAGTTTTTGGCCCCATCATTGTGATAGAAGTTTTAGCAAAATGACCTTCCTGATAATCAGTACTCATCCCATCATCTTCATAAACTTCGAAGCTCGATTTATCATCTGGGTACAAAGTAAATATTCTGTTATCCCTTTTGATTTCTGTTGGATTATTATTGGGATTAACCATGGGTAAAATAGCACCACTTTTGATAAATACTGGAATCTTCCACAACGGTGTCAAGAAGTTATTCCAAAATTTGCCTCCCAAATATTGGTCCCCTGTGAAGAAATCCACCCACACTTGGTTTTCGTCAGGAAGGAATATCGTATTCCGTACTGAGTTTCCACTGTCATCTATTTCTTTGTCATTATATTTTGGAGCCACCAAAATGTAGGGCCCCCACATGAATTGGTATTGTGAATCAGTTGTGTAAGCTGGAAATTCGTTAGGGAACTCCAATAACATCGCTCTGATCATGGGCAGCCCTTCTATTGATTCATGAGCCACTGTGTAGTTGTAAGGCATCAACATTGACTTCAGTTTCAAGTACGCTCTGTTGATAGTTGTGGCCTCAGCGTCAAATGCAAAGGGTGTTTTTTGTTTGTCGCCCCACCCGTCCATATTCAACTGCAGTGGCGTGAACGTCTTCCACTGATAATCTCTGATGTTCACTTCCCTATCTCCGCCTGCATAAATTCCATCCATGTCTGATCCTATAACCGGCTGTCCGGATAAACCACAGCCGATATAAGTAGGGATGTGGAAGCGGATGTATTCCCATTCTCCTCCCTTTTGGTCGCCACTCCAGATGCCCGAATATCTTTGTGTTCCAGCCCACCCATCGACCATGATTATCATAGGTCTAGCCTTCTGCGTTGTGCTGCTATTGAATACATTTGTTGCGTCTTCGACAGCATTCAGCCCGAATGAATATCCGCTTCCAATCCAGGCCACATCACATTTCAACGCCACAACACCCGCTACACTGACCTCTTTCTCTAAATCACGTTCCCCTTTCTTTGGATTTTCAGGATCAGCAGGGTGGAGATTTGATTCGGTCCACAGCGCTGCCTCGATGCCTTGTAATCTTGCGTAGTCAGCAAACTCTTTGAGGTTTTCAATATCACCATCCAACGAATCGGTCTGCCCATACCCACTGCCGTAGCCGTCATTTGGCACGAACCAGCCTAATGGCATATCGTGCATTTTGTATCTGTCTATCATTCCGCGTGCGGAAAACTGATAGTTATTATTTTCTCCATTTAGAGACTCCAATATTCCTTTCTTGTCGCCTATTTCTTTTGGCTGATAGCTTTTGTAGTAACAGCCATCTTCAAATAAAATGGCCCGTGGAGTTTCGGGACTTACTTGAACCCAGTAATCTCTATTAAAGGCGTTTAGATGTGCTTCGTAAAAAGCATATTCGGGCATCAAAAGAGGTTTACCGGTCAGTTCATAGTAATCGTTCAATATGTCTCTTGGTTGGGAGTTAATGAAGTAAAATGCGTCGAATTCTTCTCCTCTGTGGACGGTCTTGGCATATTTTGGCGATTTAGTACCAAAGTCGTAAACTCCGGGCTGCCAGGTATTTCTGAGGACTCCATAACCGTTTGTTGACCAGTAAAACGGGTTGGGTGAAGTAACACCACCATCTACCCAATTATTGGTATTAACAATAGTTATTACTTTCCCTTTGTGTGTAAATCGACCGTTTTGCATTCCGCCCCCAAAGAAATACTCGTTTTCGCGTTGCTTCAACATCTGTGTAGATTTATAATCCGTGTACGAGATCGGTAGCAGTTCTTCTAGTATTGTGTGTTTTCGATCTGTAACCGCCATTATTCCATTTACCATATGAAACGAAATTTCAATTTTATCTGTGGCAACGATATACGAGGTGGAATTCCATATGACTCTGGAATCTTCGAAGGCTTTCAAGCCATACTCCCTCATGGTTTTCGAAGTGATTTTCGCGATGTCTCCGGGGTTCATAGGTTTTGGATATTCCCTGAATTCTCCGGTGGGAGACATATAAAATCTAAAAACGTGGCTGTTCAAAATGTACAGTCTCGCCGTCTCTCCTTCTGAATATCCTATTTCATAGTACTCATCTGCTTTCAGGAAGGATGTGATTTCCCCTAATGCCTTTATATTGTAGAAGATGAGGGGCTTCGCCATTTTGCTTATGTGTGTCCGATGCAGTAAGTAGATAGGTAGGTGCTTGTTTAATGTAGATTCTCTGAAAAAAAAAACTTTCATCAAACACAACAAAATGATAGGGCATTTAAAAAAAGGAATTCGGTAAGTGTTTGGGTGAGTAAATATTTAGGTAAGTACATATTTTTTTCGATAGCAATAAAAAAAACAGAATTCATTCATTTTTCTAAGTTAGGTAGGTAGGTACACACCCTGTATTATCTCTTGTAGAAGCTACAGGTGGTAGTGTAGAGTTTAATGCGATTAGTTTTTTTTCGTAAAAAAATTAACTAATAGGTACTCTGTCGCGTTTTTAATAATCGTAGGACGCACTTAACCTACATTCAAATAATTAATAAAAACAAGTTTCGCACGTTCGCGTTTTGCTTAATGCGAATATAATGTAAACTATTAATTGGTCTAAACTATGATGAAACGCGGTAACTTACAAGAATATAGCAATAAGTACCTACCTACTTCATTGAATTTACTACTAATATTTTTAGGTCCTACGAGGTCTTACGTATCATGTAATGAATACACTGTGCACGTAGCCCCTTGTCTATACAGCTACATTTTGAAATATTTCTTTAATCACAATATTTCATAAACAAACAAAGAAATTGATAAATCAAGATTACGGTAGGCAGGTAGTTACTGCGTAAGTTCATTATTAAATGTACTTACTTGCTTATCGATCAATAACTTATAGTTAGGTACTCACCTATAAAAAATAGTTTTCAAGCGCACTTGTCGGAATATGATAACAACTGAGTAAAATTTCGATTATAGGACCCTTTTATAGGTTTAAAGTTATTGTTTTTTTTTAAGTATAAAAGGCGACCGATTCATTATTCAATTAAATTTATCTTCGATAAACAAACACGATTTGATACGGCAAGTAGGTATCACAAACCAAAACAAAGTGTATAGTGTACAATCAATGTTTCATATCTATTCATAGCATTGAACTAAAGATGACGTGTCTGTTTGTAGCAATTTAAAATTAGGGTGAAGATAAGGTGTAATGCTTTATTTGTTTTTGTTACGACAAGCTATTCAAGCAATTACCATGATAGTAAATAATAGTACCTACTCTATAAATTACTAAACCCTCAATAACCCATAACATTATATACTTACAAAATGCCCAAGAGTAGTGGGAGAAAAATATTGTATGTGGCTCATAAGACGTTCCTTTTCACAAAAAAGTTTTGACGTCAAATTTTCCGAAACGTCATCAAGTATTCACGGCCAATGCAAACTTATAAATAAATTGTAAGTAAAACATAAAAAAATAATAAGGTAAACTAATCGGTAAACTTTCGACATTTAGTTGAGTTTTATTGTTATTGTTTTTATCCGTTAATTTGTTTAATCGTGTGGCAATACTCAATGATTCCGAGCTGCGTTTAGTTTGACTTTCCGATAAAAAAAAGTAAAAAAAAAATAAAAAGATTGTTTGCAAGTCAGCGGTCGGAAGCGCGGGAAACGTCAAGCTAGGCGGTTGTCTCAATTCTTGCGTTTGCGATTTTTATAAATTATCTAGTAAATAGAGATCAGTTAAGTAGTGGAGTGTAGTATATTTATGTTTATNTAAAAAAAAAAAAAAAAAAAAAAAAAAAGTCAGCGGTCGTGAATATTGTTAAAAATTACAATTTCGTGATAATTTGCTATCAATTTTAAAATTAAATTTAAACCGTAAACGTACGTATACAAGAAATCTTAACAAATGCAATCTAATTGTCTAAATAGTGGTTCTCAATTCGCTTTGTCATTGTGGCATAACCTGCACGGCCGGTGTATTTTTACTGATAACTGGCTTTTTTCTTCAGATGTTTCTGACCCGCTCCGAGTACGATCGTGGGGTGAACACGTTCAGCCCCGAAGGCAGGCTGTTCCAGGTGGAATATGCCATCGAGGCCATCAAACTGGGGTCGACAGCCATTGGGATATGTACATCGGAAGGCGTCGTTTTAGCGGTCGAAAAAAGGATAACGTCTCCTCTGATGGAGCCTACTACCATTGAAAAGATTGTGGAAGTAGACCGCCACATCGCCTGCGCTGTATCGGGCCTGATGGCTGATTCAAGGTATGTTGATTATATTAGTAAAATCCAAGCTTCTATCAACCTGATTTCTCCAAAAATCCTGATTGTGGGATACAAGCTTGTATGAGCATGAGAATCCCACAAAAAAGTTAATGCTAATATTTTGTATGTAGTGTAGGTGCAAACATAACTTAAGATTTTTTAAAATAATTTACAAATCCTTGAACATTGTTTCTAGAACACTAGTGGAACGCGCCCGTGTGGAGTGTCAGAACCACTGGTTTGTGTACAACGAGCGCATGAGCGTTGAGTCGTGTGCGCAGGCGGTGTCCAACCTGGCGATACAGTTCGGCGACAGTGACGATGACAGTGGCACCGCTATGTCCAGACCTTTTGGTGTAGCTGTTATGTTTGCAGGTTTGTAGATATGCACTTCACAGTACATAAGGCCAATTATACTATTATTATACTTTTCAATTGTTATAATATTGTCACTATTAATATTTTATAGATTCTTCAAGTTTTTACATCTCATTGATTATTCATTGCATCATGTAGTGCATTGGATGTTAATCGTGACTTAGAGCTAAACATGAGCTTAGCATTTTAGACTCATAAAAATCAAACAGAAGAATAGTATAGAAGACAAGAAATATTTTCAAGAATATCTGTTTTCCAATGCTTTTCCATCCTTATCACAAGCTCCAAGGAGACTCATAAAACTGTAATGTTTAATTTAACAGGCATTGATGAGAAGGGTCCCCAACTATTCCACATGGACCCCAGTGGCACATTTGTCCAGTATGACGCCAAAGCTATTGGCTCTGGCAGTGAGGGAGCTCAGCAAAGTCTTAAGGTAATGTTTACAAATCAATAAGTTCTTTATTTATTCGTGGGGGAAGTAGACCACCACCATAGCTGGGCATTAACTCGTTAATCCGTTAATCGTTAATTAACGAAGTTAACATTTCTATTAACGGATTAACTTTTAAGTTAACTTTAAAAAATGTTAACGGACTCGTTAACTTCCGTTAAATTATCCTAAGTCCCTTAATCGTTAATCCAGTACCTACTATTTACCAAAAAGATACAGCAGGCACGCTGAAAAACGCTAGAAAAACGCGTTCTGACAAGTACGTTCGGGCTTCCACCCGATCACTAACGAACGACACATTTGTTAGTATGTGTGGGACACTTGCAACTGAATTTAAGACCAGTTTTCCTCAACCGATTGAGCTGAAATTTGGTATACTTATATAAGTACAATGACAATGCAATGTTATGGTACCATTGAGCTGGTCTGATGATGGAGTCATGAGGTGGCCAAAGGAACTCCTAAATGAAACGGCGGCATCGCATCGAATTTGGGTTCGTTGGATTTGTCTTTTCGAGCACTTTAGTACTAGATGATGTCCAGGGTCCTGATGATGGAGTCAGGAGGTGGCCATAGGAATTCCTAAACGAAACGGTGGAAACTTATCGAGTTTGGGTTTGCTGGATTTGACTTTTCGAGCACTTTGGTGCTAAATTATATTGTAATTGAACCAAGGCTCTGAGATTGAGATACTACTAAAAAGTGTAAAATAAAATTATAATAATTAAAAAACTTTTTTAAAAACAAGCTTTTATTCTGAAATGCAGTTGTACTAAAACGAAAAAAAAAATTGTGTGTGTCGTTCCACGCGCAGTGTAGGGTTCCGTAGTTATCCGTCGTTACCACAATATGTATATTTCAGGAGCAAGCAATTACTTCATCTAAAGTCACTTTTAATATTTTCTTCTTGGGAATTTTTATTATGTATTAAATTTTATAATACACTAGCTGACCCGGCGAACTTCGTACCGCCTTAGCGTAGAGATTTTCTTAATATTTTTTTCCGTAAGAACCATCCTTGGACTTCCACAAACATTTAAAAAAAAGAATTATCGAAATCGGTTCAGCCGTTCACACGTGATGCCGTGACAACGCGAAACGGGTTTCATTTTTATATATATAGAAGATGAGTAAAACGACTATTACTCTTAAACCAAGTGATCTATCCTAACCGCTATAGTTTACCTTGAAAGTTCATAAAGAACACTATATCATGATTTTTTAAAAAAATTCAAACCAACAGTTTAGTTTTTAGAGGGGGGGGGGGGGGGGCCCCTACTCGAACAAAAATTTTCACTTTAAACTTTAACATTTTGCTAATGGATATCTAAATCGAAAAATAGTCTTAGAAACCTCTAAGCCATTTTAAAAGACCTATCCAACGATACCCCACGATGGGGTAGAAGATGAAAAAAAAATCATCCCCACTTTACATGTAGGGAAGCTAACCTAACCTAAAAAAAATTTTTTTTTTCAAAATTTTACTTTTCCGTTTTGTCGGCGTGATTAATAATTATGCATATAATATCTCCACAAAATTACAGTCAGTTCCTTGTCAGGACTACGGAACCCTAAAAATAATTGTACTTATGCAAGGTTCAAATAATTTCGAAAGCTTGTAGAGCGCAAACATAAAAGAGGAATAAATTCCACGCGCGATATAAGCTTTCGAAATTATTTGAACCTTGCATACAATTATTTTTTTCGTTTTATTATAATGTGTTAACGGATTAACGATTAACGTTAACTTGCGTTAAATCTTGCGAAATGTAACGTTTTAACGTTTAACGAAGTTAATTTTTTTATTAACGGTTTAACGATTAACGAAGTTAACTATTTGATTAACGGTGCCCAGCTATGACCACCACCCTCCATCAAAATGATGGAGGAGGCTTTTACCCAAGTGGGGCCACAATTAAGAGAAATACTTAATTAATTTTAAATAAAACTGTAATAACTGTGGATTTATAAAACTATAATAATAATAATAATAAAAGTTCTTTATTTTATGCAAATAGACTTTAAAAAAGCACTTTTATAAGTCCCAGTATTATTTAACCTTACCACTGCTTAGGGACAATAAACGAGCCAGTGCTGAGAAGAAGCAGCACAAGAAACCTGTCGCCAATGATTAGACAAACCTTCTTGTATTGCATCAAAATTCTGATATTTAGTGATTTTAGTAAAGTTTTAGATTTGACTTCTTTAAATTTTGGAATCACAGATTGCTATTCTTTAAAAGAAATACCTCTTTATTGCTGATTGTCCTAGTTATGAGTAGTAGACAAAATACCTTATATGAAGAAAGACTCAATTTTGTTCTTAAAAGTCTTACCCCTTGTCAAGTCTGTTGTGGTTATTTACAAGATTTTAATAAACTTTCCAACAAATTTCAGGAGGTCTACCACAAGTCGATGACTCTGAAAGAAGCGATCAAGTCGGCTCTGACTATCCTAAAACAGGTGATGGAAGAGAAACTGTCTGCTAACAATGTAGAGGTGGTGACCATGACTCCTGGAGAATTGTTCCACATGTTTACGAGGGAGCAGCTTGCCGAGGTTATCCAAGATATTCCCTAGACAAATAATAGTTGGTTGGAAGTTGGTGTGATGTGAATTTATTACTATTTTCATTTCCAAAATTCTGAACTTCGTCCTTTGAAGGACGTATTTGGAAAATCATAATTCTGATTTCTAAAAACGGAATGATTTACAAAGCTCTGGATAGCATTGTTATATTGGGAAAATTATTAAAATAAGTTGAGATCACACTGCTAAGGTACTTTGAAATAGTAATATTTGAAGTAAATTGTATTTCCTAGTTGATCATTGTAAAGTTGCATTTTTATTTAAGTACATTAGTGTATTGTATGTAATAACTGTATTTATGTATGATCATTTATTTCATTGTAGCTATATAAAAGTACTTATCTCAAAAACTTATTAATTTGATAACTATGTAAATTTTTTACACTCATGTTTTAGTATTACTTGAACAGTTGTTTAATTCAGCATTATTTTAAAAGTGTATTTAACTACTAATGGTTCTGGAGGTGCAGTTTATTTGAAACATTACTTTATAATATTGGATCTTATGGTAAGTATTCACAGTTTATAATAAAAAATATCGACATAATTACATGTATTATTTATTTATCTACCCATATGAATAGTTTTTGGGAGTCATTAGAATTGGTGAGTAAAATTGATTAAATAATTTTGATAGTAGTTTAGTAGGTAGATAAGTATTTTAGAATGTTGAAAAGTAGATATCTTGGTATTTCAATGCCAAAATTAGTTAAAATATTCACAGGCCCAAATCTATGATTTATTTTTAATCGAGATTTTACCGCCTCTGTGGTCTAGTGGTAAGACCACCTGCTTCAGACGCAGAGGTCCCGGGTTCGATTCCCAGTGGATGCAGATTTTTCTGTTCGGTTTGGTTGGTGGTAGGGTTTGATCTAAGTCCGCCTGGCTAGCTACCATCGTCTTACCTAAGTCTGGCGCCATAACAACAATGTTAACAGCATTGTTGTTCCGGCAGTTAGAGGTAAGATAGCCAGTTCCTCCAAGGTTGAGGATTCCGGGTGAAGTTCGTTTCCACCTTCGGCCTGATCATCACTTACCATCAGGTGAGATGCAGGCCAAGAGCTTCCTCGTTGTGGATAAAAAAATAGATATGTGGGTCGTTTTAAATTTTAAGCGTATTATAAAGCTGCATTCACATCGTTTCGCGTAGCAGAATTGCGAAATAAAATTTCCTTTTGAACTATTCAGATGATAGCTGCTATACCCGAGCTTCAATGGAGCGAGACAAGTTCAAGGAACACCATACAAGAGTTCTCGAAACTTCGACTTGGAAGGCAAACTGTTTAGAAACTTCAGTGTTCTTGAATAAATTATTTGAAAAGATGCATAACATTTTATTGCTGTACTAGCTGTTGCCCGCGGCGTCACCCGCGTGAAATTTAGTTTGTCACAGATCGTTATAAATTATATAGCCTATATGTTGTTCTGGGTTATAAACAATAATACTGTAAAGTTTCATCAAAATATGTTCAGTAGTTTTTACGTGAAAGAGTAACAAACATCCAGACATCCAAACTTTCGCATTTATAATATTAGTAGGATTTAGGGTCTATGTATTTCGTATTTTACTGATACTTCTATTTAATCTTTTTTTTATTATATCTCACTATAGTATTACTATCTAAAATTGGTTTTCACTTGAGAAAAGACTAGGGAAGAAAGTCAAGGTAGTTCATAAAATAGAAACTTTCAATAGATTAGTAAAAAAAAACTTTATTCCCAAATTAAACTTACTTCGCTAACAAATAAATGCATTTGTAAAATTCACATTATCCATGTTTCTTTAGCAAAGATTATCACATTTGATTCATGGTTAAAACTTACAATCTAATATATTTTTGAGCTGGAATTACCAAATTATTGACTCACAAGTATTTCGTATTCTACAACTTACGTACTAACTTAGTGTAAGTACCCATCAAGATTTTGTATAATAATACCCAATATTTGAATATTTCCTAAACATTATTATTTTCCAGATCGACTTATTTCAAAATACTATTAATACACTTATTTCAAATCAATAATGACAATAATTATTCAACCAATTATCTGACATCGATGATTTATTTTAAAATTATACAGCTTATGTAGAATGCAGATACTCATGTAAAAAATAATGCACGACTCACGACGCGGTTTGCGCCCGCAGCGAGCGCGGTTGTATGCGGGTCCCGCGGCACCGGCGGGCGACTATAGTCTGGTCGCCGAGTACGTAGAATTTTGTCCAATGACCCCAAGCTACCTGCATCTTTATCGCTCGCGCGTAATTTAATTGCTGTCGCGACTGTGCGACGGGCGCCCGCAGTGAATGTGCGAGCGCGACAGCAACATAATTACTCGCGAGCGATAACGATGGGTAGCTTGGGGTCATTGAACAAAATTCTACGTGCTCGGAGACCGGGCTTTAGTAGAATCGCGCGGGCCGCGGTAACCGCAGCCTCTACGGTTTGCGCCCGCACGCTCTGCGATCAATGAGGGCTATCATTTTAGCGCTCACCAGTTAGCGCCACTGTAGAGTAAGGTCCTGTCACTTGCTAGTAGCGAAGACAGTGGCACCAACAGGTGAGCGCGAAAGTGGTAGGAGGACTATCGCATTTGCACTCATGAAGATGGCGCTACTGTAGAGTAAGGTCCTGTCAATCGCCAGGGGTGCCAACTGTTAAGTATAAAAACGATAGCCCTCATTCCACAACCGCGGCGGTCGCGGGTGCAAATCGTGCCTTGAGTTCTTAGCCTGACTCGCCAATCGGCTGGTTATCTGGCCCCACTAAAAAGTATCTACCATGAACTGCAAAGTACACGACCGAGTATCATAACTCCTTTTCCAAATACGGCACCAATTCCACCGGGTCCGTATTCGGTCCGAACCTCGCTACCGGCACCCCAATCTTGTTCACAATGAACTTGGAGAAGTTCCATTTGATGAAGTCTCCCATAGTCCCGCTCTGAACTGTCTTAAGGAATTTCCATAGAGGGTGCGCATTGTCACCGTTCACGTCGATTTTTTCAAATAGGTCGAATTTGACGCCTCTGTTCGCTGCGAATTTGAAGATATCATTGTGGGTCCCTGGTTCCTGGCCTCCGAACTGGTTGCAGGGGAAGGCCAGTATACGTAGGCCTCTGGATTCGTATTGTTCGTGCAGTTCATTCAGTTGCTTGTAGTTTTTGTCTGTGAGGCCGCACTGGGACGCCACGTTGACGATCAGAAGGACGTATCCTTTGTACTTGTCCAGGTGGACCTCTCGCCCTTGGAGATCTTTGACTGTGAAGTCATAAACTGACCTCTCTTGAACCGGTTCTGATCTATAAAAAAAGATGCAAAGTTATGAGACTTAGGTATTCTGTACAAAGACAGACAGGGTGACACCAATACCTATTTCTGAGAATGTAAAAATACATCATAATTAGTTTACTTTAGTTTCTTTGTTCCCTAAGTAAATTGTGTTAGGTAAATAAAATAACTTCAGCTTTCACACATTGATAAAGGAGCACAAAGTATTTGTTCCCTGATAGTTTATCAGTTGAAATAACATTGACCAATTAGGCAGTAGGACAAAGATTGTTATTGTAAAGTAAATAAAATTATGATAAGTCAAAACAGTTGTACAAAAATATGAAGAATGCTATAAAAAATATTATAAAAAAGCATTGCAACTACTTATTATATTGTTGTCGCGACTGTACGACGGGCGGCCGCAGTGTGTGTGAGCGCGATAGCAATATAAAATTACGCACGAGCGATAAGAACGGCTCGAGGTCATTGTACGAAATTCTCTACTCGGCGACCGGACTTTAGACCTATATAATAAAGAAATAACTTACGTCACAACATCTTCTTTCTCCCTAAACACCGTGACTGCATCATAAACATCATCCGCCAGTATTTGCGGGTACTGTAGCGCGCCAAAATGGCCGCCGCCGTCCACCATGGTGCTGCGGACGTAGTTGGTATACTTCCAGTGCAGTACCGAGTCTGGGTGGAACATCAGCTCGTTCTTGAACTTTAGGCCCCAGGTGGGAACTGTTGTCGGGATGCTGGAGGAAGAAATGCTACTGTCAGAAACCATACATAGTCTTCTGTTTCGAAATACGACCAATCTTAAAATATTAATTTACTAATTTAACATTTATTTAATTTCGATCTTAATTCTTTAGGTAAAGGAGAATGACCTTCTCTTATTTACCATAGACAAATAGAGGATTTTGCCTACACTCCCCACACTGGCCAAGGGTCTCTAGGGAGACTTATGCCCGTTTTCACCATCAATCCCTAATTTTTAAGTGACCCTTATGACAACTAAATTCCTGTAATTTGTTACCCCATAGGGGTCACTTAAAAATTAGGGGTTGATTATGAAAATTGGCATTAGGCCAGGGGAGGGGGACTTGCGAGAGACTTAAGCCATGGGGAAGGGTCTCGCGTGAGACTTAAGCCATGGGGAAGGGTGACAAGGTCTCACGTGAAACTTAAGCTACGCTAAGGGAGGTCTGGCACTAGCTAGTAGTAGTTGATAGGGGGAAAGTCTTTTAGTACTCACTCGTCCAGTCTCAGAGACTTAAACCAGAGGTGTGGGGTCTTGCACGAGACTTAAGCCAGTAGTGGGGGGACTTCCTCGAGACTATAGCCAAGGGAGTCTCGTGCGAGACTTAAGCCAGGGGAGGGGGTGGGTTTCGCGAGAGACTTAATTAAGCCCAGGTAGTACTTACTCGTCCAGTCTCAGCGCTAAGCTGCGCTTATTAAAGGCCTCAGCATACAGTCGCATACTCGGCGTGATGCAGCGCGTGAGCCAGTATATCATGATGTTATCCAGCAGATACGTCAGATCGTAAGCTACTCACCAACAAATAGACTTGAGCCATGGGTGTCTCGCACGAGACTTATCCAGAGGTGTGGGGTCTTGCACGAGACTTAAGCCAGTAGTGGGGGGGACTTCTTCGAGACTAAAGCCAAGGGGGTCTCGTGCGAGACTTAAGCCAGGGGAGGGTGTCAGTTTCACAAGAGACTTAAGCCCAGTTAGTACTCACTCGTCTAGCCTCAGAGCCAGGCTGCGCTTATTAAAGGCCTCAGCATACAGTCGCATACTCGGCGTGATGCAGCGCGTGAGCCAGTATATCATGATGTTATCCAGCAGATACGTCAGCTCATAGGCCTGGGAGGTGGCCGTCGCCTTACAGCTAGTACGAGCCTACTTATAACTCACCAACAAATAGACTTGAGCCAGGGGTGTCTCGCACGAGACTCAAGCTAGAGGTATGGGGTCTTACACGAGACTTAAGCCAGTAGTGGGGGGACTTCTTCGAGACTAAAGCCAAGGGGGTCTCGTGCGAGACTTAAGCCAGGGGAGGAGGTTGGTTTCGCGAGAGACTAAAGCTCAGTTAGTACTCACTCGTCCAGCCTCAGAGCCAGGCTGCGCTTATTAAAGGCCTCAGCATACAGCCGCATACTCGGCGTGATGCAGCGCGTGAGCCAGTATATCATAATGTTATCCAGCAGATAGGTTAGGTGGTATGCCTGAAGGTGGCCGTCGCCTTCCTTCTTATACAACCGGTCGGTCCAGGTGGAGTATTTCTCAAGGATGTACGCGGCCAGACCAGCTGGAGAATCGGTGAGTGCGACACCTGGAGAAAAGATTTAAAGCTTGCTTAACTTACATTTTCGAGTTATGGATTATCTTTGAGTTAATTTAAAAATTTGATAGTTAACACAAATAACCAAAAATTTTTAAGACAACTTTAAAGAAACACTTCGTTCTCTAGCTCAGAAAATCAATTGGCTGTAAAATTCGATTGTAGTAATCTTTGGAAATTAATAAATTGTTTGTTGATGAAGTTATATCATACATACAAAATCTACATTTACGAGTATGTCGCTTTTCTGACAGTTCCTAAAAAGTAAGTCGTTCGTTCGTTTCAGCCGAATGACGTCCACTGCTAGACAAAGGCCTCCCCCAAGGTTTTCCACAATGAACGGTCCTGCGCTGCCCGCATCTCCCGCGACCTTACCAGATCGTCGGTCCACCTAGTAGGAGGCCTGCCCACGCTACGTCTTCCAGCCCGTGTTCGCCACTCGAAAACTTTTCTGCCCCAATAATCGTCTCTACGAGCTATGTCGGTCACTTTGGTTCTCGTGCGGATTTCCTCTTTTCTGATTCGATCACGCAGGGAAACTCCGAGCATAGCCCGCTCCATCGCTCTTTGTGTGACCTTGAGCCTTCTTATGAGGCCCATAGTAATCGACCACGTTCAGTCGATTGACTAAAGTCAAAGTCAAAATTTCTTTATTTGTTTGGACTAATAAATAGTTCTTACAAATCGTCATTTTGCTCTTAAGGAGCCTCTACATGTCTCATAATCTTTTTACCCTACCAGCGCTTCGAGACCAACATTTGGCAAGTGCTGAGAAGAAGCGCCGCAACAAACTCAGTCACCACTGTCTGCCGGTTAATATAAATAAATAGATAGATAAATAGATTAAGAGAAGAAGGCTTGTTTGCTCACCGATAGTATCAGGCTTGGTGGCCTGCAGGTGCAGGAATCCGGATTCTTCAAGCGCGGACGGCACGAAATCGCTTAGCGGGTACAGGAGGTTGGCCTCAACCACTGGGTCTACCGCCAATCGGTGCCAGAGGGAACCTGGAAGTCACAAGTCATTTAGTTTTTGTAATATTCATACACAAAAGTGATAGGTACACAGGGTGATTTTGTAATCACTATCTAAATTTTTTTAATAAGCTATACAGGGTTACAACGATAAGTGATCTCACTCGATTATTTCTAAGGGTAGCCTTTCGAACTAAGCGTCACTCACGCAGCGTCTTTAGCTTTGGTCTTTAGTGCCACCAAAGCCGCGACAGTTTCGCTGCGTTCGAATGACGTTCCCTAGAATTTCATACATTTGCAAAGAACATCTATTTGTCGCTCTGTCGCGGCGCCACTGACACTCGCTTTGAAAGGCTACCTTTAACTATACAAGATATCGAAAAATTGGTCTGAACTGATCCTGAAAGTGCTTCACGAGCTCTTTCAAATGGTGCTAATAATAGGTTACAGAATAAACTAGAACTAGGGTAAACCACCCAATTATTGGCACTTTAAGCAGCTACTTCACAAAACCGGTAAAATGTGCATGTAAAAATATGTTTTATCAAAGAAAAAAACATTTATATTGGTCTTTTAATCTTTGCAGAATATTATAAAGTACTTATCATTAATAAATTAAATCATTTATTCAATATAGTGTACCTTTTAAAAAAATACCTCAAAATACCAGTTGTTGGCATAGCCAAACCTTTTATTGGCAGTGATTATTACCTATTATTGTCACTGTTCTCGCAAGACTGAAAAATAGCTGCTAGGTCTTATGTAGAGGTTTTAAAGAGATTCATGATAGAAATAAACAAAATAAAATCCTTTGTTATAAGAAAAGTAACATTTATTTGTATAGGAACATACCATATCAGATCAAACGCTTATCCAAACTAATATTATAAATGCGAAAGTAACTCTGTCTGTCTGTCTGTCTGTCTGTCTGTTACGCTTTCCCGCTTAAACCTCGCAACCGATTTTGATGAAATTTGGCATAGAGATAGTTTGAGTCCCGGGAAAGAACATAGGATAGTTTTTATCTCGGTTTTTGAAACAGGGACGCGCGCGATAAAGTTTTTCTGTGACAGACAAAATTCCACGCGGGCGAAGCCGCGGGCGGAAAGCTAGTATTTAAATATGGTTTTAAACTTTCCATATAAACACTTTTATAAAATCTTCTTTTCTCTTCGGAAATACTTTTTGCTACTGATTTTTATTTTATCCAGTCAACAAAAAGCTGTTCTTCCTCGTCAGTTAAAATTGTGAACGGACCGGGCTTAGAGCGATGATCAGGATGTTTCAATCTGAATTGTATAGTAGGCCGTGGTACCACTTTCAAAGCCTTATTCCACTAAAATCCCGGGGATTAGTGAACTTTTTATTCATTAATCCCCGCTAACGCCAATGGAGCTTATAATGGGGATTAATGAACTTTTTAGTTTATTTTATTTTTCTTTATTCAGAAAACTACGTTAAAATAAAACACTAATGTATGAATCATGTACCTTCTATTTATTATTGGATAAGAACTCACTTATTGAATATTTTCATAATCAAATTAAATTAAATTTAAGCCTGATTACAAAGCTATTAATTTACACCATTTTTATTTTGTTACATCTTGGCCCAAATTTGTATGTAATCGTTTCCATCTTCTTTTAAATGATGAATGGGGAATAACGATTCAATATCTATAGTGCTTTTGGTTAATCAGGTAAGTGTTAATTTTTTTAAATATTGTAATCAGTCTTAAATTTAATTTAATTATAAGTGAGTTCTTATCCAGTAATAAATAGAAGGTACCTGATTCTTACATGAGTATTTTATTTTGAACGTACTGGGGATTAATTAACTTTTTAGTTCATTAATCCCCATCGTAAACTCCATTGGCGTTAACGGGAATTAATGAACAAAAAGTTCACTAATCCCCGTTGGCGGGGATTGTCAACGGGGATTAGTGGAATAAGACTTTGAAAGGCTTTGAAAGTGGCTGAAAAGATAATATTTTTTATTGGCACCTTTTTAACCAATGTTTGACACCCGTGCCAATAAATGGATTATATATAATTGGCAGTGGGCCAACATTTGGATTGGTGTATCCAAAACGTTAAAAAAGATTTTAAATGCAATTTAAACTCAATTTTGAGACAAACAAGATATAATTTTTAATAAATTCAAATTATTTTAAATACCCTTTTATTGGCATGTGTGCCAATAAAATGGATAAACAGATTTTACGCATACCAAATGTTGGCACACCACAAATAATTAAAAGTTGGCGGTTAAATTATAAAATAATGTTTTAAAAAGGCAGTTAATATATTCAATAATAAGACAAAATGATTATGTATAGGGACAACAAAATAGATTTGCATTTTTTTTAAAGATTATGATAGCTCTTACCTTAGTAAAAAACGAATATTTCGATTGTTTTTTTCGCACAGGTCGCGGTTTGTCAAACAAATGGTTGATGCGCCGCGATGTTTGAAAAAATAAAAAACGTGTGTAGCCAGTTGAGTAATAAATGATATTACTGTACAATTTCTACTAAAAAATATATGGTTTGGCTACAAAAAACCTTAATTTTCTTAATAAACTGGAGCATGCCAATAAATTGGTAGAGTGCCAATGATTGGGTGGTTTACCCTATTCGAAAATTTAACGTTTCCAGCTCGAGTCACTTAGTCCAGAAGGAGTCAAGCTTTCACTTAGTCCAGAAGGAGTCTGGCCCAAAAGAGGCAGTGTGGCCCAGGATGCGGTGAAGGGTCCTAGGGTAGGAACATTACTTACCAAACAAAACATAAAGATACGCTCGTGGACTGTACAGCAGCACTGGGAAGTTGGTGTGGAAGCCGAGCACGTCGCGCGGGTACAGCGTGGCCAGCACCGAGCCCACCACGTGGCCCGCGCCGCCGCCCTGCACGTAGTATTGCGAGTGACCCAGACGACGCATTATTAAGGGTCATGCTATGGTACCTTGTGTAGTTGTAATAGGTCTCATTTTTGAACCTCTGATGTGGGGCAATCTGGTCCAGGATGGGGAGTGTAACCCAGGAGAGGGACTCTAGCCAAAAAGTGGAAAGTGTAGTTAAGATGGGGCTGTCTGGCCCAGATGGGGGCGCCTAGCCCAGGAGGGGTAGTCTAGCCCAGGAGGGAGAGTAGCTCAGGAAGGAGTCTAGCCCAGGAGGGGGAGTCTAGCCAAGGAAGGGGAGCCTAGTCCAGGAGGGGGAGCCTAGCCCAGGAGGGGTAGTCTAGCCCAGGAGGGGTAGTCTAGCAGAGGAGGGGTAGTCTAGCTCAGGAGGGGTAGTCTAGCCCAGGAGGGGGAATCTAGCCCAGGAGGAGAAGTCTAGCCCAGGAGGGGGAGCCTAGCCCAGGAGGGGAAGTGTGGCCCAAGAGGGAGTCTAGCCCAGGAGGAGCAGTTTAGTCCAGGGAAGTGTAGCCCAGGATGGGGCTGTCTGACCTAGAGAGCGAGAAGTCTGGCCTAGGGGGAACAATACTTACCAAACAAAACATAAAGATACGCTCGTGGACTGTACAGCAGCACTGGGAAGTTGGTGTGGAAGCCGAGCACGTCGCGCGGGTACAGCGTGGCCAGCACCGAGCCCACCACGTGGCCCGCGCCGCCGCCCTGCACGTAGTATTGCGAGTGGCCCGGGCGACGCATCAGTATGGATCACGCTAAGGCACCTTGTGCAGTTGTAATAGGTCTCATTTTTGAACCGCTGACGTGGGGCAGTCTGGCCCAGGATGGGGAGTGTAACCCAGGAGGGAGACTCTAGCACAAAAGTGGGAAGTGTGGCCAAAGATGGGGCTGTCTGGCTCAGATGGGGGAGTCTAGCCCAGAAGGGGCAGTCTAGCTCAAGATGGGTAGTCTAGAAGAGGAGGGGTAGTCTAGCCCAGGAGGGGTAGTCTAGCCCAGGAGGGGTAGTCTAGCCCAGGAGGGGGAGCCTAGCCCAGGAGGGAAGTGTGGCCCAGGAGGGAGTCTAGCCCAGGAGGGAGTCTAGCCCAGGTGGAGCAGTTTAGTCCAGGGAAGTGTGGCCCAGGATGGGGCTGTCTGGCCTAGAGAGCGAGAAATCTGGCCTAAGATGAAGTAGTACTTACCAAACAAAACATAAAGATACGCTCGTGGACTGTACAGCAGCACTGGGAAGTTGGTGTGGAAGCCGAGCACGTCGCGCGGGTACAGCGTGGCCAGCACCGAGCCCACCACGTGGCCCGCGCCGCCGCCCTGCACGTAGTATTGCGAGTGACCTAACCGACGCATTAGTTGGTGGATGACTCCAGCCACTTCTACTGGACCGAAGCCTGGCCGGGACGCCCCCTGGCGATATCAGAAAGAATCGTGGTATAAAAAAAATATCTACCATGTATATCAAGAAATTTATTTATTTAAACTTTTAGCAAATACATACATACATACAATGCACTGTGGCGGACTTAATGCCGGATGGCATTTTCTGCCAGTCAACCACGGATCATTCAGAAAGAGTAAGGCGGTGCAAAAAATTTACATTTTGGATAATATACCTACTTTTAGAAATTAATATGAACGGACTTTATAGTCAGCTAGACTAGCTCAGTAAGAAATGGGGAGTAGAGATGCTTAGACATCAGTGTCGTATATGATTTTATTTTGGATAGTTATTCTGGCCCGCAGTATACGTTCGGGAGACCACTGAAGAACGCCATAAGGTTCGGAGAGAGCTCAGAGAACCATTTTTACTATTCGATCCCAATTTAATTTTCTCAATGCCTGGAACATCTGATCAATGAATGTTTTCTCGCATATTATGGTCATTCTCGATGGACTGGTAAAAATGTTTCCCCAAATGGATGCGGCCTGCGATCAGGTCAATCTAGTATCATCTCTCGCATCATGAACGATTTTACGTTGACCTGAATTCAGTGAACGAGTCCTTGAATGACATGCTTTATAAAAACCTCCCGCACCATAAGTGCTGAACAGAACAACCAATGAAAATGACCCATTAGTTAGATATTCTCACTACGCTCAGCACACTATTATTATAAACCAGGGTTCGAAAATATCCGATATTTATTATAAATATCAAAATATCGGATATTTATGATATATATCCGATATATATCAACTTTGATATATATCAATTTTGTATGAAAGCCATAGTATTATTTTATTGTATTATTCATGAATACTATTGCATATGTGTTACATAAACATGTTTTTAATGTTTTTAAAACTTAAAATCAGACAAATAAAACAAAAATATAAAATATCTTTGAAATACGGCAAAATCAACTGAGAAAATAAAAATCTTATGTCAAAAAGTACAAATACAGTAACAAATTTTAACAGTTGATATACAGGGTGTTAGGTAAATGGGTAATATATCCGATATATATCTTGATATACAGGGTGTCCCGTAATGTAACGTCAAGCCGGAACTGGGTGTTGAGGCAAGTTGTGCTGGTTATCAGAAAAATATAAAAAAAAATCTATGTGGCATATTTTCAAAATAATGGGCATTTAAAAAAAATCTAAAATTTCTACTCCAGGTGACGGTCTTTTTACTCGTGTTGCCACAAATCTTCACTTTTTCCAAATTTTTTTTTTGTTATGTAACCCTGAATAATGCTTCTCTAAATTGTTATCAAAATTACAAAACCAGCTGCTCCAGCTTGGATAAAAAAAAATACATAATTCCCAAAAAAAATTTCAAAATAAAAATTTTGTCTAGTTTAAACTGACTGTACTGAAAAAAAAAGTACTACGCAAGTGTGGCATGTGACGTCATAATTTGGCGCATTTAGTAAGGATTCCAAAATGGTATAACACTTGGTAAATTCTTGCTGTAATTGTCGACAATTTTTGGTTTTTTGGAAATAATCCCGTTTTTAACTTTATCTACCTTGTTTAAAAATTATTATTCTAATGTGCCCAAAATTCAAGTTTCTGTGACTGACTACCGTACAGTCAGTCACAGAAACTTTTGTCACCATGACAGTAATTAGTAGTTGACATACTGTGACAAAAGTCACCCGTGCGTGCGCGCCGTTACTACCTGCTCTGCCTGCACTTGTACTTGGTAACAGGGATAATAAGGATATGAAGTTTCGGTTATGAATACGGTTACGGATATTACAATAATATTATACCGGTTTCGGTTACGGTCACGGATATGAAATCATTTCAGATTATCCGAAAGTTTCGGATAATTTCGGTTACGGAATTATTAGAATTTCAAAAATGTAGGTATAATTCAAATAGCAAGATGCTGCGTGACCCACATAGCTACTTTATGTACCAACTAAGACGACACCTATGTATGATAAAGGTTAAACAGGCTGGCATATTAGATGGTGCCAGGGAATGCCAGACAAGTTGGTAACAAATATTAAGATTTAAGGTACAATTCCAAGACGGGCCGCAGACCGCAAACTGCAAAACTCTATGAAATCGGCAGCGCGGCATTGCTGCTGCGGCGTGTATACTGCAGATTTCATAGAGTTTTGCAGTTTGGAATAATTTTACCCTTAGACTCCGCCTTTATCCGAAACTATCCGTAACTTTTGAATCAGTTTCGGTTACGGTTATGGATATTTTTTTATTTCGGATATCCGATAGTTTCGGTTACGGTTACAGATATCCATAACATCCCTGCTTGGTAAGATGGCCCTCTCCGTCCCGCTCATACCTTTTAAAATGGCTTCTCCACCTCATTTAAGCCAAAAACTTGAATTTTGGGCACATTAGAATAATAATTTTTAACCAAGGTAGATAAAGTTAAAAACGGGATTATTTCCAAAAAACCAAAAATTGTCGACAATTACAGCAAGAATTTACCAAGTGTTATACCATTTTGGAATTCTTACTAAATGCGCCAAATTATGACGTCACATGCCACACTTGCGTAGTACTTTTTTTTTCAGTACAGTCAGTTTAAACTAGACAAAATTTTTATTTTGAAATTTTTTTTGGGAATTATGTATTTTTTTTATCCAAGCTGGAGCAGCTGGTTTTGTAATTTTAATAACAATTTAGAGAAGCATTATTCAGGGTTACATAAAAAAAAAAAATTTGGAAAAAGTGAAGATTTGTGGCAACACGAGTAAAAAGACCGTCACCTGGAGTAGAAATTTTAGATTTTTTTTAAATGCCCATTATTTTGAAAATATGACATATAGATTTTTTTTTATATTTTTCTGATAACCAGCATAACTTGCCTCAACACCCAGTTCCGGCTTGACGTTACATTACGGGACACCCTGTATATCCCTTGATATATATCCTCGAACCCTGTTATAAACTTACATCAGAATACCCGACGCCCGGCAAGCTAGGCACGATGACTTCGAACGTGAAGTCGCGGTCGTCCCGCGGCTTCATCAGCTCCGGGATAACGCCGTAGAAGTCGCAGAAGGAGCCCGGCCAGCTGTGCAGCAGGAGTAGAGGCAACGTCTGCGGACGAGTTAAGGTGCATTTTACTTTAACAACATTGTTGGGACACATTGTATTTCGTGAGTTTGCAATATGTATTGTATTTTAATTGAGTTGCATTCTGTGGCGCTCGCCAGTCATTCCCTACATTGCATAGAGTAAGCCCACTATGCCCATTGCGAGATCAAGAATATATTTCTACAGTGACCTTCGGACTTTCAGTCAGTAAACCTTCTGATAGAGTAAAGTAACGTAGAATGTTGAAGCACACAAAACTTTTGTAATATGCGGGATTCAATTAGGAATAGAGCTTAATGAAGTAACATTTGCGATATAATCTATTTTGAAATTGCTTCATGGAGCGTAGACGCACTTTTGCAATTAATTAAACCAGTGTTTGGTACACTATCTCCCAAAAGCTATATTTGGTAATTTTATAATGATATAACATACTTATGCATAACATTTGTGAAAATAAAATAAATATGTACAAACAAATCACTCACCATAGCACTTTGCGCATCCTTCTTAGGCTTGACATGCATAAAATGTATCTTCAACCCCTGTATCTTTGTCATGTAATGATCGTACTTGTTCAGATACCTCTCCCGGTCTTGGAAACTGTAGCTGTTTTTCCAGAAGTCCAAAAACCGAGTCAGGAAGTCTGTGTTCATGCCGTATGTAAAGCCGGAGCCTTCGAGCGGTTTTGCCAGCGGTCGTGTATGAAGTAGTCTTTGACGGAGGTCGTATACCATCTGGTGGTCAAGGGTGAAATATTATGAAAATATTGACTTAACACTGAAATAGAATAGTTAATCTATTTCTATAACAAAAAAATTACAGAAATGCTTAAAAGTTCATGTGTCTATAAGGAATAAGCATAGTTTTATTAATCTTTCTTGTATTTGCATTGGTACCCGCAAGGTGGACCGACGACCTCATAAAGGTAGCGGGAAGGCGCTGGATACAGGCCGCCACCAACCGGCCATTGTGGAAATCAATGGGGGAGGCCTATGTTCAGCAGTGGACGTCTTGTGGCTGAAATGATGATGATGATGATGATAATGATGATTGGCATTATCAAATCATCCGGTGCATGTAAGAGTTTCAAGTTTCAAATTCATTACAGTAGGTAATTAAAGAGCGCAGAAGTTTCATACAGACATTATACATATTTAATGTGTGCACAGCTTTAGCGACGAGACAATAACACACTTGATACAATGGCGTGAATTGCCGATATTATCGTAGGTTATGCCTGTATGAGTACATCGTTATTTTTAGTTTAAAAACTAATATCAGTATTGAGATAAATACTTTTCATTTTATCTGCTTGAAATTCAAAATGAGTGATAATTTGGACTAGATAAGGAGTATAAGCATTCCAAACTATTCTAATCAGATTTATCTGACCTGGAACGGTTGCTTTTTATTAGGAATATTAAATATTAGCTGTACTGTAAATCAATAAAGAACTTTTCGATTCAAACCAATACTTATTAAGATTTATGTGTCCAACCAAACAATCTCTTCTACTTGCAAATGAAAGTAAAAGTTTATACTTACATCATCATTGAATTCGATGCGAAATTGTTCAATAGCAATACCCTCATTATCTTCTTGATCATTTGCGTATGGCCCCCACCACTGGCTATAATCAATTTGCGGAAGTTCTGGTGGAGTTGTTAACCATTTGTATGCATAGTATGATGCAAGGGCAACCAATATTGATAGAACTATTAAGAAGATTTTTCCGAACTGAAACAAATATGGAGATTATTAGTTGATTAATTACTTTTGGAGATATATTAGATCATCTTGTGTGACTGAGGGTGCTACAATGAGAGCTATTATCATTAGAATGTGACTTCAAACATTCAATTTATACTATCCGGGCGTTTTCAAGGCGAGAGTGAATAGGCACTTACAGGGCAGATATGTACCATCCTAGACTGCATCTCACTTAACACCAGGTGCGATTGCGGTCAAATACCTGCCTTGGATAGTAAAAAAAAAAAAAAAAAAAAAAAAAAAAAAAACACCCATATTCACGAACATTAGTATGAGGTCTCACAGTGCGCGTGGATGCACAGGGTGACACACGAACCAATCACGGAGCTCTATTCAACGCTGTGCATTCAATTTTCTGCTACACTTAAGCAAGCATTGTTTGTGAATAAGTGCATAAGACTTGTATACTTAAAAATATATAGATTATAATATAATATAACTCTATTTACATCTATAACATGCTCATCATGTTTATTACAGAATATTTGATTCTAACAAGATTTCAACTTAAAATGGCAACCAGTACCTACTTATTGTAGTTCACATAAACTGAATGGTTAATGAAATAGTTAAGAATCTTGTGGGACATAACTGTATGTGATGAAATTAATGATTCTCTTCCTTTTCTATTGGAAATATAGTATGAAATTATAGTAAAAGAATAGTGAGGTTACCAATTTAGAAAAAAGTTTATTGGAAACAAGTGTAATGACTAAGTTTTGATTCAAATAAATTGGACCCTTACCGAAACTGCTTTCTTCTTCTGTACTTTATCTTTTACCTTTTTCGACATCGTGCACTTCAGAAGTAACTGGTGTACAAAGAAATTAAAGATTTGTGAGTGCCGACCGGCTAAACAATCCGAAACTTAATACTTTAAAGAAACATATTAACTATGTGGAAAACTCACATGTATGTATTTAAAAACAATTTTGAAATGAAATTGATTTAGATATTGTTGAAATTATTGCACTACATTTGCGAATTTTAACTAAAAAAACATTGTCTGAAAAGTTTAGCAAACACCACCCGGCGAACGGCAGACTGACAGACTGAAACTAAACTAACTTTGCTTCTCTTTTTAGCATTTATGTATGATACTCCGTGTGAGTGTGACAAAAAATCATGAGATGAGACAACTCCTCACAAAACTGTCAATGTCATTGCATTTAAGCAAAGGAGTTCAAAAATATAGAGCTAGGAGAGACTTTTTGAATTCATCAAAAAAAATTTTTTTATGCGGTCTTGTCGGTAGGAAACGATCTCTTCCAGACACAGTGAGGAGTATTTTTACTATAGTGAAAAATTAATAATAAGACAAAGGGTGTTAAAATTTTGGCAAGGTGGGGTGGGTGTAGCGTACAAGAGAAGGGATAGGCGATTCAGAAATCTTACGAGATGGGTTGCGGCAATTGTTTTATCCGTTAATGTTTTTAAAATAAGTAGTTAGCAGAAAATCAGCGTTTTGAATAATATATAGTTGTTGCAATTCGCGAATAGGCGAGTGAGCTTTACATGTGTAGAGGCTCGCTAAGTAATAGACATTACCCTACCGTCACTATCGTACCTATACATATTATGTGCATGTACCACATACCTATACAAGTAAAGCTCACTCGCCTTCGTGAGTCGCATGGCTAAGAACTATAGTGGTAGTAGTTTCAATCGCCTTAATAGGTAAGATGCAGGGTGAACGGAACTTCCGCTACGGAAGTTACCGTTGGAGGTTTGAATCCCGATGGGGGCAAATGTTTGGTACAAAGAGCATGATTGTGTTTATTTTAAAAAGATTCAAATCTTAACGTTACCAAAAATCTACTTTACGCATAACTTGATCTGGTACAATAATGTTTAATATTCAATCAGCAATATTTTGATTGAAAACGAAAAATCTTTGGTCGATTTGATTTTCCCATTTCATTAAACAAAAGCCTAACGGAACCGCACCCCGCTCTGAAAATAATGAAGGAATTATTGAAGTGTGAAACGAACGAGCTATATCCCAGCGGGCGGAGTGACACCAGCGGGGTTAATTGAACTTGCGGGGCCAATATGGTGCGCTTTCTTTTTTAATTTTTACACTCAACCGCTGCGCCTGATACAGCCTGGGTGCTAGGGTTGTGAGAGTTCCCAGAAAGAAAAAATATTTGGGCCAAATGGATTTTATTGGCATTTAAGTATCTATGAATATTAAGCATCTATGAGAGTCGACTATTTATTCAAGATTATGTGAGCAGTTACGGCTAAACAACATCATTAAGATTGATTAGATTTTTATTTGTTGCTGCTGATAGAGCAATATACTTACATTTGTATGAACCTTTACCTGCATCTGAGTGCTTTATTTATATAAATACCTAATTAAAAGAGTTCAGTTAACTAGTAGGAAAAATCTTTCTGTAGCATTTGCCTGGTTGCTCTCAGCAGGCGTTTTCGTGCAACGCAACGACCTAAGCCTACCGTACCTTGTATACGGTTAAATTATTAAAATATTCTGTAAAAAGTGGTAAGGCTGCTTTCACGATTTGTAAAAAAAAATCCGCTACCTACTTAAATAAAGAAAATAAAAGGGCCAGCCCTGTCCTACCACCACGCTTTCATAGCGCTATCACGGCTCTCAGCCCTGTCACCGTTTTCCCATTTTTCCCGCGTCTCTCGATTCCATTTTTAAAAGTTCGAACTGAAAACCTATTCTAACCTAATTTGAACTGTACCCCGAGGTGATACGGTTAAAAATCGACTTGATTAAAATTGGTTGTTAAGTCGATTAATCATAGAGGTGGGTTTAGCAATGCGGTTTTTCGAATATATCCTCTTTTGGGAAACTGGCATCCGAATTTAATATTGGATTTGGCTGTTAAATTAATGATTTCATTATTATCTTGTGGTTTGGATGATAGTGGGCGCGCGTGTGCACTGTAAAATGCTGATAAGCTGACAACTAATTGAAGGGTTATTACATTTCATAATTGGATTTTAAAATGATATGAAAATTGCTTTTGTTGGCCTTTCTGGTCTGGTGCTCCGATTGTAATAATTGGCTCATTGATAACGGATGATTTAACAGCAGTTTAAGCTCTACATGGGCAGGGGTAATTGACACGTAACTACATAATTATTTATCTAGAGTTCATGTAAGCCTATTTAGTCACATCTTATGTAATATTTGAAATCGGTAATAATTAGGATTATTGAAAATATTCAACATTACTAACTTTCATTCACTGAGACACAAAAAAGTTCGTCAAATAGGTGTAGTAGAGACAAGGTATGCCCTTTAGGGCACTTTTGAAACGCCCCTGCGTGCTACGAATGCTACGGCTTCCTTGCGTCATGACTACGAAAATTATGGGTTGAGTACCTATCGTTTACTGAGGTAGTAGACACTGAAACAGTAGAATCTCGATTATCCGAGCCTCAATTATCCGGATAATATCCGATTATCCTTTATGGCTCTAATTACCGATTTAGGGCCTGGAACCATCAACACGGCATGACTAGCCTCCTCCACTATAGTGGAGGGAGGGGTTTGCCATAATCCCCACGCTTGGCAGGCTGTTGGAGATCGCAGTTTATAAGATTGATGTTTTCCAGAGAGCGCTGCTGCCCGTTCTCTGTTTGATGTGTAGTCCCTGAGTCGCCTCTTATGACACCCGCGGAAAGAGTAGGGGTTGGTGACAAATGTATTCTACTCTGCCGTCACCACACGGCTTTAAACTATTATTGTGATTATATTACTGTAAGTGTGATAACTGTTTTAACTTAAAGTAAGCTTAGTGACAACCCGTGCGCCGTGGGCGGTGTAGCGAGACTGTAGCGCCCAGATACTTAAAGAGGAGGGTGCCGCAAGGCTCCGCTGCACTGGGAGTAATCCCAGTAATTGATCCACTCGCTTCTTTAAACTATTTATGATTATTTTAATTTAGTCCACTGTAAGTATGTATAACTGTTTTGACTTGAAGTAAACTCAGTGACAACTCCGTGGGCGGTGTAGCGAGACTGTAGCGCCCAGATAAAGGGGAGGGTGCCGCGCCCGGCTTCGCTGGGATTATGTTGATCTACTAACTTCTTTAAACTATTATTATGACTATAGGCAGGATACATAGTACGCATAACTAACGGCCGATGGGGTAGCAAGGTTCTAGAATCGAGGCCGCGTATCGGAAAACGCAGCGTGGGACGTTCACCCACAAGGTGGACCGACCGACCTGTTCAAAAATTAAAGTTAAACGTTTGAAATGTTTACTTATTTATAACGACCATTTCTAATTTGATCACAGCTAGGTACAGCCCGTTGGATGAATGAAAATTGACAGAATTTAAGTGAAAATAGGAAAAGCTCTTGGCCAAAAAGTTAATCGACTACTTACTAAACGACTCTTATCATGGGAATCTACACACAATTATAAATTCAAGATTGTGATTTCTCTAAAAACAAAAAAAAAAACTACACGAAATTCCGCGCGAATACGAGTAAGATAAACCTTAGTCATAAAGGTGACGCCTAAAACGTAGATTGGAACGCAATTTCTCTGCAAAATCCATTGAAAGCTATCGTTACGTAACAGCGAATCCCTTGATTATGCCTTGGACAACCCTGATTGCGTGTGAAAATTTACTGCATAGACTTTATTGCGTTGAGTTAAGGTTGAGAATGGAAGTGCTCGGGTTTGTTCGGGAGAGAGACTAGGGTTGTGCTCTGTAAGGGTCGGCAAGGCAACTTAAGTGGGGTGATAACGTCACAGGTCGCTAGCGGTTACGAGCTGAGTCGCGCTCCGCTTAGAGGATGGGGATTTAGCTGTTATTGGCTTAAGATTTAGGGTTGCCAATTGTATGTGTTAAAACGGCTGAATAGGGCGGGATTCGAGTAATCTGGGGTCCCGGGATCGAGTCTTGGCCAAGTCAAGGAAACTCTAAACAAGTTTATCAATTATGGGATTGCGTGCAAAAAATTATATCGTACTAGCTTTTTCCCGCGGTTTCACTCGCGTAAAATTTAGTTTGTCACAGATCGTCATAAATTATAGCCTATATGTTAATCTGGGTTATAAACAGCAATACTGTAAAGTTTCAACAAAATCCGTTCAGTAGTTTTTGCGTGAAAGAGTAACAAACATCCAGACATCCAAACATCCAGACATCATGACATCCAAACTTTCGCATTTATAATATACTCAACGTCAAATAAATCGCACCTTCCGCGACGCGAACTTTAAAGATTTTCTTCTGACATAATCATGGTGCCCCAATAATATTGGTGTTATTTGAAAGCCCAATAAATATCCTTAAAGAAAAACACATTTCATTTCTTAATAAATGATTAACATAATTATACCATAAATGTGACTTGAAAAATGACCTCACTTTGGGCTCACCTGTGGGATCAATAAGACCAATTTTTATGGTTATAAAACCAAATAATGACCTCACATGTCCTCTTTAACAGATGGATAGCGATTAATCCCAACTTAACAGTTTTATAGCCATAAAAGTTGGCTCAAGCGTTTAACTACCTATTTTTTGAAGAAGTGACTCTGGATCCTTCTAAAGAGACATTTTTGGGGTAAAAGCCTTTCCTTTAATGAAATTAAGCTTAGAACTAGGCTTTCAAATAGTACCACTGTTGGTGGGAAGTGAGGATGCATACTTTTGAAAAGTGCTTGTTGCGGGAGGTGCGATTTATTTGATGCCGAGTGTATTAGTAGGATTCGATAAAAGTGAGAATATGAGAAGATAAATCCTTACCGAATTAAGATTTTTATCATTTTCATCATCCGGTCATTTTTGCAGTTAAGCAATTGTAGAGGAAGACGGCCCTCTCAAATTTACCAAATGGGGTGGAGATGGATAAAGCATAACAATTTAAAGAGAGCTTTAATGTAATGTAAGATAATAATTGTACTTATCATCTTATGGTGGTTACCATACCAAGTGGTGATCCTACACCTATGTGATTTTGATATAACCTACCCAAGGTAAGTAAGTAGGTACCTATATCAAGATGTTAAATATCAAACCTGCTCATTACTGCTGTATTTTTTTACCAATAATTACAATACCTAAGAAGATCCCTTTAA